ACTATATATATATATATAATTATATGATATCTTCATTTAGATGGGAAAATCATCGAACTTTAAACCGGGGATCTTCCAGCTCTGGCAATCTTGGCTATGGAAAATCATCTGATTCCATTGTTCGGTGGAAATTGGGGATGCCCACCTCCTGGATTGCTTTACCAAAACAATGTGCTCAATCAATGGGTTAGTTCACAGAAAAACCTACGGGAAACCATGCTGTTCGCGTCTTTTCGTTGATCAACCCAATGATTTGAGATGGAAAAAAATGGAAAAAACACATTGGCCTTCTCATCCTTCTCCTTCTCGTTTCCACTGGATCTGCTTGGTGGAGTGTAGGCTGAATCTTGGACGTGGGTCGGCTTTTGATACTTTTGGGCCTCCCAGCAGCCGCAGTTGGTCCCCGCTGAGTGCTCCGAAAGGGAGCCGGAACAAAGAAAAAATTGGGAACTCCAAAGTCCATCATGTCATTTTCCATTCAGGATATATAATTCAGAAATGACATAGGATACGTATTCAACATGATATAGTATATATATATATGTTAATATAATTGGATAAATAATGATAAATATATAATTTCATATGATCTCTGGATTGCCTCCCGTCCCCCTTGAACAGAAAACTCGGCACATCGCACCTTGGCCTTGGCGTCCAACTTTTGGCCCTTCTTGGCCTTCTCCACGTTATCAGCCTTTTGGCCCTTGGCATTTTGCTCCGCCAGGAGTTGGTTCATCTCGACTGCGCCCCACAAGTCATGTTCTTCGATATCCTCAGGCGCAGGTGCCCTGTGCAAAATGGCTGGTATGGCTGGTTTACCTTCTGCTTATTGAAGATAACGATGGAAATGACCCATTTGTAGGATGTTTTATATTCAAATCTATTAAATATTGTGATGCTCCATGGCTATGTTGAATAACCAGAGGGTATCCACATTTGTCTTGATGGCTCAGTAGTACAAAATAGTACAAATAAAATCAAATAAATCACTCAGGTGTAGGCCATCTTTCATACATCTCAAAACTGCCATACTACTGCCGTTCTAGAATGATCATCAGTATCCCCTGGAGACCATACACCGCGCCGATCTGTGCCAAGTCGCCTCAAACACCACCCCTTGAGGCACACGTTCACCCATGGGGGGCGCAGCGGCGCCCAGATCCGTCATGGGCTTCCTAGGAACTGGCGGAAAGGAACTGCTGGAAGGGCAGCATTCGAGGATTCCTATGATGTGGGGACTGGGAAAAGGATGGAAAAGGAACTTACTGGCTTCACACATCTTCACACCCACCTTTTGGATTCTGCTTGTTTGTTTTTTTGTTGCAGGTCCGGATTTCACCCAGGCTTCAAGATTATTGCGAACAGCGCCTGACCTGCTGCTGGGCGGCTTCAGGCTCTCAGCCAGACTGAGGTCCTGCCCCTTGTCCTGCCCAGGGGGGTGGGATGTTTTTGGGAAACATCAGCTGGGGTGAAGGTGATTCCGTAATCAAATGTAATCTATGAGAATCATAATTCATCAAAGTCATCATCAAACATCATTAAAATCAGCCGCTTCTCAAAGTCCAGTTTCGCCCCTTGGCGCCTCTTGGGCTGCAGCAAACTCCGTCCGGGCAATCTCCCAGAGACGCAGTAGGAACTCGCTACGATGCATCTCCTCGAGTTGCTGCCAGAAGCTTCGAAAGCTGGATTTGCAACTTAAAAGCATTGAAAAGCATACTGAAACACTGAAACATGCTGAAACCAAAGAATCAAAGTCGACCAGGAAACGGATTCAGAAATTTGATCCATGATCAACCCATGAATGCCCCATGATTGACCCTTTTGGGTATGGATTTTTCCAGAAACGGCTACTACGTATTCAATATTAGGCTCCACTTCTCTGTCCAACGGGAGCCCAGCAACGATCAGGGTTCAATCAGGTCTACAATTGATGTCAGTTAGTTGTTGGATTACATGCATGATGTGCGTGTGCACGTATGCTGCCTCATTTATGCATACGAATCACTACTATGGTAGGCAAACTGGTGCCTAAAAGAATCTGTTGACTTTCCAAGCATCCATCTCAGTTTATGTATCCATCCATACGGAAATCCTAATCCCATCCTCCTAATATTAAACACCCTCTTTCTATGCAATGATGTGGTTTCATCCCCTACTAAAGTCACTAAAGCACGGTTTTCTGGTGGGTTCTTTAACAATTTTCACAGGGGGATGGGATGACTATGGGATGATGGATTTCACCATGGTTTCACCATGGTTTCACCGAGCATCCAGCGCCACTTGAGGTTTGTACTGCATCATGGGCGATCGATCTGCTCCACCCAAGTCCCACAGCTCGAAGCCAGCTCGGCGGAGGCATTCCTAAGGGCTGTTTGAAGGGGAGCCGTGCTATATTAGTACACTAATATAATATCATAATATGCATATGTATATATATACCTATATATACCTATATATATAGTATATATAAACATATATAGTATATATAAACATATATAGTATATATAAACATATATATGTATATATGGATATGGAGAGAGAGTCTAGAGAAAGAGAGAGAGAAAAAGAGGTCTTACCTAAGTGGTGGATTTGGGACATGCTGATGAATTTCTGATAGTTTGTGTGTATAGGACTAAAACTGCTGAGAGCCATGGCTCTGCAAGGTATGCTACAACTGCATCGAAACTGAAGGCAGCAGCACACCTCAACCATTTTTTTCTGCTGTGCGGGTGAGCTTTCCAGAAACTGCTGATTGGTTGGTGTCTAATCATTCTCCGAGCAGAATGGAAATATCACCAACTTTGACCAATCAACAAGTGGGTCTTAGCAGCTACCCAGCAAAATACGAACACACCAGTGGCATCCATATGCATCCATTGTCATTGTCATTCCAGGTTTTTTGTCCATGTCTCAATCATGTGTGTCACTCTTTGCCTTTTTCGTGCCACCCCCCAAGATTTCCCTCATTCCCTGGCTGGTGGCCAGGTCTAACGGCACTTGCCCAGCAGGGGAGGTGGAAGTTAGATCAGCTCCAGCAAGCACCAGCAGTTGAGCAACCTCCTGGAAATCCCTTTTGGCTGCAGCATGTAAGGCAGTGGGTATCTCCCCATATTCACATCTTTGGTGAAGATCGGCCCTTGCCTCCAACAGTAGCTGCAAGGTATCAGGACGATTGTTGGAAGCTGCCCCATACAGTACAGCGCACCCTCCGCATTCACGTTGCTGGCGTTGACATCGCACCTACCCCGCAACAGAAGTTTCACCGTCTCGCTGTGGCCCCGTTTGGCCGCCAGCAGCAACGCAGTGGCCCCGCAGTCCATGATCCCCGGATCGCTGCGTCGGACGTTGACGTCGGCCCGGGCCGCGAGGAGCTCGGCAACCACGTCGGCATGGCCATGGAGAGAGGTCTGAAGAATGGCAGTGGTGTCATCATAGCTGGTAGTGGCCTGAGGCTTCAAAGCTTCTTGTGGGCGACAAACTGTAGACTCACGTGGACTTGTTATCTCTAAATTCCATCGTTTCCTGGCAATTGTTTTTCTTCTTATGGCCTTATGTCGCATGACTCGGGGAAGATTTCACTAAGAACACGACTTCCGCAGATTTCCTGGAGCATTTTTCCCGTCCAAGGTGCGTTTACATCAGCCCTTTCGGCCAAGAGCTTCTGAACCACCTCCAAACGCCCAGTGTGGGCTGCACCAAAAAGGGGCGGCATACTACGGTGGAAGGACAGGTTTACATCTGCTCTGCAGCGGAGCAAGCAATCTACCACCTCCTCTCGTCAGTGGCCCAACCCACTGCACACAAAGGTTAATAAACATGCATCTATATTCAAATTTGATATATGATATAATCGATATATTGGTACCTGTCAATAGGGTTGAGTCATCCCCAAAGTTCAAAACCGACGAACAAAATGAGACATCTCCGGAGACCCCGGTCCTCATGGCCCCTATAAGCTGCACTGAACAACGGGCTCCCATCGCAGGACGTTCCATGATTGGGGCCCTGGCAGCCACCAAGACTCCAACCAGATGGGCGTGGCCTGGTCATGGTCCCAGAAAAAGGAAAAAATGAAGAAAAAATCCAAAACTGATCCAAAAGGCTCCAACTATATCTTAATATTGAACTTTGTTCAACAACTCCTAGCATCTCCCATGTCCCACAGTGGACATGATCCATCAAATCAATATCATCAAAATCCTCATGAAAACACATTAAATTATTGCTTAAATCGCCAATGATCAGTGGGAAAATAGTGCCAATCAAGGACAACTCCATCAAAGTCCACCTTCACCGCCAGTTGCAAGGTACTACGTCCCTGATCCGTTTCCGCATGGAGGCCCGCCCGCAGTTCCAATAGCTGGCTGCAGGGCTCTCTGTTTGCTGCAGCTCGAAGCAAGGATTCAGTGGCTGCTGTGGCCATGGAGTTTTCTTTAGGGGCCCATGGGCCAATGGGTTGATGGAAATCCTACAGGAAAATGTTTGTATATCTTTGTTTTAACTGTTTGAAAAACCAACTTGAGGGAGTTCCTGTGGATTTTACCTATTTTGCGAAGGGGAGGCTAGAGTCACCGTAAAAACAATAGGAATGTCACTTGAGATCATTCAGGTCGGATGGATAGCGAGAGTTTGGAAACCAGCCACCCGAAAAACTGTTCTGTCATTGTTAGCCGTTGTCATATGAACTTCTGAACCCGAATTAAGTGTCTTATTATCTTATTCGCTTGAACCAAGCATGGCTGCATCCAGAGCCCATGGTGAAGCATAGTGAACTCCCTTGGTTGCAACTCCCTGGCTTTGCCCAAAAACAAATCGCTTCTAAGACGCTGCTTCCGCATAGGCCAGAACGAAACCAGGCATCAAGGTCCGATGTGATCCTGAGTCAAGGAGCTTGCTTCAACCTCTGTTGGGGGAGCCCCAGCACCTGTACCGTTGGGACCTACAAATAATCACCTTGCAAATCCATGCCACTCAGCGTCGATCAAAAAAGCGGGTGGCCACATAGTAGGCGCGGCCAAAGGTATGGGCATGGCCAAAGTCTGCCGCAATCAGCTGCTTCGGTTTATCTGCCTCCCGGGTATTGTGCCCTATCCTACAGTCATGGCATGTGCTGGGAGCGTATAAAGATTCTAGGCAAAAGGCCAAAGGTCTGCAAAATGATCCAGGACGATTTTCAAAAATCAGGACATCCAAAACTCCACCATGATTCCGATGGAGGAATGCTTCATCTACCAGTTTGGTCAATGGTTTCTTCAGCATGATGTTACCATATGTTACCCACTATGCCATTGTTATCCTGTTTGCCTCATGACTGGTATCCAATATGTATCCAATACTTGGCTCATCTTGGCCCCATTGAAATTTTTATCCCTGCCCCAGTTGCCCCAGTTGCTGGCACCATGTGGCACCATGTGGCACCATGTGGCACCATGTGGCACCATGTGGCACCTCATGCAGCCACAGTTCGAAGGCAAAGACCCTCTTCCTCTGCCTCCCGAGGATCCCGAGGATCCCGAGGACGTCATGTTTCCCGCTGGCTGATCCACATTGATCCATCACAGCTGAGCTCCGGACAGCATGACGTCCCACACAGACTCCAGGGCAGGGCCGACCCAGGTGTCCTTCAGAAAAGCCCCGCAGCAGTTGTTTTCTCTCACCAGCTGTCTTCCCCCCAACAAGAAGTATAGTCAACATCAGTCAACTAATTAATGGGCCAATGGCTTGTTTAACTGTTTGATACTGTCTGAAGATTTCCAACTTAAGCACGGGAGATTTATTAATTGATATAATTGAACATTTCTCTCCTAATTACCACGCCAAGAATACACCAAAGCAGGGTGGAATTCATGTCGTTCCCTAGAGAAACGATGTTCCCGTCCCTGGTCCTCATGATGTTCCCTTAGCGCTTGAAGTGCTCTCTTGAAGTCCGTGTTCACCGACAAGGACAGGCGATGGCCCTTCCTCTTGGCCGCCCGCAGGACGCGACAAACCTCACCAGGGGCATCCATGGTCTTCCCCTGTGAGGGGCACCCAAACATCCAATGACGCCCATCAAATATATTGTAAATGGGGTTAAAGTTAATATAATTTGCAACTTTTATGTGCCAATGATTGGAGGATGTTGGGGGCAACTACGGATTGAGATCACGCTCCCATTTGATCCCATGTGCAAGTATTAGTAAGTGTTCAGCAATCATGGTCGATGTGATAATCAATCTGATAGTATTATATATATATATATATCATATATCTCTCAGGAGCTGGCAACCGAATCTTTTAAGGATCCATTTCGCTGGCCATGGCACATCCTTCAACCGATCGCGTCGCTTCCTCTCCCGCAAAAAGTCCTGGTCCACTACCAGGGCTTCTACAGCAAGGTTTAATAACCAGGGTTCATCAACAGATAAATTATCATTAGTATGAGAAGTTGATGATCAACCAGGTTAGCATCTTAGCAAATAATCCATGGTTAATTTGGTTAAGAATCGAGTATAATTAATCAACTAATGATGGATTAATCACAGTTGCAATCCATTTATACAATTTATTCATCCCTGCATATCCCTACTACATGATATTACAATATATTACATGTATGTTTCCATCGGCCCAAGATGATTAGATCCAATACTTTCCACCAGCGGTGTGTACATGATGAGTGTGTCAGTGGTCCGTAACCTGTTGGTTTTTTTCCCCACCTGCCAGGTGAGGGTTGTTAGATTTTATGTCAGTTGCCTCCTCCTCCTTCTCCTCCTCCTCCTCCTCCGCCTCCTCCTGCCTCGTCCTCCTCTCCTCCTCCTCCTCGTCCTCGTCGTCCTCGTCGTCCTTGCTCAACTGCGACCCGCGATCCACAGTGTTCTCTGCCGGACCTCAACCACGACCATCCACGCCCAGTGTTCCCTGCCGGACCTCAACCACGACCATCCACGCCCAGTGTTCCCTGCCGGACCTCAACCACGACCATCCGCGCCCAGTGTTCCCTGCCGGACCTCAACCACGACCATCCACGCCCAGTGTTCCCTGCCGGACCTCAACCGCGAGTATCCACGCCAAGTGTTCCCTGCCGGACCTCATGTAGGAAGATATGGGACAAAGAATGTGCAGAAGAAAGTTAGAAAGAATGTCAGAAAGAATGATATGCCAGAAGATATGCCAGAAGAAGATATGCCAGATAGATATGCCAGATAGAATGCCAGATAGAATGCCAGATAGAATGAAGATTTGCCAGATAGAATGCCAGAAAATATGCCAGAAGATATGCCAGATAGATATGTCAGAAGATATGCCAGAAGATATGCCAGAAGATATGCCAGAAGATATGTCAGAATATATGCCAGAAGATATGTCAGATAGAATGCCAGAAGATATGTCAGAATATATGCCAGAAGATATGCCAGATAGAATGCCAGAAGATATGTCAGATAGAGTGCCAGAAGATATGCCAGATAGAATGCCAGAAGATTTGCCAGATAGAATGCCAGAAGATATGCCAGAAGATATGCCAGATCATATGCCAGAAGATATGCCAGATAGAATGTCAAATAGAATGTCAGAAGATATGTCAGATAGAATGCCAGAAGATTTGCCAGTAAGAAAATGTATAAATGTCATGGTGGGGATCACACGAAGTAAAGTAATTATTGGTCATCCAACTTCTCACTATGACTCACTATGTAGCAACTTCTACCGAGCATCTGCAGAAACACTCGCAATCCGCTTCTGTCCCAGCCCTTGCAATCTCCAGTTTTCCCCTGTTTCCCGTTTCTCAAAGGTTCAAAGGTTGATTAAAAACAAATCACATGATTCCTTGGACATCTCCAGTTTGATCTTAGCATCTTAGCACTACTTCCATCTCAACAAGCCACCAAATTGATCTTCAACGCAGATCCATGTCCTGCTGGGCATGCAACGGCAGAGTTGCACGGACACGATCCAGGAGTGCCATAAGTCTGGCAGATTCGAAGAGCTCTCCTGTGTCACAAATGGCAGGCAGCTGACTGATGCTGACTGGTGCTGCATGGAGATTCCACCCTTGAGGTGTTGCAAGACACCAAAAGGCCAACCTGGATGAAGAGCTTCCGCATCTTCCTCTACCGGAAACAATCCACACCTTGGACCTAAGCATCAAGAAACCTCCAAATTCGAACTTCCACCAATCCACAGATCAACATCAAGCCACATCACTCTCTCTCTCTCTCTCTCTCTTCCCATCACCATCAAGCCATCAGTCCTGGTGTTGATGACACATAGCCCAAGCCCAGGCTCAAAGTGCTATGGATGGTGGCCAACACGCCATCCACCCTGTCACTGACCTTCAACTCGAAGGGTGACATGGGATGCCCGATGCCTCAGCCACCAATGGCACCAATGGGGCCCCAAATCATCCATATTTTAGTAGGATGATATAGGATGATATAGGATGATCCATGAAATAAACCATCCAGCTATTGGGGATCCCCCATTTTAAGAAACATTCAGGGGTATCATGAATGAGTGATAAACATACCAAATTCTATCATGTTGGGTGATGAATGGGGGTGATAACCCCTGCAACCGAAAATAGGTTAGTCTTGGAGTTAACATTAATGGTTGGAGACAGCAGCAAAATGTCCTTTGCACCTAGCTTTCAACCCGTGGGCAAGGCATCTCAGAATGATTCAGCGCGCCAAATGTTTTTTTTGCCTGCTCCCTTCCAGCTCAACTCCAATGAGTAGATTTTCAAGACTATGAAAAGGTGAAATCGGGGTGCTATGCAGATTCAGGAAATCATAGGAAAACCCACACAAAACTTACACGCAGTATGGGCCAGTATGGAAATCTAATTCCTGAAAATGACCAACATTCTCAGAACTGCAGTTTTTGGGGGTCTGAAATCTTGACATCCCCTGCAAGCCAGCCGCTGATTTGCTCATCAACCAGGCTTTCACACCAGCGCTTCATCTTGGAAAGGGCAGAACCAAAGGGTGCCTGCCATGGTCATGGATGCCATAGGTTTGTGAGGGCTACTATTCCAAATTTGGCTGGCCTGTTTATTATTATAGCACTTGATACAAATGATGTTCACAGCTTACGTCATGATTCATCATGCCAAGAGCACTCAATACCACAGATTCATCCAGATTCACTGACTGGTAAGATCAAAATCTTTGGGGATCTAGGGGGAGGCTTGCCGGAAAATCCCACATTTACTTCGATGATTTCCCATTAAGAGCTCCACTTACTTGGTTATAGTTATGTAATATGCCATTAATATGCCATTAATATGCCATTAATATGCCATTAATGTGCCATTAATTACATCCCCATAGGTATTCCTAAGTACATCCGCATAGATAGTCATAGGTAAATGCCCATTTAGTTGGTTAGCTAAAAAAATACAGTATGCCAAAAGAAAAAATGCCATGAAAATTATATCCCCATATTCCAAATGACATCTCCATAGATCTTCCCCTAGATCTTCCCGGGCCATCCCGGGCCCCACCTCTGGAGCCAGGCTCGTCATGGCCTCTGTGGTCTCCGCACGACCGGCATCTTGGGCTCCGAAGGAACTGATGCTGGCCAACATGTCGGCCACATAGCCACTACCACCTCCTGGTGGAAAAAAAAAAGCCAAAAAAAACCTGGGAAAAATGGGCGGATATCTGATCTTTGGATGATGCCCATGGGGGATAAGAATGATGGGAATATCTATGGGAATAGAATGATATAATATATATATATGTGTGTGTGTAAATAATGGGAAAACTATAATTATGGAATACTAACTTCAAGGAAAACCATGTCGGAAAACCATGATGAAATGATATGAAATGTGGGAGTTTACTTGGGGGCGGTGTCTTTTTTAAGGATCCGCCTTGAGGGTTTCAGAGGTAGATCATCTGTGGAGTTTCTTTTTGAACATAACTTGGAAATCCTTTGAAGGTGTCATCATCTTCGCTGTCTTCACTTGGATGTTCCTGAAATCTGGATACATCTGGATACCTAATAATCTACCGAGGCAGTCTTTTTTCCTTAATCACGGGAGTTTTTAATTCCCAACCGATGAAAGCAAACCAAACAAAAATGGAATATGACCATAGTAAGAGTATGACTCAACAACACCCCTGCAGTACCCTTTGCTGGGTTTCAGAGCTTCATAGAGCTTCCCAACCCCTTCCAACCAGTTCAAGAATCTCAAGCCTCCGGCTGTCCTCGCATCTTCTGGAAGGGTAAGGGGTGCATAGGCGCACAGCCCTCCAGCATATCCCAGATCTCGGAGCGCAAACCTCCACTCCAGCGCCGGATGAAGTCCTGGAAACCAGGCGAAGCATGACGAAGCTCAGGAATCGCTCATTGCAAGTAGCCTGGATTTCTACTGCAAGGACTGCAATGTATTAACCGTATTTTAAGACTTTCAAGACTTACAGGAGTGTGCAAGGCCGAGTGCTGTACCAATTTTCAGAAGCTGAAATCCCAAAACCAGAAGCTTGCTACAGAAACTAGTTCCCGTTTGCTGGCTGGACCGATTGTCACTCTATCCAAGCTAAGTTGGCAAACCTAAACTGCAACGCTACGTAATCCATGTGTAGGGTTTATGATTCACTACTAGTGTTTTACCCATGGTTTTACCCATGGTTTACCCTGTTTTTTATCGATGTTTTTTTCCCCACAGTGAAGGGGACCAAGGGGACCAACAAGCCTTGGTGATGCCCCACCCCAGGGACCCAGGGAGCAACGGCTCGGAGCCGTCGGAGCGGAGCTTCCTGGCCCGGCCTGGCCCCTGCCACAGCTGTAGAGATCCGCCACATGTGCATCCGCTGCCAGCACCATGCGTCGTAAGGCTCCGCGCAACTCATCCTGCTTGCCACTGCTGCTGGCCTGCGGCCAAGCGGTCTATGTGTGGTGTGGATGAGCTGGAGAAAAATAGGTGCTTGATGCCAGTTTTTGTCAGCTAGAGCATCTGAAATCTATTATTAAAAAAAACATAAAGATGGGATACAGGAAGTGATAAGCTGCATGTAACATAACAAATTCTTATAGATTCTTCAAATATTTCACATGGGTCAGGATACCTTCAAGCTACAGTGGCACGTCATGAGCTGCCAAGGCCTTGAACCTCTCGGTCTCGAAGGCAATGATGGTTTGATAGAAAGGGCTGCTCTCAAGGCCCTGTGCGTATTGCGCGTGGATGACATTCATAGAAACACATGAAGAAAACCTTTCCAAACACCTGTTTTGATACCAATGGATTTTTGGGCCCTAAAACTTGCGTCATTCCACAACGTATCACGAAGTCACTGGATGTGTCACTGGGATTTACTGGGTATATTGCCACCTGCCCAGCTCCAAAGGTGTCGCACAGACTTTGCACCAACGTCATGGCTCGCAGACTTCCAACTGCCCGTCCCAACGACAGCGGATCCTGCGGGAGGTGTTGGTTTTCTTGTTCAGGTGCGAATGATGGCAATGATGTCGGGTATTAATGATACTAACAATGAGGCGTTCATATACATACACTACGGCTAGGATACAGTATGTATGTTTGTTATAATTGTTATATATATGTACATTATATATCATTAAATTATATGTTACCGGTATATTATAGTTCATAGTTTTAGACATACATACAGTACATATACACACACACACTAGCCATGCCTATACGTAGGAGTAAGGCCTCAGCCAGGCAAGAAATTACCAGTTGCAGAACCATGTCATGATGCTTTTCTCGCTTTGCACATCATGGCCAATAATTTCAATCAACATGATCAGGCAAGTGGACTGCAGTCATCACCCAGCACCTTTTGAAACCTCTCTATTGGAACCTCCTCCTCGGTGTCCGAATTCAGACATGTCCAATTCATTTCCACCTGGGGGAAGTGCTGGCTTTGCCAAGCACACTTTCGCCCCCTGAATTCACTAAACGAGTTGCTGTGCTTCGAGCGTTTTCCGATGGAAACCAGGCAATTGTCCAAATCTTGGGACATACTGAAAGTAAATAGATGGACTCCTTAAGCAAATACAAACAGCTGAACAGCACTGAATGGGGCAAGTACATTCACGTGTATATATCTCGTATATCAGATATATCACCTATTGTATTCATCAATATTCATGTATAGTCATGTATATTTGATTATATGTGTACATCGATCCACATCACTCCAAGTCACAGCCAACCTGAATTCTTATGACTTCCGCGATTCCACCGAGCGGCCACATCCAGACTGACGTTCGGGCCGTTCGGGCCGTTCGGGCCGTTCAGGACAGTAGACCACAGGGGAGGGAAAGTCAGTCCTGAAATTCAACACCCCCGTCATGTAAGAGTTACTGTAAGTTCCTTTCTGGGGCCATTGCCTTAAGAATTCTTTCAGAGTGCCCTTGGGCCCCTTGGGCTCTTGCACTCGCGAAAGTCTCCTGAAAGCCCCTAAGGTGCCACCCAAACTGGTGCCACCTGTGCCAGTGGAAGGGCGACGAGCAGAGCTGCCCTCGCGCCGTGCCACATCCTGACTTCTGAGACTTCTGTTGATTTGGGCTGTGGAATTCCAAGTTCTCTCGAAGGATTCTTTCTGGAAGCCATGGTTTCATGCAGACCTTCCCTTCAACCAATTCTGTGCAGTGCAAATTCTCAAAAAGGTTGAACAATTGGTCAAACAACTGTACATTAAAAATGCGACATCAAAAATTGATGGGCGATCCTGGCCCATCAAATGATTTACTTCTACAGATTCAACACCAAGTACTACTTCGCACCTCAACAAGTAGCCCTGTAAGATCCTGTAAGTAGAGTTGACCCACCTACACACGATATCAATATAACATAGTATATAAAACATAGCAAAACATAGTAGAACATAGTAAAACTACAAACAACCAAACAACCAAACAAAAAATGGCAACAACCAACTTGACCTTCCAACCAAAGCCCTTCGCCCAGCCACTCGTCTCATCAAGACATCCGCCGTTACAGCCCGTTGCAAGGGCAGGCCGCAGGGGGCCGAGCGGATCTGATCGGGATGGCTGGACATCCATTTGGCCTCAGCTTATCGGGAAAAATTGGGAAAGCCATCTGTTGTATAACCCATATGCCATATATTCCATGTATGGAATATTTATCAACATTTGCCCTAAAAATCACCCAAAGGTAGGCAAATATACCATACATGGAGTATATGGGTAAATGGATTTAAATTTAAATCGTGGATGTTCCGAATCCGAATTCCATGGCCATGTTTCATTACCAAAGGGTAACTGGAACTCCCTGTGATGATCTTCGAACCCCACTCATGTAATGTATTCAAGATCTTCAAGCCTACCCGTTCATACAAGTCAAATACCTTCAAAGACAAATCATCCCAACAAATATCTTTCATATCCCCTCATCTCCCAAAGCACCACATGTCGCGTGAATTGTCCCCATTTGAAGATCACCATTTGGCATGGCACATCTACCATCCCCAAGCTCCCCCCAAGCTCCCCCCAAGCTCCCCAAGCCCTACCAAGCCCCAGCATTCTCCAAGCGTCTCGTTTGTCATATCGATCTCGCGCCACGGGATCCGACAGGGTGTCGTAGGCCTCGCGCAGGGCGGCAAAGGCTTCCTCCGCGGCGGAGCTTTCTTCCAGGCCGCAGGACAGCAATTTGTCGGGATGAAGTTTCAAGGAGGCTTTGCGGAAGGCCCTTCCAATCTCCTGGCGGTGGATAGATGGATGGGAGGAAACACTGGAAAAGGGACTGTGAAGACGATGATGGCGCAACTGGTTAAGAATGATCTTAATACAGTGATACAGTGACTTCAAATATGAGTGGGGGAATGGTGGGGATAGAGATTCTGGTGGAATATGGTCAAATAGGCAAACACTGTCACGAATCATTGCCTGAGGAGAACCCTGCATTATATGTGACCCGCACTTCCAATGCCGAATGTCATATGTCATAAGAAAGCCTTAAACATCCTAAAAATATATTTAAACATCTCATTGTTAAAACTGGATAGAACTGGAGGTTCCCCTTCTTTTTCCCTCCCCGTCTCCCCAACCTTGGCAGTTGCAGTGCTCCGTATGCCCAAGAGCTCGTAGTAATCATCACGCATCGCTGGCCATGGCGGAGCCACCAGGGCCGCTGCTTGAGCACCGATACGGCTGCCGCACCGTCCAGTCATTCCACGACATGTTGGCTCAAGCTGTGGTGCAAAGTCTTTCAACATGGGTATAGATCCAAGGTCCAAGATGATCTAAGCAAATCCCAATAAATACCAAAAGACTCAATCTTATCTCTCACATATTCAATTATCATGTCTAATCATTTGCCATCAAGCATTGCGAAACATTATCATGATTATCCATTTATACACATATTTACACTACATCTTTTCCAGATCAATAGCGTCTTGGCCACCATATGGCCACCAGCACCGCCCCTCCTGAGACTCGATGGCCTTGGAGAGGTGTTTCTGGATGCGTTGCTTCGGCGACGACAGGCTGGACTTCAACATGTCGGAGATCGAAGCACCTGAGGTCATTCCAGGGTCGCTTGATCGGAGGCGTCCCTTTTGAAGGGATGGGTTGGATCCTGGAAATGGGAGTACTGGGCCGTCCGAGTCCAACTAAGTGGATATACAACATAAGTTATGTGCGGGGCTTATATCATCTTATATCAAGTTATATCCCAGCTTATGGAGGTTATTACCATTGGTATACCCAATTATAAGCTCAATTGCACCCCAAAGATCCCCAAAGTACAAGTACCTCAAATTCAAATGGATTAGCGTGGACTCTGATTGTTTTCCCGCATTAAAATGCGACATGTTTGGGACAAAACCAAATGGAACGTATGATTGAGTATTGATGAATAACGATGGAAATGCAGGAGGCCAGTTGAGAGTTGAAAGAACAAAATTGGATCAGTGGGTGTTCCCTTTTATATCTTGTCTTGGTTGCAAGACCTGGAATGCTCAGAGTCACCATATTTATCCACTTTTGGCTGCTGCCCTGTGCCCCCCAGGCTGATTGAAGGCAGAGATTTTGAAATGCAGAAATGGAAAAGATTGAAACTTTCACATCCAACCAAATGGACCACTGGACCACCGCTATCCAAACGGGGTGGTCCTAACATATCCATCGCTATCCATCGCTATCCATCACTCAAAACCTTTCTGGTGCATCCAGCAACCCCCTGGTTCAGCCAAGACACCTCCATCTGTGGCAAAGGCGTCATCCAGGGCGACCAACAAATTCAGCACCGCTTCTTCCAACTCGTTGGTCCAAGATCCATCCCAAACCCAGTCATACCTTGCGACAACTCAGACTCTGCTGAGGATACCCAAAGCCATGCGACAGCACAAAGTTTTACGTGACAACGTGGTGACTTGACACTGAACTCGTTTGGAGCCAATGCTCAGGGCAATAAAACAAACTTGTTCATACCCTCTTTCAATCAAACCTGCCTGGGCAGTGAGTCGTCATCCATTTACTTGTCCATTAAGATAATCTTCTCAAAAAAATGATGTTGATGTTGATATTCCTGCCAGCCGTGATTATTCAATATTACTCAGACAGCTCCCCTGTTTTTTGGCATATTCAGAAACCCTGGCGACCACCGTGGTTGCGGCTGAGATCACGCATCATTAAAGAGGTCCAGTGCTTCTCCATACTCTCCGAGCGGAGAACCTTGGGGAAGGCCGGACGCAGCTGGAGCAAGCTTTTGAATGGAGAACCAATGGCAACCCATGGTAGAACCTCTTATGCAATATCAGTTAATGTATGTTAATGTCTAAGTCTATGTAGACCAAATATTCAAAATATATGTAACATGAAGATTCATAAATAAAACATATCCTTTCAAGAATTGAAGGCAAATGCGATCGTCAATTTTGAAGATTGACATTCTTTGGCATAGCCGGATTGGCAATCACGGTGCCCTGTGTTGCCCTTACAATAGTGCCTGTCATGGACTTTCTCACCTCTACTAGGGTGGAGATGCTTCTGAAATACTGGCAGCTACCAGTAGCCGTAGCCTATCCCAACATGTCCGGAAGTGAGGAAACAGAGCCCCCAAACCTCAAACCACTTGTTCTGTCAGCATTTTAGGGACTGATAGCGCACGTGGTTCAAACAAACCAGCTCAACCATTGTCAACCGAGCTAGATCCAAGGCCACGAGGTGACAGTCCGAGTAGCTCACCATGAACCAACAGCGCTCCACCATTTGATCTCCATCACCGGTGGCGACCCGGAGTTCGTGCATCCCAAAATCTTCCAATAGAAAGCTGGTCCTTGGCGAAAAAGCAGGCACCAAGTGATTGGTGGGGTGAACATCATCCACGCTTTTGTTGATCACCCAATTCAAACATTTTTTGGACACACCTGCCGGAATAGCTTCGAACACTATACTGTAACTATTAAATATATATATAATATGATATAATATGAGATATCGATAGATATCGCATCTTTGGCTTTATAAACACTTGTTGATCTTGTTGCCCATTGCCAAGTCAACTGGCATTGTAAGTCATTGCAGTGCCACAATGTGCCACATTCCCATGTTGCTGCGCCCAACCTGGACTGTCTCACGATGAGCGCAGCACCGAGAGTCGGCTCCCCGATCCGCAGTGCCAGCACCTCCCCACTGGGCAGGACCACGCCGGCCCGGAGGCCCTTGGCATCGCTGGGCTGAAATTCCTGCAGGCCGGTCATGTGCAGCACCGTGCCCACGTGTGGTGGGCTGCCACCTCCTTCGAAAATCACCTGGGGCGAGGTGGGCGGTCAGAGGATGTCCATCAAATAGGTTTTCCCACACCCTGCTCTCATCCAATATAGCTACGTATGTATAGTTTAGGTTGCTGGTACACCTCACCTGATGACCTGATGTTTCTGCCCCATTCTGTATCCACCTCCCCTTCTTGAGAAACTCTGGACATGTTGGTTGGACCATCCAACATGACCGGCCTCCAGGGTCGCGGCTTTGTTGCGTTGCACTTTGCAGCCGCGGGTCGGCAAGTGACCAAACCTGAGGTTCGAACTCTGGCATCCGGGCTGGAAAAACATCAACCAACTTGAAGACATTGAATGACCATTCAAAGAGAAGTTGGCTAGCAACATCTAGCAACCATGGTGACAAGATGTTTCAGGGCCACTAGCCAAGTAGAGCGCGTGCTCCTTCTTTGAGGGGGACTTGCTGAAGGTGCTCTTAAGACGATCACTCTCCCCCCAAAAAAAAACAGACTCTTTCAGTATTGACCTCTTTGACATTTTCAGATACCAACACCATCCAATCAGTTTCAGAACCTCTGAAGAGGCAAGGAACTGACATGAACTCAGATAGAGTGTCAAGGAACAGTATCCATAAATCCATTACCATTCAAATTTTAACTTCTAAATTCTGGGATCAATGTTTTGGCATATCAAAATAAATTATTCAAAATCCATATGCCTTATCCTGATGATTTCCGTCCATGTCACTGGTTCTCCTTTCCAGTTGCCACATCATGTTCCATCTCCTGCAGCATCTTCCAGGGCCCAAGCCGTCATCGAAGTGCAAAACTCCCAAGTTTGATCATGTAGGTCAATGTAGGTGTTCAATTTTCCATGGTTTTCCTTGACTTCAACTGCTTTTCATGGGTCTTCCCAAAGTCTTTCAATGGGCGTCCAAAGATTCTTCAAAGTTTTTCCAGCGTTTTTGCCAGCTTTTTCTACAGAATCCTCCTCTAATGACTCATATTTCTCCAGATTTTCCCAAGAATTCAGATGCTCCACCCTTCTCCCATCTTCTCCCCATTGCCATCCCTTGCCCACCGTCAGCGCGGCCAGGGCGTCATCACTCAGCGCAGCCCCTTCGGCCGCATCCAGGAAAACCGCCAAGGCGTCCGCCTGTTTTTTTTTACACCCGAAAATCGTTGGAATATGTTGGAATATTGGTGATAAATTATGATACTATCAATGATACTAGTATTCCACTTATACCTGGATTTGGGATATTAGTGGGATATATTACAACTGAATATCCAAGGTGGTGCCCCTGTGAGCAAATTTAATGAAAATGGGGTGATATTGGCTGATCTTTCCAAATATCTTGGGGATACTTTCAGAACTTTCGGTGATATTGGGGGCTGATATTCTTATAACTTATAACTTATTTATAATTTAATTTAATGGAGCTATTTCAGAAACAATGATCTGGAAATATCAACTTTGCCTAGCACTTTGGATGAGGTTGACGTATGTTGACATGAGGTTGCTAAGAGTCATCTCTCAGCAAGATTTGGGATGCCGATCTTTCCTGTTGAAACATCACCTATTTCATCCCTGGTCCCCCCCCTCCAAGATGTTTCTTCTGTAAGAAAAAATTGCCGACCCCCAAAAAAATGATAAATCATTATTATGCATAATTATATATTGTGGGGATTCGACTGGCTCCAGCATTCCGCCACATTCTGTGCCTCCAAGTGTGGGAACTGACGTTTCAGGGCTGGCAGGCCCAACTCCGCTCGGGTAAGGTCCAACGAGGGCCGGGGGTCCGACGCCATGGCCAGTTGCGAGTAGTTCTCTCACCCCAGTCATCAACTTGGTGAAATTTCATATGATTCATACTCATATGTCTCATGTTGAACTAGTATATCATCAGGGCCCGTGTTCAACTGCTTATGTGCTTACATGTGCTTACAATGTGTAATTCAAATAGTCCAATTCTATCCAATTCTTCGGAAGAGTTCCAAGGAATCATCTCCTGGAAATCATCACTTCTCAGCGCAAAGGTGCGTTTCGTGTCACTGCTCACGTCGGCTGTTTTTGCAGAGGGCCTTCCTGCATCAGCCCTTACCTACGGATCCTACAGGATGCTCATTTTGAGCCTGTTTTGTGCTGACGCTTGGACTGCTGGAGCTTTCAATCCTAGACATATAAGTCAACTGGGAGCATCCACAATTATTATCCTATATCATTCTTTATTATTTCAACTTATTTCACTGTCATTCCAGGTGGAGATGAAAATCAACCCAACCAGAGGGGTCACGGATGGCATCTTTACCGCGGTCTGATTTCATCCAGCTTCCCCCTGTGCAGCGACTTTGAAGCCGCGGGGAAGACTCGTGGCATCGCTGAAATGGGCACCAAACTTTCTGCCGCGATTTCTGCCGCCACTGAACCAAGATCAAAACATATCAAAACCAGAGGGAAACGTGATGAAAAAATCAAGCCTCATGTAAGGTGTGCTAAAAGAGTTAAGAGTACCCCGCCCGGAAAGACGTGTTTCATGTTTCGATCCTGGAAAAAACAGCCATTAACAGTGTCCAAAGCTCAACTAGCCAGTAAGAATCAGTAAGATATACCATCTGGAAGCGCTTCAGCATTCTTCGGACCCAAGAGATGGTCTAGACTCAGACCGGTGACCTGCTGAGATGATCAAATGACCAAAGACTCCATGGCTGTCTCCACGTTGAACTTCGATCCATCCAGGGCATTGAGGAAGGCAGTGATAAGTCCCCTGGCCCATGGCTGCCTAGGGGGATCTCCTGATTGCTCCACTTGAAATTGGACAGTTGTGTCGCTGGAGAAGCCATTTACAGTTGGCACAGTTGGCTATGTTGGCTCTATGGGATTCTAGGCAAGGCTGGGCGGTCCGGCCATTCAGAGACATGACCCATTACCTTTGCAACTGGCACATGGGAACAGTGGGCAACCTCAATCAAGCCTTCCGTTTTCAACTGCATAGGGTCTGAAACATTCTGTCAATATTCAAATCAATATTCGGACAGCTGTTTGAGCCATCAATTTGTTCCTTTAAGGATTCTCAGGATTTATGTCTTTATATCCTTTGAATGTGCTATTGGTATTGCCATTTATGGAATAATTTCTTTGTGAAACTCCTCGGGTATCCAGCCCCTGCCTGCCCTGCTTGATGACCATGCTCGCCGCCAGTGAAAGGATGGACAGGCGGACCTTCCTCCAAGTGATGCGGTACCGGAAGACGGTAAACCTGAGCACTGCACGGCGAGTTGGAGTTCAAAACAGGTTGCATGATATGATATGGGGCTTTCTTTAAAAATGGGGGACCTATGGTTTCAATACCAAAAAAATGATCTAAATTGGGATGATTTGAAACATGTCCAGTTCTGGACACATCGCGCAAATGCCCTACTGACACAACACAACCACCGCGCAGCATGACGCATGTTCAGCGACTTGCAGCGAGAAACATGATGGTCTTCTCCTTTTGCCCCAGGATCCTATAGATGTCGTTGTCTTCGGTCAACCGCTTCCAATTTTCAACCTTCTGGTTGAAGCTTGCCAAAGGCAGCACCTGCAACCAGAGGTATGCCATGGATAAGGGTGCTGCAGACACTACCATCAATACCTCAGGGTGCGGTTTCACACCAAAAATCACAAAGATCACCATCAGAATGTAGGCCAAAGGTGGAAGAATCTCCAACCCAAAATGGATCCGCAAGAAAGTCTTCCACTTCACCTTGGCCCTCTTCACCAGCTGGATGAAGTCCTTGACCCTGTTCACCAGCTCCCGGCACTTTTGCTCGTGGTGGGCCCGAAGCTGGGCAAGATGCTGGGCCCGCTCAGCGACACGCTCCTGCATCTCTAATCTCTGGTACCTGACCTCCTCCTGGCGCCTCAGCTCCTCCTCCTGGTTCTTCAGCTCCCTATCCTGACGCCTCAGGTCATCATCCTGGGTCCTCAGCTCCTCCAAGTCTCGCTCCAGGTGATGCACATCGAGTTCCATCATCAGAGTGGTTGCAATGTGGGGCATGACGATTGCCAGTAACGCTATGAGCTTCACGGCTGCTGTGCCCAGCAAAATGATGATCTCAGTGTCATACTTGTCCTGCATGTAGCTATACAATGCCGGCAGCAGCCTTGGTAAAACCATAGAATTTCCCACTGGCATGTCCTATCTGCCCTATCTGCCCTATCTGCCCTATCTACATTGATCCATTTGCAAGTTCTGACATGTTCATCATGTTCTGACCATATCTAACTGTTGCCTCCCTGCGAGCCAGCTGCAGGTTCACGATCATCAGCAGGGTGCCCACCAGCAGCCACTTGCGAATGGTCTGGAGGTCTAGCGGCACCTGTTCACTTCGATCGCGGCGCGGCCCCAGCTCCAACCACAATGGCTGTTGGGTGCGGAACTTCTTCGCCGCAAAGAGATGGATCCAGTAATCCCAGAGCTCAACAAAGGTCACCTCATGGGCACATGTTTGATCATTTTTGGTCATACCCGATGTGTGCAACTGGAAAGCAAAAGTAATTCAGAAGGGTCTTCACTCTCGAGGCGGAAAATTCATGAGACATTAGAATTAGAATCATTCAAACTCATTCGAAATCCTTCAATGTTCAAATTCTTCATGCCTTTTCAAACAGCTTTGTCAAAAATCGCTAAACTTGCTGTGTGGCTGCGAACATCATCAACTTGACCCTGTTGCGATGGTTCCATAGCACCGTGACCCCCATGGCCACAGCAGTGGCCAGCGACCACAACAGGGGGCTGAGGCCAAAGTAGCACCTGCCATGAGCAAAATCCCAAACCCAAATTTGCAGGCTACAACCTGCAGATTCGTAATATCAATATGTACACGCCCAATATATCGACAAAATGGGGACATTCAACACATCAGAATGGGCTAATGATAAGTCAAACAACTTTGCTGAGCATCAGAAGTCCTCCCGCCCAAAAATCCCCACCATGCGGGGAGATGTTGGGTCATGCAGTGGCTCCTGGAACCTCATCAATGCACCTTGTCATCAGATAGGATGGTCGCTCCGGTAAGAATCGAGCTGCTTCAGGTTGCATGTACTTGGCTACATCATGTTCCACAAGTGCATCAGCTGCATCAGCTGCAACAGCCGGAACCACTATGGCGGCAGTCATTGGACCCTCTCTGATCTACAATCTAATATGATCTATATCTAATTGGACTGACTAATGAGCTTCGAACTGCGGGCATGAGTCAGCCAAGGGAAATTTGGCACTTCAACATACTTCAACTGCCAATTTTGCAAAAACCTATGGATCCCATGGGTGCATTGTATCCTCATCCCCGGGCACCTCCCAGGAGATCTCATCCATCAACTTCTCATGTTTGATCCGCGCGTTTGCCTCTGCCGAGTCCAGTTCCAGATGGCAATCGAGCCAGCCATATCAGTCATCTTGAAAAATGTGGATGCTTCATGATGTTTCCACTTCGGTATACTTCGGTGTAGGCTTTCCAGGCTTTTCTTGCAGAATGCCATCAAGAGTCAGAGGACATTATAGTACATTGTAGGTATCAGACACATCAATCCCATCAAGGACCCCCGACGAAAGCCCAAGCAGTGCGCGACAGGTCCTGTCACCGCGAAAAAAGGGCTCCGAAGGGGAATTTGCCTTCAAAGGCCCCTACAACATCAACATCCAGTCCAGTCATATACTGTAAGATGTATATATATATATATAAATATATATATATAGTATATATTATATATTTTTTCATTTAACTGTGGATTTTACTGTGGAGTTTGGGACCCACAAGACCCCCGACCACGCGAAGCGCACGTGAAGCGCACGTTGACACCGCCACGGTCCTGTGGATTCATCTCCTTCACCTTCGCGACCACGCTGCTGGCAATCGCCTGCGTGGGGCCCCGTGTGATTTGTTGCCACGCAAAGCATACCTATGGAATCCTGATAGATAGATCTCAATATATCAATATATCAGTATATCAATATATATATATATAGCAATATCTCCTGGTATCTGAACACATTTGAGAAATCCATTATGAAAATTTATGAAATAGATAAGATTAATAGTGTAGAATCTATAATTGTAGATGTTATAACTACACGGCTACGCCATCGTCCTCACATGTCCTCACCACTGGGATGTGACCTGCATCCCTCTCTCAGCTTTCTTCATCTTGGAGATGCCCCAGGCAGCGTTGCACAACTCCAAGGTCTTGAAGCGATCCACGCTGTGCCGCAAGCGCTCCACAAGGAGATCCAGCAGTTCTTCATCCTTGACCTGGCGCCGGAGAATGGAATGGAGGATACTATTGGATACTGTTGGGATACTATAGGAGACAGTTCGCTTTGAGGATGTTCACCAATTTCATCTTAGAATTATATATTACACATATAAAATAAATAAATAAATACATACATATATATATATATGTCTCTCTCTCTCTCTCTCTTCATCGCCTTCCATTTTTATACCATAGTACATCTAAAGTTCTCATTTTGTATCCTACTAGATTACTTCTCGTTTGCTAACTTGACCTATTAACATGTATGAACATCATGTGGTATGATATGTGACTGTGGTCATCTCACTCAGCGAAACACTCCCCGAAATAAACAAGACCCTGCCAAACAGGGAGTTGGAAGATTAGTTTCCACCAAAACTTGACTGTTTTCATATGCAAAATAACTAGGGAATAACATGTCAAGAAAACATTTGAACAGTTCAAAAAGACCTTTCTCCATGCCGGTCGAGATTTTCTGCGTGTTCCAAGCTGGACATCCACTGGACCAGGCCATGGCCCTTTCTGATGGCACTCAGCTTCCGACTGCCATCCGACCAAAGGAGTAGAGCACGTTGGCACAACCTTGGCTCGTCTTTCAACTAGCGGGGCATCCTTCACGTGCACTCTACACATATATATATATCTGTATTATATATATATAAGGTATATTCTATTAAAGTATATATATATAAGATATATATAACATCCCCGTTCAGATTGGACCCGAGGGGTTGGGAGCCCCATTTTGTAGCTACAGAACGGCGTCCCCAAGGTGCCCTTCTTACAAGTTGGCAGAACCCAACGTTCACCGAGGAAGGTTTTTGTTACAAAATGGCAGTCCAAGCTGACCCCTAGTTACAAAATGACTCACCGATTTTGCTCGACTCGCATCCGCTGGCTCGATTTGCCCTTTACAGAATGGTGGGGACTGGGGGTGGCTATACTCGCACTATCCTAGGATCCCTGGGAAGTAACCTGCAACAGCCCGGCCAAGCCGAGTCGCGGTTCATTTTTTCCGTTCTTTTGCGTTCATCCGTCTGTTTTGGCGTGACGCTGTCTGAGTGGCCAAGCTAAACATTAAATACAACGTTGGATGTCATAATCAAAAATATATATATATATATATATATATCGATATATATATATATGTATATATATATGGCAGTCCAAGCTGACCCCTAGTTACAAAATGAGTCACCGATTTTGCTCGACTCGCATCCGCTCGCATCCATTGGCTCGATTTGCCCTTTACAGAATGGTGGGGACTGGGGGTGGCTATACTCGCACTATCCTAGGATCCCTGGGAAGTAACCTGCAACAGCCCGGCCAACCCGAGTCGCGGTTCATTTTTTCCGTTCTTTTGCGTTCATCCGTCTGTTTTGGCGTGACGCTGTCTGAGTGGCCAAGCTAAACATTAAATCCAACGTTGGATGTCATAATCAAAAAATATAAATATCGATATATATATATATAATATGTATATATATATATATATTTAAATAGATGTGACTCATCTCGAGCATTCATGACCACTCAGACGCATCAGACTTTTCAAGGCCTCTCCCAAGCCCTGCACCCAAGGCTATGAAAATTATTCTGTGATTTTTTGATTCCATCCAGTTTGTAGGGGCTATAGTTGAGTATTATCCATTTACGCTTTGAATCCATCCAATTTGTAGTGGTTATTGATTAGCCCTCCAGACTCCGACAGAATGGTCGGGACTGGAGGGTAACAAACTCGCACTTCCAATGCAAAATTCCGGTACCAGGGGGGGGTCCACTTACAAGATGGCAGAACCCAGGGTCAAAATTTTGCACAAAATGGTAGCCAAAAACCATTCTGTAACGGCCCTGAGGCCTCAGATTTAGTAACAAAAATTTCAACGGGTATTATATAACGGACTTAAACTGTGTGCGATCCTTTCCCGTCAGGGTGTTTTCTCAACATGCTGTCTTTGTCCTCTGAGCTGCCGTGCATTGCGGATCAAATCGTCTCACTTTTTTCCTGGCCTCTTTCCCGATGGCCTGGCTCGATGGATTTGTCTGACACGGTAGCCGCCGCAAATTAGTTAGATTTTTCGTCAGTGATAATTGGAAAATTAGATGGTTAATCATCAGGGTTACCATTAAAATGGTTCTTACTTAGTGGGTGTACTTATATGTTGCCCATCATCATCATCATCATCATCATCATCATCATAATCATATATATATACATACGTATATATATATATATATAGGTGTGTGTGTGTGTGTTCCATTAGAATTGCTGCCTTGTCATCACGTTTCCATCTATGTCCCGTTAAAAATGCCCTGTTCTTGTTTGGGTAAGGTCCCCCATTGTCAAACCAACCCTAACCGGAACTCAGCACGCCTGGAACAAAGTATCGTCCTCATGGCTCACCGTGGCAAAGGCCTGCTGTCGCCGGCAAGGAACAGCCCTTGAACGCCTCATGATGATTAAAGCGATGCCCAAAAAAACATTTGAAGTAATTGATCAATACATATCAATACATATCAGATATCACTATCTTAGAGGATTATCTATGAAGTAATTTATTTGATTTTACTTTTCCATATGTTTGAGGACTATAATTATACAGCTCAGGGCTCAAGTCCTCATTTGGCGAGACCTCAACATCCCGTTGACGCCTTTTTGAATCCTTTTGAGGTGATTTGCGTCTCCATGGTTATCTATATATCATATATATACAATATATCATATGTATATATCATCATATATCATCATATATCATCACATATCATCATATATCATCATATATCATCATATATCATCATATATCATCATATATCATCATATATCATCAAATATGTCATATATCATCATATATCATCATATATCATCAAATACCATCATATATCATCAAATATCACCATATATCATCATATATCATCATATATCATCATATATCATCATATATCATCAAATGTCATATATCATCATATATCATCATATATCATCATATACCATCATATATTAATATATATGATCATATATCATGATATATCATCAAATATCATCATATATCATCATGTATCATCATATATCATCATATATCACCAAATATCATCATATATCATCATATCATCATACATCATCACAAATCATCATATATCATCATATATCATCATATATCATCATATATCATCATATATCATCACATACCATCATATATTAATATATATGATCATATATCATGATATATCATCAAATATCATCATATATCATCATATAACATCATGTATCATCATATATCATCATATATCACCAAATATCATCATATCATCATATATCATCATATATCATCATATATCATCATATATCATCATATATCGTCATATATCGTCATATTATCTATTATAATATGAGTCGTCGAGTACTTTGTTAAAATTCAAACATTTGGGACATGAGCTGGGCCATCCTTTGACCAACAAATTCTTGCTGAGTCCCGCTGCCCAAGCCGTGATGGCCAAATTCTGTGGTTCGAACCTTGGCCGAAGTTCTGCGCTGCCATGGTGAAAATATATGAAAATATTAAAAAATGTTTTAAAAAAACATGGCGTCACGGGGAATTACTTGGTAAAATGAATATGCTTAACTCATTGTAAACTCAATAATTGCTAATCAATCTCCAATTTGAGCAATTTTGATCACAGGTGTTAGAAACCATGCCAAAATAGAAGGTCTATTCTTGGGTTTACTCCATTGTGCTAATTTTTGAGCCATTAGTTAATCCAGAACGATGGCAAGCAAAGCGGGGATTGGTCGTACACCCAAGGCAAAACATGACATAGGTAAACCATGGTAAACCATCCATCCAATCATCGAAATCAACCAACGAATCAGGCCCGACATCAGCCAGGTTTAACCAGTTTGATGCGCCAATTTCCCTTTTAAACATAGGTCCTGGTAGGCGTCAGGATGCCCCAAATAACAGCAGCTGAGCGCCAACTGAGGCAGGTTTTGGATGACTTGTTGCGAGATGGCCTGCTGCCGGGCCAATGTGCTACCCTCCAAGTAGTCTTGGATGTCTATCGATATCTTATGATCGTATCCCAAGTTTGGTTGGCTTTCAATCTCAAGGTTAGGCATACTGATAATTAATGGTTGGTATGAATATTGCGAGTATTGATTGATGCTAGCATATGCTAGCTAATGATAGTTCATAGGTTGTTTACATTTTGTATAATTGGGTAATATTAATCTTACAACATTGTCTCATGGCTAGTCAACTTATATAAGTTTTAAATATCAAATAATATAATGAATGTATTATCCATAATTATCATATCCATCATTATGATAATCATTGATTCTTATAATCATAGCAATCATGATAATTATCAGATTATTATCATGATATCCAGCACCCTCCATCTCCGCCTCAAAGATCTGTCCTGCTTCACGGCTCAGCCTGGCCAGTGCCCAGGCTAGGTTCGACAAGTCCTGCCGTGGCAGCCCACGCAGCCCATGACCGTGTTGGGCTCGTGGGAAAACCAGGGAAAGCCTCATATTTTGAGATGGTGATCAACTGGATCAGCTGGGTGGCCCATTTCTTCTGCGGAATTCAGGTGCTGGATATTTCGGCGGAAATACATATAAAAAAAACCATTAAAAAAACCCAAGTTTCCTGCAGGTGTTTCAAGTCTAGTCCATTGATCAAGTGCAACCTTGAAATACCTCACTCCAACTGATCAAGCGTGACAAACCCTCAGCAATCATTATGAACTTCACACCATGGTGCCATCCGCATCCAAGTAGTATTGCGGCTATTTCTGTATTCCCCTGCCCCTCGTGCCTGGTGTGTCATGTGGCGCACCTGCTGCAAAATGTCGTACCTGGGGGTTGGGGACAATGAAGGTGAGGACTATGTCTCAACCTGTTTCAAAATGTGCTTGTGTGCGTAGGGGGTCGTTTCACCCACACACCTGGCTTTCCATATCTTAAGAGTGATGCCAGAAAGAATAAAAAAACTGTATTTAATATTTAGTAATTTGGTAAACGGAAAATGACAGAGTTGTGATGCGGCGTCCGACATACCAAACTTTTGGTTTTGCTTTGACTCTCAGCAGAAGAGGCACTCAATACAACCAGCATCTGGGTAATCCAAACGCCCCCTCCACCGGACGGCGTTTTCACATCAATAGGAATCGCCAAACTGGTGGGTTGAGAGATGTTGAGAGTCATGAGTGTTCTGAGTCCTGAGTCACTTCAAACAAGAATCACAGAATCTGTGGGAGTTGGGGGTCATCCTGGATCATCTTGGCCCAGTTGCGTCAGCTTCTTCAAGACCTGCGGGTCGCAATGGTCAGCACTGGCAAAGCACCAAGCTGCCACCTGCTGGAGCAATCCGCCACTGGCAGCAGTAGGGTTCCATCTCTCCTATTCTCTCCTAGAAGCTGGAGAAGTGCTCATGTTTCCAGGGTCATGTGGGAAGAAAAGAGTTCAAAAAAAACAAGAACATCCAAGATCATCCAAAAAACCCACTAACAAGCCCCATGGCACCGTGAGATCTCCAGCAGCCAAGCTGGAGCGTCGAGCCATCAGTTCGCTGGTGAACTGGGCCTTGGAGACTTGGAGAGTACCGCATGGTCATCACATGGATGAAGGGCGCATAAACAGCCGCTCAAAAAGGCAAACAACGCTACATGGTAAAACCATATAAGTCGCACTGCTAGTATACTATGGCAACGGTATATATAATATGTTATACTATACCAATCCAACAATATTCTATACATAATATATATATAATAAATTAAATATCTAATATATGACAATATATGACATGTATGATCATCTCAAGCGCACACAATCCGCAGCCACAATCAAGTTCCACTTTCCACTTGCTCGCACTTCTTTTTTCCTTCCTGAGACTGACAATGTTTCCACCTATTCTTCGGCGAGATTTGCTCTGCAAATTGGCCCATTGGCTTTCCGGAGATCCGTTTTTTTTCGGGAAACTGCTGTTGATGGACCCCTCGTCAATCAAACAGCTTATCTCCTCGCTTGGTATCATCAAAGAGTGGGTTCCTTCCACCAGGTGCTGGGCTCGCCCCAAAGATCCCCGACTTCGGTGCCGGGGTCGGTGCCCCGAGCCCTGGCCGCGGTGCCGTGGAGACCGGCGCCTTGGACACCACCGGCGCTGGCGCGGCGGGCGCCGCTGCCGGCGCGTAGCCGGCCGGAGCCTTGGGCGGCGGCTTCGACGGTGGCGGCTCCTCCTCTTCGGCCTCGAAGGCGATGGCCGCCAGGGTCGGATCGCGGGTCAGCACGGCACTGGCCTTCTGCAGGACTTGCCTCAGGATGGAAAAATGATGAAACATGTGGTAGCGGTGCCAAAGCTCCATTTGAATCCATTTGAACAAAACAGGTCTCCTGTTCTGGAAGATGAATGAAAAAGAACAGTCCGAGGGTGGGAATTGATGAATACATGTCAAGTTCTACTGTTGATGTTGCTTTTGGATGCTTTTGGTGAGGAGAAAGAAGCTCGTGTTCAACCTATGTATCATGTCTTCTCATGCCTTCTAATGTCGTCGCCCCCTCCTCATCATGCAGATGCTTGCTCTCACAGTTGTTCTGCCCATGCATGTGCCCAACGTGCCCAAATCTATTTGCATTGCTTGGGGGTCTCCATGGGCAACTTTCTCCCATGTTCTTCCGACGATGGGGGTTCCTGTCACAACACTGAAATGAAGGGATGGAAGCAAAAGATTGCGCCCCAATTCCAACTGCTTATTTCTCAACGCAGGGGATATCACCTCCTGAAGGGACCTCATGCAGTCTCATGCCTAAGGCTTCAATAAGGCTTATCCCTGCAAGCACACGCCAAGTTGCAGCTGGTTGTGCAAGGTGCGCCTTTCTTCAACGATGTGAGGAGGTTCCCCCAACATCTCCGACAACTTGTCAGGTTTGTTCAATTCACTAAGGAGGGCGAACTGAAGTTTATCCTGCACTGCCCTGACCAAGTAGAATCCGATGGCCTTAGGGACCGAGTCCCGGATGTTTCGCACGGTGACCTCAAAGTAGGAATCCAACCGCTTTCGAATCTCCGCGACGAAGGGACCACCTTGGCCAGTGATCAATTCTGAATGCTGAAATGGCGGGAATTAATGGAGTTTTGGAGAGTTTAGGCTTGTCATGGCTTATCCTTGTTAATTTGTACATGTTTGCACCTTGGTTGGGGATATCTTCCACACGCCTGGATGGAAAAACATGTTTTCAAAAAACTACCAACCTGCCAAATGAGCTACTGTATCTGGCTTGTCTTCTCTCCTGGGCCTCATTCTTTTTGAGCATTGATCCAACTGTGCTGCTCACAGTCTGGTACGCCTGTTTGCTGCCATCTTTCACCTTTTCAAAGCCCTTTTCCATCATTCCAGGCTCTTTCTTCTCCTCTTCCACTGGCGGCGCAGGCTTGGGCGGTTGCTGATTCTTGTACATCGGCTCCATGGAGCCGTGTTGGGTGAGGTAATCCGGATCATTGGTGAAGAGGTAGCCTGAGGGCAGGGGGGGTGCCATGAAAGATACGAAAGTGAAGTGTTGAGATGACAAATATGTCGGTTGATGTAGGTTGCAACCTTTGGAGACAGCAACGCTGACTCAGACCTTGTCTTTGCTATGTTTGTAAAAGCATTAAAGGCATGCTTGGACTATTGCTAAATTATGCACCGGCAAACCTGCAAATTCTCCCCATCGTCCCAACGGCTGCTTCCAAGCGGCCAATGTAACAAGCAACCTGCTCTTCCACGATTCTTCGAGCCTCATCCTTCTGTTCTTGGATGATGTTCTGCGTCATGGTCAGCACAGCCTGAGCCGCTGAGTGCCGTAAATCCATGGTGAACTAACCCAACTCTACCAGGGGGCTATCCCCCAGCAATCCAACTTAGCAATGTAAAACCCCCACAATTGTAGATCATGCGTTGGCCGGGACGTTTTTTTTTGCCAGGTGAAATGATCATTCTGACCCTGGCTCATGTTGAGGTAAAACATCATCGACCACACAACTTCATCCATTCATATCCATTCCATGTTTCAACAACTTAGAGCGGAAAACACTTCAACCACCAATTTTATACTATCAAGCCAGGTAATTATAAACCAGGGATCCATATCAACCCCCCATGGTTTCCCCATGGTTTGCTGCCGCCTCGGCCATCCTTGGGAAGCGCCGGAAGACGGCGTGCGCCATGCGCTGCGCCAAAATGTCTAGGGCCGAGGAGACGTCGTGGACGCATTCCACGCTGGGAATGGACAACTGCTGCAGGTGTGGCAGGGCCAGAAACTCGAAGGTGTCCTCGGAATTCAGAATCTGATATCTGATATAATCTGATGATTATGGCTTAAATTTCATTGAAAATCTCTATTTTTTAAGCCTATTGGCGATAGATGCAATCTGGTTGTCTCAGATGTCTTCATTTGCCTATATTGTTTCATAAATCTGGACCCTTCCCCATGATTTTCCATCAATCATGTCACCCTGAAACCTCCCAAACCTATTGATGATGTTATACTTTATTATGTATGTATAATATATGATGTGAATCATGGCTAATTCGACGTATGTCTATGAGGTGATTCACAATGAATCATAATCCCGAAAGCTCTTGTTTGAAGCCATGAAATTGATGTATGCAAATCTGAGATGTCCAAAGGAGGGATGGATTTTAGACTCTTTTAGCGATGAGTGACACAAATGAAAGTCCTGCAAATCATAGTTCCATGGCTATGTTCCAATAGCAATACCCCTCTTTATCTCTTTTGAAAACTGACAACCCCATTCCATTCATCAAAACTCTTGCAAGCTCTTTCGTAAAAGAACATCTACCCTCCGGTAGTCAAACATGGCATGGAAAGTTAAAGCCCACCACTCTTATAGATCATTAAACAAATCAAAACATATATTGAAACATATATTAAAACATATTAAAACCTCCATTTTCAACCATTTTCCATATTTTCCATTGAGTCCATGGCAATTACACCAGTGTTTCACCCTTTTTTCGCGCATCGGGTGCCGCCAAATCACAGGGGATGGGAATCCCGGCAGCGAATCTCCTTCGTGGAGTCGGATCGCACGGTCGATGTCATCGTCCGACATGTTGCTGGTGATCTTGGTCTCACCTCGTGAAACACACATGGCGATCATTGGTGTGGATTTGTGAGAGCCATTAATACATAATAATTTATATATTTACATTATATAATATTATATTATATATATATTATGCGTGTGTGTGATTGTGCGTGTGTGTGTGCGCGCACATGAGTTATCATGAGTTGAGAGAAGCTACTGGTACTCAAGATTTATGGAAATGATTGGTTGGGATGGGGCACGTCCATTTGTGGTAGGGAAAGTGCACCACTAATAAATCAAACAAACAGCTGTTCCCCGAATTTCGGGATTCATCTAATATGGAAGTGGCCTCTCAGAATAATTCATAATAATTCTATGGTCATTCGTTTTGGGGGGTCGTGCCTTTCGGGGGATGGGAATGAGAAGCGGAGTTCAGCTTCACATCGCCCACATTTGAAACCACCTTGCGGCCCAAGTGGCAAAAGTCAACCAAGAAGTCGTTCATGATGGTTCGGATCCTGAAATGCGTCTGGAGTGAAATCCTATCCAAAAAGAATGATGAAGCAGTGCTTGTTCGTAAAGGTTTTTCATGCCCAGTTCCAGGCATAAACGATCCAAAAAAACAAAGAGATCAAAAAGTCTGCCAATTACGCCTACTGCGATTGTAAATCTTGAACTTCAACTCTTCACAAAGCTCCAAGCCTAATTACGTAGTGCACCTCTTGTCAGCCCCCTTTCGCCACCCACAAATCTAACGGTCAGCAGGCTGAAAAAAAAACGGCCCGAGAACACCCTATACGGAGCCAAGATGAGCCAAGTATCTTGTTGCCTCCAGAGCTGTTCTGTCCCTGTGACCCCAGATTCACCAAGTACCGTTGCAGTTTCCTGTCGTACTTGCCTCCTGAGACGCGAACGGATAATGATCCAATCGTGATGTGCAATGCAACTCAATACCCCCAAACTATGCTCGCAAAGGCATCATGTTCCACATGATATGAGCCGTTCTGATTAAACAAGGTGTGAATCACCTATTACTGAATAAATCACTGCACTGATTACATAGGAGATCAATGACTGCAATCCAATCCCTTTGATAACATGTCAAGATGTCCATTCGTCTTCACAATCACCCAACCCATTTCTGAGGAATAGGAAAAGAAATGAAAAGAATAAGGTTCCACCTCCCCCGCGCACCAGCAATATCACCCAGGTGCGAATTGTGTTTTTGAACATCTCGCAGTAGTCCGTGACCAACGTCCACATGACCTGCACTCTCTCAGCCGTATCCAGCGGGACGCCCTCGCCAAGCTCATCCAAGCGATCTTGCACTGAGCGACGTTTCTCATTGATCTCCTGGTATCAAACTCAGGGGCAGCCGACTGCCTATTTGAATTCTCTCCATCGCCATCTCTGAGAGTTCGAAGCCGAAGGCAAGCAAATGGCCCAGCTCTTGTTATGCTAATACATTTGTTTCATGTCATTTCTTGTAACTACCTTGGTGGGCATTCCGTTGCAGTTGCCAGTTGCAACGCATTCTGTACCAGTCAAAAAACAATGGCCACCTGGCCGCGAATTGAATATAATGGGTGGTATAGGGTAAGGGGTCCCATCTAAACGGCCCCTGGCACCAACACAGCCCCCCAAGGAAGAGTCCTTCTTGATCTCAGGGAGAAATCGCCGAATGTGTTTGAAGAGGATCTGCGTGAGTTTGTCGATCAAAACTGGCGTGCCCACAAGTCCAGGAGGGAGCTTACCTGGCAGAATGAGCAGCTGATGGCAGCTGGTTCACTAAAAATCAACTGACTATGAGAGGAAAGGTTTCCCGCGTGACTCCGCAACCCTGGTGCCAAGTGTACAAAATAAATCAAAATAACCGAGCTGCTGTAGACTCGGTGGTTCTCGAACCAATCCTTTTCGTCCTTCAACGAGTCCTTCACTGGCTTCTTGTTCACAATGTCCTGCTGACTGCGCATCTTTACGCCAACATAGCCAAGTCGTAGCGGCACATCTTCTCCTCTCAACATGGTTGCGGCATCTGTGCCCTGATCCATGATGTCAATCTTTGTGATCACACCAATTGATCCTGAGATGCGGATATGAGTTACATGGAATGGCGGGCAAGCAAAACAAGCTGATTCTGAAAAATTATGGCATATTGAGAAAGAAAGTGCCACATGACACTGGAAAAGAAACACATGGAATCAGCAAGCCAGAAACCAGCAACAACTGCTATAGCTGCTAACCATAGGCTACAACTGGTTACAAGCCACACCCACTGCCACCACCAGCAAATCACCAGCTGCACAGCCTGGTGTTCGCAGCCCAGTTTCGCAGGCCTTGAGGATCTACCTGCCGTGCCAATTGCAGGGAGTCTGAGACAGACATATCCTGATTGGCAGGAAGAACCTCAATTGGCCGGCCAGGGATGAAGCAAAAGATCCTCAAAAGATGACTCGTGAACTGGATGACCTGGTTCATCTAAGGAACATCATGCTTCAGATTTTCTCCAGAAAAGCCATCTTGATTTTCACCCAAGGTTGGGCCATCCTGATCATCCTGTGATCCCAGAGATATCCAACCAGTTTAGTTTCTAGATTGTTTCGCTATATCTTTGACTGGAAACGGCCAGGACGATTGTGCGCGGATCATTGATGTAGTGGAGGGTCATGTCTCGAGTCACCTGAGGTGCAGCTCAGCCTAGAATAGCCTAGATCTGCTATCTTGCTCCCGGCTACTGTTTGCAAATGATTAAATGGTTACAGTTGCTGCTGAGAAAAAAAACGCATGTGACCCTGCGTGATATATCTGAAACAGAATATTCTGAAACTAGCCTGGATGTCTTGAACATTCTTGAACATGGTATTGTTTCAAGTGCGGAAAAATCTCACTTCATCCCCAGGTCTTGGTCATAAGAATCTCCAATGTTTGGAGGCTTAAATCTCCATGATTCTCCGGTGGTTGACACCTCTGTTTTAACAGATTGGCAGCGGCTTAATCTCCATATCTTTGGGATTGATACCATTCCGAAAACCAGTACCAGGATGTACCAGTGGCATCACCAATGACAAACAAGGCTGACGTGAGATGCCCATCAGTGATGATCCCCCAACATCCAACTAATCCAAGACAGCAATTGAACGCATCCATTTGGAATAGGAACAGCCGGAATAACATCTACACATGGTTTGTTTCCATCCATGCTTGACACAAGGTAGTGTTGGGCCGTCAGAATCTTTAGTCCCTATTCATATCACGTGTTCCTTAGACATTTAAGGATTTCCCAACTACTGGACCCCTATGAAATCTCCATGTCCAATGAATCAATTCCGAATTATTACTTCATCCGTATTCACATTGCAATTTCGAGAAATGAAATCCCTACGAATAAAAACAAAATCCGCCGTGAATCATATCATTCATATCAATCATATCAAGCCTCAAGCCAAGACCGCACAAACCCTACACATTGCACAATCCGAACCTTCTCCACATCATCTTTCTGATCGCTGCCTTTCACCGGCACACGCGTGATCCCCGGCAAGTCGATCAAGGTGAGATCTGGTGCACCCGTGGCGTAGATCGTCAGGATGATGGGGTCGTTCACGATGCCCTTGTTGGAACCTGGGTTCTCCAATGCCTTCAACATGGCTTCGACATGGCTTCAACACAAGTCAAAGCCAAAGCCATGACCATACTATTGAAACAACTGTTGCACTAACACCAGTAGTTGAGACCCCTCTGATTTGAAGAGCGTTTTCCCCACACAGTGAACGTCTGAAAATGCGCCCAGCAACCAGCCACTTGGTCAGTTTGTCTTTCGATCTCATCTCTGACGTCGTTGAAGTTCGTGAATTTCTTGTCACCAACCTGCACAAAGGGGACTTCGGTGACCCAAGTTGCAACATACCCAATACAGTAACTTTAGCAGTTCCGCTATTCGGTGCTTGCAGGCTTTGATGCATTTGATGTATTGATCTCGCGCCTTGTCAAACACGGCCCACGCTTCATTTTCAGCATACTCCTCCAATTGCAGCAGGCTGGGGACTTCAGATGCTCCAGTGAATTGAGCAATATAAATGTACTATCATCACGCTGCAATCATAGTGACAGCATTGCCCTGGTTCACACTTTGGCTTGGCAAATCTGATGTTCTTTCTTGCGCACGTTTGCCATCTACCTATCTAATCTGCCTCCTAACACCTACTCAATCTCATCAAATTTCGTTACCGATATCAGCCTATCCCATATATATAATGTATAAACTGTGACGCTTGGTCGGTTCCTGCCAGTTATTCCGTCCATAGGCTCAGTTTCTGTCTTTCACCGTGCAAATGTTGATCACGCCCAGCTGGTCTGCAGATATCCCCAAGAGGGAGCCAATCCCTCCAAATCCTGTTAAACAATCATAAGAAGCATTAATTAATATCCAACATATTATAATATATATATATATAGATATTATATATATATTACTTTTTTCCCTACCCTACTATCCCTACTCTACCCACTCGTGGGATTCCATGGTTTCAATGGCTTGGTCGACTCGTCTCCTGTGTGTTCAAGTGCACCAGGCGCAATTCCAAGGGACGACGGGTCACTACCCCGCCGCCTCGAGGAAGGAAATCTAAGCCGACGATGGATTCAATCAATGAGCTTTTACCTCGGTGCCATAGATGCCACATGACGCCACAGGGCCATAGCAGACTGAGACCTTGATAGAAGTCTGGAAAACCCATGAAAAGCCTATGGAAATGTAGAAAAATGTGGTTGGCCAATGATGATGTATGATGATCTTCATCATCAAGTACATCCCTATTTTGAAAAAAACACTCCGAAACAAATCCAGAATGGGTTCCATCTTGAACCATCTTCAGCAACACGATTGAGATGGTCGGACCTACTGCAAACCCCAACATCACAGTCACTCAGCCACCCAACTGCCGAACCAAGCTGCCACTACTTTGCGTCCCAATGGCCGCAATGCGTGGCAAACTGATGTAGTGCTGCAGACCAACATCCCGCAACTCATCCACCTCAGTTACCAGCAACACTCACCGGAAGATGCTGGAAGGCATGTCAAGTCTTTCGGGTACAGAACGCGAAATTAAAAAGAAACATATATAAAGGAACACTTCTCAGGCATGTCTGCCCCAAGATCAGACCTCCAGAAATGATCAGACCTCCAGATGTCCTACCCTTCCAACTTCCAAAAAGAAGTGATCTGATATGATCCGAGAATGCCAAGCCGCAACAGTAATCAGCTGCCGCAAGTTTTCGTAGATGGCCGTCATCGCTGCTCCGCGATGACACAGCGGCCCAGGGGTTTTCAGCTTTGAACAGTCCACGTGGGGAGAACAATCCAGTGACTACTCAAGCCCAGTGCACTTTTCGGGGATTTGAGGTTTCTTTTGGGTGCCTGCCACGTGCTGGGGCCTTCTGGGTCATTCCAACTTTGCAACAGGTGGCCATAAGGTATTTGGTGAGGGAACCTGATATGGGATGGGTTTTCAGCAACTTTTTTTGAACACATAATTCATACCACATTCTGGCGATGCCAACGGGCCCTCAACGTTTCCGTGATGACTCCCCGAACATCCCCCGGCTGGGCCAATCCCAGCCATGAGCTCCGAATCTGCACACGTCAACTTGGCGTAGGCCCACGTTGAATTCATGACCTTAGAGCCAGTGGAAACGCTTTCGGAAAGGGGCCTTCAATGCTCGCAACTGATGGGTTTTTGTAAAGCCGCATCCACCAAATGGAGGAAGATCATCCTCCCATATCCTGCCAATGCTATCCTTCCAGAAGTCTTCCGGTATTCCGAATGAATTACCCAGGTGGGTCAAGCGCGGATTCGGAAACTAAAACCCCAGATTCGGAAACTAACAAATACGCGGATTCGGAAACTAAGATTCGGAAACTAAAACCGCAGATTCGGAAACTAAGCTGCGGAAACTAACAGACGCGGATTCGGAAGCTCAGATTCGGAAACGAAGAAACAGACGATTCGGAAACTGAGGACGGGAATTCGGAAACTGTGATTCGGAAACTAAAAAGTAGAATTCGGAAACTAAAACCGTGGATTCGAAAACTAAAGCAAGAGAGCTGATTTGGAAACTAAGACTCGGAAACAAAGACACGCGGATTCAGAAACTAAGATTCGGAAACTGAGAAAGGATCAGGTTCAGATATAAGGGGGGAGGAGTTGTGCAGACGCTTTTGGTAGGTACAAAACGCAATGCATACGGTGCGCAACTACAAAATTCAGTGCATGGTACCTTTTTTGCAGCTACAAAATACGGAACACAACCTTTTCTGACTCGGAAAATAATTCAAAATCAGCACTACAAAATCCAATGCATCTGAAGTTTAAAAATAGCTGAAAATCGGAATTGCTAACATGAATTTTCCCAATGACATTTTGTAGTTGGGTCTATGCCATCCAAAGTTCCGACCAACATAATTTCGGAGAACATTTTGTAGTTGTCTATGATTGAATTTAGTTGGATCAAGTGTTGACCCCGTGCAGTTTGTTTGTTAGATGGCATTCTGTGGCTTCATGATCTGTGTCCATGTACATGTCACGCACGGTTTCCTTTTTTCCACCTCTTCTCACTTCAAAATATACAACTACAAAATGCAAATGAGGATTTGAAAGGAATCAACTACAAAATGAATGCAAATACAAAAAGGTGGTCCCAACTCCTCCTTTTTGTACAAAACGATCCCTGGCTGGCATTCAGTACTGTAGCCCAAGTCCTCCCCTTTACGTTGCTAAATTTGAAGGAGGATGAGAAAGGCGGATTCGGAAACTAAGATTCGGAAACAAAGGCACGCGGAGTCGGAAAACTAAGACTGATTCAGAAACAAAAACGCGCGGATTCGGAAACTAAGAGTCGGAAGTTGGAAGCAAAGAAAGGCGGATTCGGAAACGAAAATTTGGGAGCAAAGAAAGGCGGATTCGGAAACTAAGGAAGTCGATCTCTGAATTCCACAAGATCCGTAATTTTCCATAGTATCTGAGCCACAACAATTTCCCAGTGGGATGTTTAAGTGAGTTATTGTTGCCGCGCTAGTTTCTGAATCGCGATATAATTTGTGAACCGTGGTAGTTTGTGAATCGTGATAGTTTCTGAATCGCAATAGTTTCGACATCGACGGAAATAGATTTCCCCGTGTGGACACTCCAAGTCAATTTCAAGTTCCATGGGGGTGTGTATGGACAGTCAACATCGATTTGAAATTCCATGGGGGTGGAGATTTTGATAACGTCGTTCCTGTATGGACATTCAATATCAATTTGACTTTCCATGGGGGTGGGAATTTTGATGTCATCTTATCCTCGTGGACAGTCCAAGTCAATTTGAAGTTCCATGGGGGTGGGAATGTTGATATCATATTACCCTTGTGAACAGTCCAAGTCAATTTGAAGTTCCATTTGGGGTTCTGGGTCCCGTTAGTTTTGTAAATCGTAGGAAATAGTTTCTGAATCGTGATAGTTTCTGCGCTGGTTTCTGAATCACGATAGTTCCTGAATCTGTGGAGATAGTTTTTGAATCTTAGTTTCTGAATTGTAGTTTCTAAAGCTCTATAGTTTCTGCATGAATCGTGATAGTTTCCGAATCGCCGATAGTTTCTGAATCGGTTTTGGATCTACCCAGGTGCCTCCATCAGGGGCCCTCCAGCCAGGGTCAGGTGCCCAGACATTTTGCAGCTGAAACTTGCCCATGCCCTGCATCAAGATCTGCCGCATGGAGGACCTCACAAAAACACACAGATGTGAAGATTATAAACCTTTAGAGATCTCATCTGTCTTGGGTATGTATGGGTCAAATGGCGAAATAGATCAATCAAGCACAGGCGTCAAAAGAATAGATGCTGACCTTGATCGGGCCAAATGGATTGATCGATACCTTGGCATGTTCAGTCGGATACATCCAAGTCAATCAGTCGCCGCCGTAACATTTTTCTCTCCAGCCTGACTGTCCGCTCAGATTGACGGGCCTGTTGGCTTGATTTAGGGACTGAATCACATGAGGATATCTGCAACCGGAAAGCCAGAAGATGTGCCGCCATAGGGTCGCACAGTTGAGCAGTGGCACTTTCGAGTTGTATTCAATTACTATTCCATACCATGTGCAGAATTGCGGGGGGATCAATTTTCATCAATTTTCCTGATCACCGCTTGGGCAGCAGCCAAGAAAAGCTACCCAATGCGGAATCCGAGTCTACTGGTGGCCGGAAGATGTCGGAAATGCCATCGGAACCACGCAGTCGCCCCAGCGAATGCTGCCGCATGCCTTTGGCACTGCAGCACTTCGCCGATTGGTTGACTTGGATGGCAGCGGGTACACTCAAACTATGTACTGAAGCATCAGTATGATAATCTGTCTCAGATACCTCCCAGTACGGAGTCTGCATAATTTTCCTGGTGGAAGTCAGAATACTCTTGTTAATTTGCTAGAAACTTCGCTCCTCAAAGCCAACGGAATGATTCCAACTTTCCGCATGTTCCTCAAATGCGAAGCATCCGGAATACCAAAAGCCTCCTAGACTACGTGCCTAGAGTATCCTAGAGTGAGATACGGAACAGTTGATCTTTGACACCACGGCTGTCCTCCATGCTCAGCCCCACGACTGCCGGAAGTTGCTACCGCAAACGGCAGCAGTGAAATGTTACAACGTGCAGCAGTGATCTAAAAGATCAGGCGCCCCTCGCTATCAACGTGCTGCCAGACCTCAGGATCTGTTGATAAAAAAGTGATCCCGTTCCAAGGTGCTAAACGGAAGTCATTGTGGATTCGTTGCGGGGTTGATGATGTCAAAAGGGTTTTGGCTATTCTTATAACTTTTAATTAGTTCATATATTTTGCATGTTATACATAATGTGTGAAATGCACTATAGATCACTATAGGCTTAGATGATCTTAGATGGATTGATTCAAAGGCACAATCAGGCTCCACAACAGTTGAATACAGTTGATCTGTAGGATTTCACCTGACGGCTGTCACCTGCTGTCGCATGCTGTCGCGCCACATTGGAAGCGTTGGGCCTTGCATCCCTGGCGTCTCGGCGTGGAGGCGTGTCTGGCTCCTTCAAGAAATGGAGCAGCTCATTCCAGGATTGTGTGAATCATCCTAAAGTCAAGATTTTGAAGAGTCGTTTGGGGCTGAAAATCTCCAATTCAGAAACACAGCACGCTTGTTTGGGGCTAAAATCCAAAGACTGATCAAAGCATAAGTTTGGGATTGTTTTGTGGTATATATATATAGCTTTAAATCTAAGATTCCAAGAGTAATGCGTTGGTGGCTTGAAATGAACAACGTTCCCTGATGTCATTTTTGAGGATGAAATATGTTCAATCTGAAAACTACTCCTGGTTAGGGAGATTGAATATCGGGCTTACTCCAGTTCAAACCTTTGATCGCAGTGAAATACTGGACCCCACGCCTCCAGAATCGGTTTCAAGTGGCCGAGTTGTGTCGGAATTTGCCATACTTGCCATGACAAACATGCCTCACAAAAACGTTTTTTGAGTTTTGAAATGCGTGTCCCAAAATCTGGATGATACCTAACCCCTCTCCTTAGGTTTCCGCCACTCAAAGCAAACCCTTGGTGTCTCCGAAACTTCCCTGGCCCAACCAGTCCTCGTCCCAGGGGCAGGGTGGTTCAGCTTCTGATCGGCTTGCAGAGGGGCGTCGCCTCCGGTAGGGGAAACCCATGGAAACCCCATAGATATCATGGACATTCCGGGATGTCTAACTGAAGCGTTGCCAGATCCCCCAGATCCACTTCATCCACTTCATCTTCCCAGTGAGTATAGAGATCTTTTCTACGGACAGGAGGCGAAAACCCATGGGGAAACCATCTCCGGTCGGTCTCAATCCCTTCAATATTCGGATCGTCTTCCCAACTGTTGCTGATACCCCATCTCTGGATCAAATCTACATGACACTTGGTTGAGCGTGATTATCCATGGCACTCGGAGGGTGGAAAAAAAACAGCATTAATTAATCATCTGTTTTCAAATGTGTTTCAACACTGTGGTTCTCAAAGATTGTTGAAGTCAAACCATGTTAAGAATCAAAATGTGTGGCTGGTTAAAGGCTCATTTCATCCCAAAAACCCTAGTGTTTACATGATGAATCATGATGATGCATTCGAAAACATCATTTTCAAAGAAAATCAAAGAAACAGGTTGGTTGGATGTTTCATCCATCTTTCATCCATCTTTCATCCATAAATCATTCCCAGACCGATCCCCATTGCGATCGATCAAGCACCTCCAGCGTTCACAGGGCACCGCCTTGGCCGTGCGCGGCAAGGCGGACTGCCGCAGCGCAGGGACCGGGTGTCCGAACCTTGGTGGTGCCGCTGTCGTTGGATCGTTGGGAAAAACCTGGGGATCATCCCTCCAAGGAACATGGCAAACCTGGAAAAACTCTATAAAAATCACGGAATAATTGTAGAGATTATCCCGACATTGTCTTTTGATGGGTTATGATGAAAGCTATTGACTATTATTGACTCATTGACGCCCCCATTAAGCCAACCGAGAAAAAAACACCTCTTCAAGGAGACCTTTCAAAGTTGGGGCCATGTTGGTTCCAAAGGGGTGGGATATGTCTTGGACCACCTCCAACTGGGTCATGCCCTGCCAAGCTGCATCGGAGACGCAGGCGGTGGCGTAGTAGCACGCCGGGGGATGCGATCAGCAAATTCAGCCTTCAATCATCTGAAACATTTGTTAGCCAGTTTTTGGAGGTATCATGGGGCCATTTTTGATCCCCATGTGACATTGCGGAATGAAATCTGACGAATCTGAAACTAGAATAAATGTGAATAAATAAATCAAAAACGAGATAGTGTAGGGACCGAACTTGACAGGAAAGTGCTTAAATCTGGTCCAAACATATCTCCATTTTTGAATAGCAAAAAATTATCTTGGATTTCCACTGGTCACCACCCTGGCCCACTCTGCGTCCTGATCTCGCCACTCGGCTTGCGAGGCATCACGTGTAAGTCTAGAACCTTGGACAAATGTCAAGCAAGTGTCAAGCAAATGTCAAGCTAGTGGCTGGATTGGTTACTGCAATATTCCATCATATTCCATCTCACATTGCCAGAATATGGAAGACTGAAACTGACCGATTTAGTGATTTGATCTCCACTGCTGAGGTCTTGGATTTCCCATGCCTGGAAGCCAAGCTGCTTGCAGCCTCCGACCCACGACTCCCCAGCCTCAGCTGGAAGGGGATCAGCAGTCTGTAACTTTTAAAGAACTTCTGGCTACAAATCAAGGTTTGATGGGCTGAATAGCTGGTTTGGATGTAAAAAATGAAGGCGTGCAAGCAAAATGGCCCCACCAGAAAACTGCGGGAATAAGCCCTGTGCCGATGGGTTATCATTTTTCCCACTGAAATATACTATACCCTTTTTTTGGACAAACCCAAATTGGATACAGTTGGTTGTATATCCCATTATATTCCTAGCGTTATTCCAATGATATATCCAATTGTTGTCCCCATGGCCCAATTTTATGGGATACTCTTCATACTCATGGGGGGATATACATCAGGTGTTGCAAAAAATGGGATGGGGTATATCCTGATCCTGTGATTAGGTTGTTATGCCATGAAACTAGATACCATTGTATCCCATTATCATCCCATGAGAAGATTATACTACATATGCCATCATAATTATGACATCCCATTATATTGACACTAATACAAGATACATCCCAGCATCTATTAGTATCTATGCTAATTTACATACACACATACATATATATTATATATATATAAAAGTTATACCACTATACAGTAATGTATATAATAAACATCTATACATACGTTCATCCTCATCCCCTTCATCCATCCCCCAGGCCGAAGTCAACAACGAAATCCTCAGTCACCAAGCGACACCTGCGAGGCGAAGCGCCTCATGTCAGCCAGGTGTTCCATCTCCTGCACAGGGTGACTGGAAAAGCTGCTGAGGCCTTTATACTTGCCGCGCGCACTAGGCAAGAGTGGATCTTTTAAGTGATCCGTCGGTCAAACTGAATCCCCTAACGTGCAATTAGATTAGTTACATACATACATACATACATATATATATATATGGGCTATGGTGGCCACCAGCTGCGACTTAAATGCGCCCAGGTGCACCACCAAAGCCCAGCAGGTACGTTTGCACGGGTCCGGGGGAGGTGTCTCCGTTGATCACCGACCCCCCCGGGACCCCGCTTTACAATATAATATAATATAATAGAATAGAATAGAATAGAATTTAATAGACTATAATATAATATACTATAATATACTACAATATACTAAAATAATATAATATAATATAATTTAATAGAATATAATATAACATAATATAATATAATAAAATAACAAATAAAATAATATAACATAATATAATTTAATATATTATAATATATTATAAAATATTATAATATATTATAAAATAATATAATATAATATAATAAAATATAATATAATATAATATAATACAATATTGTTATAATATAACATAATATAATATAATAAAATAACAAATAAAATAATATAACATAATACAATTTAATATATCATAATATATTATAATATAAGATAATATAAGATAATATAATATAATATAATATAATTATAATATAATATACTATAATATAATACAATAAAATCCAATAGAATAAAATAAAATCCAATAAAATAAAATACAATAATTATAATGTAATATAATACAATATAATATGATATGATATGATATGATGAGACGGCAAAATTTTACATCTGTTCAGACGTTACACACTGTGGGCACACACACACACACCCTGCGTTTGGCAGGGTGGTGTCTTGGCACATGAGGTGAAAATGAAGATGAAAAGGGGAATGAAGATGAGATGGGAGTGAAAATGAGATGAAAGATTACTTATCCGGGACCCGAGGAGGGGAACGCAAAAGAAGAGGGAAGGAGCAAACACCCACACCAACACATCTGGCCCGGAGCGGGCAAACCTTGAAAGGGCAAGGGAAAAGAAAAACGGAGGCCGACGGACACGGAACAAGACCAGCGGAGGGGGGGGAAGACGGAAGCGCCTGAACCAACCTGACACAGCGAAAACCTACGCCTACCTCGGCACGCGCAGGACCTGGCCTACCTAGGGAGGGAAGAACGCATGAAATAGGGGACCGAATGGGGAACTAGATGGTGAACAGAAAGAAAAACAAAGATTAAAGGGGACTCAGTTCAAACCTAGAAAGTCGCGCGTTAATCCCAGCCGGTAGCGGTTCAAACAGCCATGCAAGTTCGAATGAATTAGGTGCACAAATGTTGAGCCTCACCAGAAACCAAAGTGACCACACCTGTAGGAAGAGGACATGCCTGTTACCTTCTGTCGTTCATGTCATGTTGTGCTTCAAAAAGCTGGAGCTGCAGCGATAAAAAGGAGTTTCTGACAGTTCCGCACAATTTCACTTCAGCGAAGATGCATGTTCAAAAGGTTCTAAAGGGACGACAGGATCAGAGGGACATCGCAAAGAGGCTGATAATCGGAAAGGCCAACTGTTGCACTCTACCTAGACGAATTACCAGGTTAAAAATGTTAATTCAGTAGTCCGGTCCGTCCTCATTCTCCCTAAGATGCCTCAAATGGCTCCATGGCACCATGTCGGAGCCACCATGGAAATCACACTAGGCAAGAGTGGATCTTTTAAGTGATCCGTCGGGAACTGAATCCCCTAACGTGCAATTAGATTAGTTACATACATACATACATACATATATATATATATATGGGCTATGGTGGCCACCAGCTGCGACTTAAATGCGCCCAGGTGCACCACCAAAGCCCAGCAGGTACGTTTGCACGGGTCCGGGGGAGGTGTCTTCGTTGATCACCGACCCCCCCGGGACCCCGCTTTACAATACAACATAATATAATATAATATAATATGATGAGTCGGCGAAGTTTTATGTCTGTTCAGACGATATATATATATATACATATATATGTGTGTGTACGTATGTACGTCATATATATATATATGTGTGTGTGTCACATATACATAATATATTATATTTATATATATATATATTATATTAAGATATGAATACTGTACATCCTGTACAGAAAGGCAATTAAGAACCGAAATAACATAGATCAACATGAAATATCGAAAGCAGTTTGACACAAACACCGCCTCTGACGATGGGTATTCAAAGGCCTCTCACACATTCACCCTCCTGCCGGCCTGTTCCAAGTCGAAACCACGTTCCTTCTGTTCCTTCGGCCTCCCAAGATTCCAACAATGGAATGGTGGCTGTCGTTGCTGGGTGGGACGCAATGACTTGTGACAGGAACGGACCCCCCAAACACTACAATTTCCATGCAGTTTGATGGTTTGCTCACCACTTGTGGGCTACATAGTTCGTGGCTGTAACACTCATTTCATTCCAAAAAATACTCATTGACAGCTACAGTACAGCCTCGAAATTCAACATGGAATCCAAAAACAACTGGCCATCTCATGTTCAAACCCCCAGCCTTTGCACTTGGGCTGGTTGACGCCGTGAATCGCCTGGGTTGTCTCCTGAGCCAACATGCATTTCTGGTGGTGTCAACCCCCAAATATCCAGTTCGGATCATCCATGATCATCTCTCAGAAATCCCAAATAGTGGTCTTAAAATGTCTAAAATATTTTTTAAAATAACTAGAGCATAGAACAAATCTTGAGACCACCCAGCAAATTACTGTAGCAAATTCACTGAAGACTCCGAAAAAACTGAACCAAATCCCAACGCTCCAAGGCTCTTTGAGTAGCTGGAGCTCCGCTAGGCCTGAGACAGTGTTGTGCTGGGAAAATCAGGGACAACCCATGTTCATCCACTTTCCATTGGAAAATGGTGCATGTTTCATCTTCAGGTGGATTTTTTAATGCTGCTTCTGTTTGTTTTATAGGGGGGACCACTGATTTGATTTAATTTCATAGCGCTCTAGAAATATCAAATCACAAAGTATGGTCAACAATACGAGATCATAAATTACATGCATGTCAAATATTGAATGCAACCACAAATTCAGAGGTTGAAGGCGGCGGTTTAAATAGTCACCAGAATTATATATGATGTAATATTTCTTGATTGTGTATGTTGCTGTCATTATATTTTCACAATTTTATAAACTCACAACCTGACCCAACTCACCACCTCACCCTCACCCCAATTCACCTGCCGCCCAGCGAAGCAGAGACCCGGCGCGCAATGGAACCGATGGTCTGCAGACTCAATTCCTGGGCTGAACAGAAATGGATGGGTGGCTACGGTGACTAACCCATCCCATGATGTCCTGTGGCAAAGAAAAATAAAAACTCAAAAGGCGTTCATTTTGATACCAGCTGCCATCATTATCAGTATGATACCAGCTGCCATCATTAAATTTCAATTACCTGGAATGGTACTGTGAGTCACCCACCCGGTGCGAAAAGAAGATCTAAAATCTAAACTATGGCATCTAGGCAGTCCCTGGAAGCGAAAACCGCTTGGAAATTGCCGCTTCTTCAACTTCCGGGCTGTACAGTCGTCAATTGCGGTGAAGCACAAAAGTCTAAACAACACCGTGCAGAGAACGTGGATCCATGTGGATCCTCATGCTTCGATGATCATCCCAGCCACTCAGCGATTCCACAAATCCAGTTTCAGGATGTTTCAGGATGTTTCAGGGGCGCAGAGCCGAGGCACGGAATCTGCCAGCTCGGCACGTGACAGGCCAACCTGGGTAACCTCGCGACCCACGGCCTTGTCCAGGTAGTATGGCTCCTCCTCTCCATTGGGCGTCTCGTACCTCATGGCTTGGAGCAAGGCTTGTGGGAGCTCCAAATCTCAATATATCTCAATGTTCATGCTGAGTTCCCCTAATAGTGTTTGCCAATACTCCCGATTTTCGGAGTATCGCTAGCTCTTCCCAACCACCTTCGGCCCTCCCCTGGAATTCGTTATAGATCTTTAAATCAATCGAAATCGTCAAAATCATCTATGTTCTAATTTGTGTTGCAACATTTTTCGAAATCCAACCCCAAACATCCCCCAACCCCTCCAGGGCTCCCAGGCTCTTGCTCCGGCTCCTCATTGGTCTCCGATGGCTGTGGTCCCGAACTCCGGTCGGGGGAGCCACAGCTCCGGAGCATCTTCAGCGAGCGCTCCTTAACCTGGTTGAGCTCAAAAAAGTGAAGATTTCCCAGAACAAAGGGACCAAAACTAAGGGTCACAAAGGCGGTCATGAGCAAAAGTTGTCGTTTTAGGTAGTTCACCACATCGCTGTCCATGGTTTGCGACACATTTTCAACCATAGGACCTCTCATGTAGAGGTTTCTGCATGAACCTTTTAGGTCTTTGCTCACATGTGATTCAAGCATTCCAAGTTCTGAACAATCATCTATCTTCTAGTCAGGTCACTTCCCAAGTTCTTACTACGTTGAATATGTATTATTGGTTGGTTTGGCTCCAAATAGATGGAAGGGTGATTCCTGAAATCAATGGATGGGTTTAAGGGCAAATTTACAGGAAAACACCATATGTCATCGGAAAAACTAGGTGTTCCTGTAGAATTTCCCTATCTTACCAATCCATATACCAATCCATTGACATATGTAGAAACGATCCTGTAAATGTTCCTCTAGGTTTTCCTTTAGTCCATTTTCATCCATTTTCCATATGTTTCCAGTAGATTTTCCATGAAAAGACTGGCGCCTCGCCCAGGATCTGCCGCTCCGCCATCTCCAGCAGTTGCCGCGTCTCCGCCTCAAAGTGCTGCCGCAGCCGCTCCTCGCAAACCTCCAAGTGCCTGGAGCTTCTGAGCTTCGCGAAACGGAAAGCACTATGATATACTAATGATCCAACATCCCCCAATCTTTACCTTTATGGGTGATATAAACCCATAAAATCAATCAATCCATATCAATCCATAATCTTTAAATATTGCTTTGCTGACATGAATGGGGATATGAAATATGATGTAGAAAGCGCATCAACCCTGCACGATGAGATTGCTTCAGGACTTTCAAGACGAGCATGACATCATAAGCATAACAATCTGGCTGAAGAATCCTGATTCACTAACCTGAAAATAGCTGAAATAGGGCTATCTGGGGATGATTCCCATCATTCCAATAACGTCACAGTGAGGTCACTATAATTCATCCAGAATAGTGGGGATATTTAGGGATATAGCCGATATAGCTAAATGCGAAATTGTATAGGATATGTACGAACTATATAATATGATATTCAATCCTTGGAATTTAACCAACTATTTACACGCATTTGTGTGTAGAAAATCAGGATTTAGCCAACCGACACGGGGATGTCCACATCATTTATGATGGGGAAATTGGATTAGAGACTGGCGACCTCTTCTTGGGGAAACCATGGACGAAAGCATCGTTGACTCCAGTTTAGATATCTTTCGCGTGTGTCGATTCCCTCAAACAGGTAAAATTGTGAAATATGGGCCCGGGATGGCCCAGGAATTACAAAAACATCAAGGACGCTCTGTGATCTGACTCGCTGAAGCAAGAAGGAAAACGGAAGAGAAGCAACAGCAAAAAATGCCAAACATTGAGGAGACCACCAGCCAGAAAGCCATCAGCTGAAATTCAAGATGATTGAAATACCCTCTGGTAAACTAAAACGGCAGTGCACTTCCCAGCGGCTTCCCAGCCATGTTTTACTGGCCTGCGACTTTGATCCATGCAACTGGACATACAGCGTCGTTCACAGGCCTCCACCTGTCGTTGCTGGCTGTGTTTACGGCAAGACTTCTGTGAACCTGTGATGAGTGGCACAGTCCCGGAAAGAAATGTGGGTCTGATGAAGTCTACCTTCGACTAAGGGAGCGATATCTTTCAATTTTGCAGCGGAAACCATGAAGGGAAGGCATTGTCCGTCCTCGTCTATTGTTTTTGCAGCTAGGAGCAAGAGTTTCCAATCTGCCATCGTCTGCTACATTTACCTTGCAGTAGTTTGACATTCTGAGTGGATACTTGCGGTTGTTCAAGGTCCCTCGACAAATTATCATAATATGTTCGAGAGTTATATGGTCAAATTGCCATAAATTACCCACTAAATATCCGCAATGCGTGTTTTGAGGGTGCAAGACACTCCTGGCCTCCTGCCGACATTCTTCTCTGATCAACTGGATGTCCTGAGTGAGTAGGAATGGTTTGAACTTCCTGCAGCCCGGACATTACCCTAACCACTAGGTGTTACTATCGCCCAACAGCAACAAGATTCCTAAATAGGCAGCTATGCTACCCCTGAAACAGAATGGTCCGCGTAGGACCCACAGGGTACAAATCGCATCAGATCTCTACATGCCAAGCATCAGATTGCTTGGAGGCTTTTAATTCCTTCAACTGCTTGGTCAGCAAGGTGGTTTCGCGCCTGCTCCACTTGATCTGGGCCACATCTTTGATCCTTCTAGGTGTGTACATAGGATGATGGAATTCTGGTTGGGTCAGAAGTTAAGTCCTCTTTTTTCTTGACCTGGGCCAAACTGCTTCAAAGGAGTCCATGATATCACGTCGGACATCTTGGGGGGATAATGCTCCATAGCTGATGGTTTCCAGTTCTCCCAAGCGGCATCTCCAACACTCATCCCTTGTTTGTCCTTTAAAGTTCATAAACCAATCTGATATCCACATGTCGTTTTCCAATTTAGGAGAAAAACTCTTAGAAAATGATGGAATATGAAGGGAAACCACCAGTTTTCCCACAGGTTTAAACCACCATCCCTGCCCTTTTGCTCCAAGGTGCTCCATCATGTCCAGTCTTTTGAAAAGCTCCTCCATTTTTGGGATCTCAGGACCTCACAGAGCTCCCCTGAATGGCACCAGGCCAATGGCAGGTGGGAATATCTTGAAAAGTCTGGCTCCCAAATTCGGTTCACATTTGTTCACAAGTCTGGTTTTACCCTGTCATTTAACATTAACATGGCCTTGGAACATGAGTCATTGAAGTAGATGGTTTACATTTTGACCCTATAGCCTATAGCAATTTTCAATCAAACACCCTGCCGGAAATTTGCGCCTCTGTCGCCGGGCAGCGTAGGCGGCGGATCGGGTTGGACCTTAGATCTTTCGAAATGTCTGTGTTTTCCCTCCATTTTCCATCCAGAATCTGGGTTCTATGTGGCTCTATTTTCTGGAAACCATGTCCATATCAGGGACTTCACCCATCGCTGACCATTGGTCTGCCTTTTCCCTGTTTTGAGGGACCAAGACTAGCAAGCCTCAAAATTAGAGAGGTGATCAATTTTATAAATCTATGCATAGAAAGTGGGAGAGATTTCTGTCCATGAGAAAAATGTATTCATTGCTGCAACAGGCTATTATAAATCTAGTAATTATACCCATTTTTATAAATATGTCATATGATCAATGTTATATCAATTGTTTTAACTACATTTTTTTAGATATGCATAATATGTTATACATTGTTATACGTCATATATTATAGTATTATTAAATTATATATTATAGTTACATAGTTGATATAGTTCACGCGTACTGACCTTTGCCGTCGCCTTTGCCACGTGGCCGGCTTTGGCACCGAAGTCTCACTGGGAGCCGTGGGGGACCTCCGGTCACGGATCTGGATGGCTTCACCATGTTTCACCATGCAAAATGTGGGGAAAACCAGTGGAAAAATGGTGGAAAAACTGGATGTAACATGATGAAACATGAAAACTGAAGCACCAAGAATAGTTGCTAAGCTAAGCCCCTATACTCCCCTAATTATATAAAGTTTGAGTTGCAGAATAAGTACCTTCGCAGGGTCCAGGCCTGGTTTCGGACAGCCTCACCGGGCTTCTTGAAGCCTTTCTCAACTCCGAATACCTTGGGCAACACGGGGCACCCCCAACCTCCGATTTCATGGCACTGAAAGATTGAAAAACCACGTGTTTTTTTTTTCAAAACCATAGGTCTGGGTGAGACCCGTTGGCACCACTACAGCAGCTGTTCGTCCTAAAGGTGAAAAAAGACTGTCAAAAAGGATCTTCTCGGTTGAGAGCCCAAGTTTATATTTGTTCACGGTGTTCCCTGTTCTGTGTTTGAAATGGTATTATATTGTGAAATTTTCTGCGCCAGCAATCTTTCATTGTTTCATACGTCCAGGCCGCTCTAGGGCGACCCACCCTTCTTTGTTCAACTTGTTGTGGCAAAAGATTTCTTGTAGCGAAAGTGGCTTGATGTTGTGGGTGATCTCTTGGTCTTCTGATTATATGCCCCAATACTTTTCATCGCTTTTCCTATAGAACATCACTTAGTGGACGGATGATTTCCTCTGCGCCTCGGCCCATTTCTAAATTAGCACGTCTGTAGACTTCATGGTTGGTATTTGTTCGGTCGATGTAGGTTGTGGACATTTTCAAGATTTTTCTGAGACCTTTTAATTGGAAAGTATCCAGTTTACTTGCCGCGGCTTCTGTTGGTTGCAGTGTTTCCAGGCTGTACAAGAGTTTGGAAACACAAACTGCGTTAAATACTTGAATTTTCCATTTGGTTGGCACCCGCGCTTGTTTCCAGAACAAGTCAAGTCTTTTCAGTATCGGCATTGTGCTCGAGATGCATCGATTGATTTCAATCTTAGGGTTCACCCTTTTACTGATCTGCGTTCCCAAATAGATAGTTTCGGCGAACATATCAAGTACGCAATAATTGAACCAGAGTAGATTCCCCAACTCCTGGATGACCCAATGATGATATGAACAAAGCATCAACAAATCCAGATTAAAAGGATCACCCCTTGGCATCCATCTGAAGAAGATTCATATGAAAAAAACAGATTTAAAATCATTATTTTGAAAATCACAATTAGTAAAAAAAATAGTAAATCAACTATAAATCAACTCTCTCTCGGCAATTTTCCATAGCTATGTAGAGTAACCAAAGGGTTTCACATGTTTCAAAGCCAGGCCCCGCCTGCTGCGCGTCCTGGGGGTTGAGGACTTAGACTCCAGGCCTGGCTTCCCATCCGTAGCTGTGTATCAGTGTGGTGCAGATGGCGCAAATTCACTTCATTATATTTATTTGTTTACTTAATTACAGTATACGCGTATATATACGTGTGTGTGTAATTTAGATGTATTTATCTTAAAACTTAAAATGTTCTTTTGTATTATATTATATCTACATATATCTACATTATTCTACATTTATTTATTCATCAAAATATCCATCTATATGTTGCTTGCATTTTGCTTGCCACATGCCAAGAAAGTAATCCAGCGATCTTCATCGCGCCACATCGCGCCTGGCATCTCGTCCACCGCCGTCGGTGGCTGAAGATATTCCTGGCGGTGATGCTGGCGGTTGTCAACTTCCGAAGTGCATCTATTAGGTGAACAACATACATATATAAACACACATGGGCAATGCATGTACACAAAATAATTCATTTAGAATTCCATCTATCCAACCTTATCTTATCATGTCTTAGATGTCTTAGCTTATCTATTATTGTTTATGCCTGCGGACCGAAAACCGCCCTCGTAAAACGCACGTTTTTGAATATCGCTATTTTGGGGTGGGGTGGGGTGGGGGGGGTGGGGGATGTTAACGTACCTTGTACTTCGTACATGATCCATTGCTACGCTGCTGAGATCTCTGGGATCGTTTACTACGTTACATGTTGCTACGCTGCTGATGGGGTGGGGTGGGGGGGTGGGGGATGTTAACGTACCTTGTACTTTGTACATGATCCTTTGTACGCTGTTGAGAAGCTCAGTAAAGTGCTAAAGAAGTAAGTAAGATGATAGATCAGTAAAGATATGGGAAGATCAGTTGCCATACTGGAACCATTGATGCTGCATGGTCTGCTGCTAAGAACTTCATTCCCAATTCATTGAGTTCAAAAAGCAAAGATCTTCTCTTGTATGTCAAGTGCTGGCAATGGCGATATGTCAATGGACACAGTCGCCTCCAGCAAAAAACTATCTCGACACTGAAACGCCTGCTCTAACAAAGGATGAAAAAAGGTCTTGCACATATTGCCAAAAACCCACACGAAACGCAAATTTGGCCAAATTTGCGCGCCCAAATTTGGCCAAATTTTGCCTATCAAACTGTGTGTTTCGCTGCAGCGAAAACAATATTTTTTTTGAAAACGTGCGTTTTGTGAGCGCGGTTTCCGGTCCGCCGGGTTGTTTATGTAAGTAGCCGGCATCAACACTTTGGGGCGACACTACTCAGTGACTCCAGCCTGTCGCAGACTATCCGTCGGCTGCCGCAATGCTTCACCTGAAGCGACGCGATCTGTCAGAATGGTCACATGACCCATGATCAAAAAAGAAGGAACAACGATGCTATTGTTGTGAACTTCAACATGGTCAATGATTCAGTGAAATGTTCATTACTAGTAGCAACAATTTGCCAGACATGACAGATCAGGAGATGCAAATTAGTTCCGCAATGTAATTTCGCCCAAACATCCACACCTGCACTTGTCGAGCTTGCACAAGTCTGGCAGCGGGCCACGTTCAAGGGAGCGATGCTGCTGAAGGAATCCTATCATAGACCTGCGAAATATACTATGAGACCATAGTTCCGTCTTAGTTTGAGGCTGATGTACTCTTTGAACGTCGAGACATGACTACCTGTATGTACAATAGTTGGCCCCAAAGAGAAAACATGAACTGAACCTGGTGCAAACAAGCATCACAAAACAGGACCCCTGTCATGCAAAGACAAAAATTGGATGCACATACACTCATGCGCCCCAAGTAGTTCTAAGGCCATCCTCAGCCGATCAAGCCAGATCGGATACCTGCCAATGATGGGTTGTTTTATAATCCCTTCAAGATCTTCAAGTTTGTTTCATTCCTCTGTTCATGGGGAATCTTCTCCAAGAATAGCTGGTTTAGAACAACGCGACCATCCGCAATAGTACTATGATAATCATATTATATTATATTCAACTTTAGTTCACCTTTCAACTATAGTTCACCAATCAATTTGAAATCCCTATATTCAACGAACCGCCCAATTTGCCGTAACCTGCCCCATGAGATTCTTGGCGACAGATTCGCGCCTCTGGTGCTTCACCCATGGCCTCGGCTGAGCATGTTGCCGAAATATTGGACCTGAATACTAGCTGTAAACATCTGTAAACTACATTGTCCAATATGGTACATTAAATATTGGATATACATGGATATACATAATAATTATACGAAATAATATTACATCATATAGCATATTATATATTATGTAATTCACACAAAAGTTATCCTGGATCCATCATTTTCCATCCATACCTCGCATGCCACCTACCCACTGCACAGCCACGGCACTGCAGACCGTCGCGCTTTCCGCAGTTCAGAGTAACGGGGCCGTGAACCTGGTCAAAATGCGCGGCGCATTTCTAGGGGACAAATGGAAATATCATAGAGATATAACATTATCTATAACCAATAATCTATAACCAATGAAGGTACTGGTACCAATGATGGGTGGAAAAAGCACAAATATTATAATATTTTGTCAAAATCTATTAAATGGAAATGTATCTATAGTCAATAATCTATATATATATACACACACACACCGCTACCCACCCACTGGGAACGGCACTAGATACACTGGTGCTCCTGCACAGGCTACGTCGAAGGAAAACTTGGAGGCAAAACTGGCAAGCACATGAACTCTTGGCGATCTGATTTGGAAAGAGAAACTTTAAACAAAATGTGGGTATGGTTTCCTACTTCCAGCCTTGATAGCCCATGGGCCAATAGATTTGAACCATACTGCTACCAAACTATATTCACACCCAGATTTTGAATGATTTTGAACCATAACTAACTTTTGAAGCAGTTCCAAGTTCCAATGATTTTGATCAACAGCTTGAAGCATTCCACACTTTACGAAGGGTTACCCCATGTTGACCCACTTTGGTGCTACAGGCCCCATCCTCAATCCGGGCCGATCCCGTCCTCGCAGCTGTCTCCACTTGCGGCTCGGCTGCTGCGGCGACCGTTGGCTGACGACTTTGCGAGCCGCTCCTGCCGCGGAGAGGTGCTCGGTCATCCCTGGGTTTCATGGCGAGGAATGACAACTTTATGGGGATTGAATGGGATGTTTCATGGTCTTCGCACGTTCATAATCAACATCCCCCAGACACAAATATATAGTTTAGGAGACAAATACACATCTTTGGGATCATTTTGGGGGTGATGAATGCTAGGGATTGGCATAGGGATCTATCAACAATGTGATGTGGTTCATGTATGATATTGATCTATACGTGAATTAAAAGAAAAAATGCATTCACTGCAACCAACAAAGGATGGAGATGCTACTGAAATTGAAGGGATATACAATCAATAATATGGGGTGCTTGGGTTTATCCCAGCTATAGTTGGAGTATTAAATGCAACCAAGCATATGATGCATGGTATACAATGGAAGTACAGTAAAATAGTAGCGGGTATATGCAGCATATAACACACACACACATATATATACATATATAATAATACATTATATAGACACATAATATCACATAATTATAATTGGTAAGAGTGTGATTTAATTACTGATTCATACTGACTCATTGGATATAAGTGACCGACAGTACGATGTGGAGGTTTGCCCTTGACAGGTTTCGAATCGTCCTGCGCACTTCAGAGTAGCGCGGCCGCTGCTGAATCGTGTTGCTCGCCGCCTCATCCAGAGCCACTCTGGGCGCGCTTGTGCGACATCTTGGGTACCCCTATATATATGAATCCATTGCCGCTGAATTGTTATCCCTCAAAAGCTATTTGGGGGCATAACCATGCACAACCCGTATGAATCCGTATGATACCCTCTTGTAATCAGACCTGGCTTGCTGGAAAATCCACCTTTGAGTTCTACATTCCCAACAGAACCTCCATTCAGTTCGCGGATTGCTGAATTCGGTTGTTCTTTTAAACAGCCAGGGTGACAAATGCCCACAAAAATTGGTTTCAACGGAACTCACTGAGGTGATCATGTGCTGATGGCAATGCATGATTTCCACTAGCCGGGTCATCGTGGAGCCATGATCGACCTATCGACCTATTGGTAGCCTGATCAGACTGGAAGCTGCTAACCATCTCAATACCATCTATGGCATACCACTGGATGATCAGCTGCGGACTCAACCGATTCAACCAGCAACTGATGCTGCAAGAATTCAAAAAGATGCCATGGATCTTTCAGATCCTTGTGGCAAATCCTCGCACCTGCGACACGTTCGATGCTGCTTTCACCTCCACTTTGGAGGGTGGCCGAGGGAGCCTCAACTGATCTCAACTGAAGCCGCTGGTTTCAGATTTGAAACTGGCCAGGGATGGCTTGGTTAATACCACAAAAATATACAAAAATGCAGTATATATCTTCCCAGGGCAGACTCAAGTCTTTTTTCGTCGCTGGTGAGCGTTTTTTGGGCCAATGTCCAGAAGTTCAATAGAATGCTGCATGCTCGAAGATTACTTGCCAGCTGGTGCGCACTCGGTATAGCTTAGTGCCTTCAACCCGTCAACAAACAAAGTTATATTTGATCATCATCGGGGTCCGGGACGGAGAAATCGAAAAAACTCGAAAACACTCGAAAACACCCCAAACTCACCACCAAAATACTTGAGAAATCTTGAGAACAGAAATCATCAAATGGAAGAAAACGAACCTGGAAACCTCTGAGACAAACATGTAGATTAGATTAACATAAAATTGTACAAATGACCAATACCCTCCGGTAAACTAGCATAGCTAATGAAAATTGCCATTTGTAGTTTATTGGCCCACTAAAATTTGTGATATTCCATAGTTCTGTTAGTTTACCAGAGGGTATCTCTAAAGAATTCATTACTTTCAGCGAGTCAATCACTGCCGCCGTGCCACGAGAAGCGCGGCCGCGGATCAGCCACCAGCGATGGCATGGGAGGTGCAAGGGCCAACCTTCAGCGCCAGGGTCTCTCTTCAAATGTGATATAGCTATGGGAAATTCATTGAACTAAAATGGGGAATTTTCTATTGCCATGGTTGATTACCGGAGGGTAGAGCCCAAAATGATCCAAAATGGCTATCTTCAAATGAGAAAATGAGAAATACTGAAATACTTATCAAATCTTGTCAATACACTCCAGTATTTTCCACTAAGTCACTAGCAATGTTTCAAACATGGCTAGCTGGCTGCTAGGCCAAGCGCAACTCCGGTTCCCAGCAGCAGCAGCAGTTGGGGGGTTTATCCTCCCTGAACACTGTCCGGAACGCATCGCACAAAGGCAGGAAGATCCAAAGCATCTCGATAATCAGCAAACACTGCAAGTGAAAGTGGAAATGCATGGAAATGCCTAAAAATTTTTAGTCAATCCCTCCAAAGCACATCACACCCACAAATAAAGTGGTTCCAGCTCCATATTACCTTTCGTCCCGCCCCCGCCTCAAAAGCCCGGCTCCCTGTGGACAAGTTGCTGATACACACCGTCCTTGCCGGTGTTGTAATATCGCTCCTCTCGGGCTGCCCCATCATGTTCCACCTTCACATGGCCGCCATCGCACCGGACCTCCAAGATGGTTCCAGTGGGTTCCACCAGCCATCGCGCCAACTGCGGGTCCAGCACCACCACGTGATCGCCCACTTGGGGCATCACATGTTGGCCCAAAATGCCTCAAGAGCAAACTGGGATGATCTTTGGGCTTCATGCATATCATGCGTAAAAATTTATGAACATTACTAACATTACATTATCTATAGCTCAGATTTGTTCTCATTGATAATCATTGATATTTGGGTGCATGTTCAAGATATTTCAAATATTTCAAGATGTTCCAGTTCTGAGTCTTTGTCAACGTCCGAGACCCCCGAGTCGGAGATCCCTTTCTTCAAGCTACACTGCTGCCGCGAACCCGCTTGCGAGCTCGCAGCGGTCCTGAGGCAGGAAAGCCTTGGACCTTTCTTTACACCCTTAGATCCTGGGGTGTCCTGGAAAATCGCCAGCTCTAAGCATCTTTGGAAACCTTTTATATAGATGTTAAAATTAAAAAGGATCTTTTTATATAGCAACCAAAACTTATCCTTCTTTCCCTTACCCATTGTTATTCTGACATGGTGGATTCTGGTGGATTTCAGCACCCCTAGTGTGACGGGTCTTCGTTGGTTAAACCCGTTAAAACTTCCAAGTTGGGACAACATATTCACTCTGAAAATTGTCCATGTTGTATGCCATTTTGTCCCAGTTGTCCCCCACCTTTATGGGCTAATTGTAGTCACTTTGAAATTGGGAAAGTGAACCCTCAACTCTACTTGATTACAGTGCATGTTCACTTGTGATTGTTACAACCCCCAATTCCTGGTTCAATTATCGTTACATACCCTCTGGTAATTTAACATAGCTATTGAAAATGACCATTTATAGTGGATTTTCCCATTAAAAATGGTGATTTTCAATAGCTATGTTAAATTACCAGAGGGTAATAAATATACATTTACAATACCCACTCTGTCCTTTTCTGTCTACATTCCCATGTTCCATGTTGTTACTTAAGGATGCCTAGGGTATCATAGCGCTCACATCTGCTGCGTTGTTAATTGCGCCCCTAATTTCGCAGTGATTTGGCAATGAATGCAGCCACGGCATCTCACTCAGTGTCCCATCAAACCACTCGCTAGCTGCGTCGTCGTCCTCCTAGATGGCATGCATGCAGGTGACATTGCAGGGAAACCAACAAAATCTGCCTTTATCACTATTTTTTTGTTTATTTCTTTATGTTTATTTGGTATTCTTGCAAATTTGTATGAAATGGCTGTACTCCGGAAGATCTGGCGCAAATTATGATCACAAACCTGAAACAAGTCATGGCTTGGGGTTCCCCTTGGCATCCTTTGTGATGTCGGCCAGTCAGGTCACGCAGGAAGGTCCGCAAGGACCAGCAGGTTCAACCCGCCAGTCAAACATACTTAGTCAACAATATGCCATGCAAATATAAATCGGTTGGCATCAGTCTCCCCCATAGTTGTCTTTCATTGCCAGTTCAGATTACGGTGGAAAGAAATAAACCATCCCCAATGACACACCAAAAGTGGCTGGTACAAAACCCTCCAAACTTGGAGGCATCGCCCATGGGCCGAGCCTCCAGCGCGTTTCGGATCTGGTTTCGAACGCTTTGGACCTGCGTGAGGGATGACCCGTCAGCGGTAGCGCCTGAAATTTGAGTCGCATTGACATGGAAGGCACATGAAGGCACCATGTATACATTCAAAATCATTCAAAGAAAACACGGATTTCGAGTCAAACAGTCAACATATGTCAACATCAAACACATGTTACATGTTTGATATACACACAGGGTACACACCATGTTAACTTTCAAAACGCCGCCCCGTGCCCACTCAACATCTGCCACAATGCTGCTGATGTCACCTGATCATGAAAGCTGCTAGCCCCAAACCCCGCCATGGCGAAATCGAGCAGGGCAAGATGCACTAAGACTCAGAGCACACGGCCCCTGATGCTAATGGATTCAAACGGATTCTGGCTCGTGGATACGTAACGGAATTGCTGATGAGTTCCGGGTCATTTGTTTGATGATATTCTTGATGAGTTATGTACCGTATCTCTCTCTCTCTCTCTAATCCGATTGTATACTGTAATTGTGTAATTGTTTTTTCGTGGTGATTTCCGGAGAAGCGCTCTGGGGTCCATCTGAGGTAGCTCCACTTGAGCCCCTCTGCAACTGTTCCACGGAGCGTCCCTATCGGCAGTATAAGTTTCATGGGAGTCATTAATTACAAAAAAACAATGTTCACACTCACAATACAAAAAAATAATAATATAATCAATATAAAGAATAATTACTATTTAATGATTAATAATTAACAATCAAAACAAAATAACTATAATCAATAATTAAGAATTAAGAATTAATAATTCACAAATAATGATGAATAATTAATAATTAAGACTTAAGAATTAATACTTAAGAAGTAAGAATTAAGAATTAAGCAGTAAGAAATAAGAATTAAGAATTGAGAGTTAATAATCAAGAATTATTAACTAATTATCAATTAATAATTAATCCTGAATGATGAATAGTTAACAGTCAATAATTAAGAAATAAGAATTATTCAGAAGGAAGAATTAAGAATAAATAATCAATAGTTAATAATTAATAACTAAGAATTAATAAGTAATAATTAATAATCAAGAAATCAAAATTAAGAATTAAGAATGAGAATTAAGACTTAATGATTAAAAAATAATGATTAAGAATTGAGAATTAAGAATTAATAATTAAGAATTAGAAACTGGCAATTAGAAATTAATAATAAATAATTGATAATTAAGAATTAATACTGAATATGAATAATTAATAACTAAAAAAATAAGAATTAAGAACTAGTAATCAATAATTAATAATTAGAAAATGAGAATAAAACATTAAGAATTAATAATTAATAATTAGTAGTTGGGAATTAAGAATTAAGATTTAACATCTAAAAATTAGGAGTTAAGAGTTAATAATTAATCAATTAATCAATAACAATTAAGAATTAATAATTAAGAATTAAAAATAAATAATCAGAATTTCATAATTAATGATCGATATAATTAAGAATTAAGAAGTAAAACCGAATAAGTAAGAATTAAGAATTGAAAATCAATAATTAATCATTAGACATTAAGACTAAATAATTAAGAACTAACAATTGGTAATGAAGAATTAAAAACCAATAATTAACAATTAACAATTCATAATTAAGAGTTAAAAATTGAGAATTAAGAATTAAAAACTATAATTAAAATTAATAGTTCGAAATTTTAAAAACTAATGTTTATCAATTTAAAATTGATATAATTACACTTAATGATTGCTAATTAAGAATTGGTAATTAAATACTTAATAACTAAGAATTAAAGATTAATAGTTAGCAATTAATAAGTAATTCCTAATTCTTAACAGTTAAGGGCGAGAACCAATAATGATTAATAAATAATTAAGAATTAGGAATTGGCACTTAAGAACTGAGAATCAATCATTAATAATTAAATATTAATAATAAATAATTAATAATTAATAATTAAGAATTAGGAATTAGGAATTGGTAATTAAGAACTGGGTAACTAATAATTGAACTGAGAATTACTTTTTCATTATTAATTAAGAATTTAAGAATTAATGAATTAAGAACTGAGAATGGATAATTATCAATTAATTAATAATTAAGAATTCGGAATTAAAAATTAAGAACTGGGAATTAATATTTGTTAATTAATAATTAAGAACTAGAAACTAATAATTCACAATTAATCATTAATAACCAATAACTAGGCATTAATAATTAACAATTAACGATGAAATTATAATTAACATCAAACATTTAACAATTAATAACTCATAACTAATAAGTAGGAATTGATAATTTAGCAATTAATAATATACATATAATTATATATATATATATATTATATTATATATGTACATCCCTCAGAGTGACTCTTGATCCATCCTGGTGCTTTGGGTGCTCCAAACCCCGCGACCCCGGCTCCAACTTCACCGGGCCCCAGCATCAACGGCTCATCACGGATGTTCAGCGTCGCGAAGGCCCAAACCTGAAAGATCTTAGGGATATCTTTAGGAGACATTAGGAGACCTTGGTGTTGAATATATGTTGAATGATGTTGATGTTGTTACCTTTATTGTTTCTGTTCATATTGGTATTAGTATGTGTTTGATTATTTTGATTTTGATGATGATGATGATGATGATGGTGAATCAAATGGTCAAAACGTCACTCCCCCTAAATCATCTTCAGTCGAAGGCTCCAATCTCCAGCTGTTGCGGTCATTCTGACCCCCTGGTCACAAACATGCGGCACATCGTCCGAATTTCCTCATCCTCCGTCATCGGGGTCCAACACATTCCCATCCTTTAAAACCAGTCGTTATCATCAATAGCTATATAATATATATATATGTGTGTGTGTGCATACGTATAGTTGTTTTCAATCCATTCCAAAACAAAGAATGTCATAGAATCATAGAATATATGCATACTGTACATCACCAATCTCAACCATTCCTGGGCGCGGCCCACCAGGAGATACCAGGAGCCCCACCGTGTTGGCCACACCCTGCGCCGGCATCTTGCCCAAGCGCTGCACGCTCTGGGAGATGGCCGACATCATCTCTGGCCTGCCAAGTCCAGGCCGTTGCAACCCTTCGGCCCTGGGGATTTTTCGGATCAAAAATCGATAAATCGATCTAAATTGATATGAATTGATAATATATATATATATATAATATTATAATATATTATGTAATGCCATTCCAAGAAATCGATGGAATCAATGCAAATCCACAAATTTCAGTGAAACATGGTGAAACACAATGATACAAGACATGGCATCCCCAGTCAGAGACAGATCATGTCCGCAAAAGCAAGACAGAAAATTGCAAAAGCCCCCAACTCCACTCCACTGCCACATGAGTCCACATGAAGTACCACCGAGCGCCTTTTGATCTGAACTTTGGCGAACGCCCAGGCAGTGTTACTGAGATTCCTCAGGCGGGTGTTGGAACAGCGGAAACTCACCGACCGTTTCCGCATCTGGCGAACAACACCAAGCAGGTCGAGGTTCTGTTGGGCGAAGTCATGGCACTGAGCTTTCACCGCCTCGCACCATTGGACACCCAAATTGTCTGACCAAGATTGACCAAGTACTGGAAGTACTGGATTCTTGGTGAAAACCAATCATCGATCTTCATCAAACCGCGTGGAATTGAACGTATCCATGCATCCAATATCCAAATCACTAACCACCATCCAACTGCAAAAACAATATCAACTTGGGGGCAACATAGGGCAACAGTGGATCCAAATGCTTCGCCTGCCACTTCCCCACCTTTGCCACCGCGTCGAAGAAGTCTTCATCCGCAACGCGCAGCGTTGCGAAGGCCCAACTGGTGTTCGCCAGGTTTTGACCTTGAAATATGCCCAATTCATGAGTGTCACTTCCCCATGGACCAATTCATGAAACGTTCCCCATTCAAACTGTTTTCTTTGGACTAGACAAGTGGATTCATGAAATTCGATGGGGAACCCAAACTTCATTGGTAGTTATGAAATGAAGGAGAAAAATACCATCCCCATGGAACAATGATCCTTCCACTTCCCCATTGGTTCCTGGCCATTCATCTCTGGCACAGCGTGCCGACATTCAGTCACCAGCCTTGAGAAGCCATCAAAATGGGATGAACCCATGAAACATTGGGGACGAATCCCATAAGTTTTATTATTTGGGGAGGGAGGGCGTTCAATATTAGGGGGACGGGATTATCTTCCAAAAAATGGATCTTTGGACTTGAGAGAACTACTGTAAGAAAATGTAAGAAATAGAATCGGGATCGCATGATACCACCATCCCACCCATTGAATCATCGAATGTGATGCTTACCAGACACTGGAAATCCGGACATCTGGTGGCCGATGGTTGACACATGGTTTTTAGGCCGTTGGAAGTGCTGGAAAAGGAGGCTGGGATCCATCAAAATCATCAAATGCTTCCCCCACATGACTTTCTCTCCCTAAGGGCCACGCTCTTCAATGGGCCAGGATCTAACCTGCGTGCCATGACTGTGACAGGAAGCACATCACCAATGTGTTTAGGATGGTCATCTCATTCATGGACATCCCTGGCCAAGACCAAGTCAATAGTCGTGCAGTTCATATACCCATCGTTTGAAATTTTTTGGGCCGCATACCCATGTTCATAGGAGTGTGATGGAGCGTGACTAGTCTAATTTCCCATTGGGTTTCTGATTGTTTTGCGACAAAATATCCCACCCCCAACTAGTGTTTTTGGGTTTGCTTGGGATTCACATGACCCCATTTCCACATTTTCCACCTGCCACCAGCTGAGGATGAACTTTCGCAACTGGTGGGATGGACCCCATGCCCCCGCGCACCATCAACTTTGCCACGGACCAGGCTAGGTTGGCGCGGCCCAGGGGCGCCAAGGCATTCAAGCGACCCTGCAAAGCACCCAGCTGCCGCAAGGGAGGCCTCGGCCCCGGGAAGTTCCATAAATCCTAACATCATCATACATGCGTGCATATATAGATAGATATATAATATATATATATGTATACAGTATACACAATCAATCACTTCCCCTTGGTGGTCTTGATGTTCTTGAAATCATTTCCCTCGGGGAAGTTCACTCAAAACTCAAAAGGAAATCCGCAGGAAGTTCTCTGAAAATCATTTCCTCCGGAAGTTCCCCGGAAAAAAAAAAAAAACTTACAAAAGAGTGCCCTGGAAACTCCTCTGGGGAAATCTTCTGCTGTTTTGATACTTTCAAATTCATCCATGGCTCCACGATCTTTGCGACCAAGTTGGGAATGTGTAAGTATGATTTGAACGTGCATAAATCAAACACATGGTGTCTGCATGTAGAGGTGCATATGTTTACGCAAAATTCAAAAGGGTGGGTTTGCATCATCCAAGTTGCAGCTTACCTTTGCAGGGCAAGGTTCTTTTTCAGATGGCTCACTCTTAGGATTCCGATGGCCAACATTTGAAAACCCAAGGCTATATGCACTTTAGTCTTATAGTCTTATAGCACTGTCAACCACGCAGCTCGCAAGTTATTTAATTTTGACTGCTATGAAACGGCACCCTTTCAACAGCATTCCCCTTTACGCCTCAGGATCATCACTGAGCCTCTGACTCTTGTGTCCGCAACGTCGCGTAGGCCCACCTCGCTCGCAGCATGAAGCCATGCAGGGGGGTCATCCCAAGGTATGCTGAGCCATTATGATCATTATGAGCCACTGCATGCCACTGCCGTATTCGAACCATCCAATGCTGGAAGCCAATGGTACCTGCCACATCCCATCAGAGAATAGGTCTGGGCGAAGGAGACTCCATTTTCCAGATGCTTGTGGATTTTGTGCTTGGGTCTTTCCCCCGATAAAATCCGAAAGGGCCTCCCGGTTATTCCCAAGAACGCGCCAAAACAGGCAGCCATGAGAAGGACTGAGAGCAGCGCATCATGTTGACCAGCCTTGGCTTGGCGTGCCCCCATTCACTCTGACAAAGGACAGCCCCCAATGCACAGATGCATCTTGAGCAGTGTCCCCATGTGAAGCCTTCACATCAAGTTAAGTTAAGGCATGGTTTTCCCGTCGCAAAAGCGGATAAATCATGGTTGAAGTTCTGAAGAACTACTACAGTAGTAAGTTGGCACCCATGATCACATCAAATCACTCTCCCAAGTGGCTGTTGCGGTTCAAACTCCGGCAACCTTTGCAAAGCTTCGTCTGAGACCTGCTCGTGAGGTTGGGACAAGGGGATGACAGACCCTCTTAGTCCTCCAGCAGTCCAACCCCCCGCTCAGCCTGCGACACAAGTTTGTCAAGCTTCAGCTCAAGTTTGGCCATTGCCCAAATGATTTTGGACCTTGCTCCGTCTGAAGATGTCACCCCTGGGCATGGTTTTATGTTGAAGTCATTTACATTCATTTGCACTATACGGGGACGCGTGCAAACCCAAGCATTCCCTACAATTCAGCATCCACGGTTGCTCCGCTTTGCAATGGGTGCTCTGGCCTCAACTGCGCTGTTTAATTCGCAACATGTGTATTTCCAAACCTCCAAAAATCAAGGTGTCATTTCCCCTGTCTTTTCAAACACCCGTTCCATGCTGCAAGTGTTCTCAGCATTGACTGCCCTAAAGTCCTCCAATATGGTCTGAAAAAAGTCTAGGACCCCCTGGCTTTGGAACTCCTAGCTCCAGTTTCCACAATTAGAATCAATTGGATATATAATTGCAGTAGCTTATTTCAACATCATACACATCATATTCCCCTAAAGTCCCTCCGAAATCCTCCGATCACTCCCAGCTTGAGTCGGGTGTCATGGTCTGAGGTTTCTTGAGCTTGTCCCACTTCACCAGCTCACCTCAATGAGATCAGCCAGCCTTCAGCCACGTCCTCCATGCCCACTTCCCTAATGTGCATAATCTCTGCCTTTAAAATCCTTTTAGGGAAGTTCTGCCTTTTGTCGTTAAAAGGCGACTTTACCCGACCGCGGGCGACTTCAGTGAGTTCAAGTCATTAGGGCCACTTTGTTTCTCAATGTTCAAGGCTAAATATGCCAATCCAAAGACAAGACAATCGTTTCACCAAAGTCCCTCAGATCTATGGAAACTGGATGGACTGTTTGAAATACCTTGCCAAACTGCAACCGTTTGACAACAACATCAGGGCAGTAGCACAGCCCACACTTTCGTACATGAAGCGTATATCCTTAGTTTCCTATACCTATGATTTTAGGTTGTGGCCAGGCATGGTCATTTGGATCTATGCCGCAAGAATGGAAAACGAGCTGGAATGCCTTTGAATTGGATGTTGCTCGTATTTGCAATTTCTTTTCTGGAAGTGTTATAGTGTTATACCATCAAAGGTGGGAAAAAACAGAACAGGCGACTTTACCCGACCAAAACCCAACGCTTTTTTGATGTATGATTTCCCACTGCCACACAAGCATATTCCAGTTGAAACTCGTCCAAGGCCAAATTCGAACATTTTTCTGCCAGAACAAACTGGTGCAATTGCAACAAACGGGTGTGTGACAGCTGAGGATAAGAGCATGAAATGGATTGGGTAAACCAAACAAAAAACTCTGGATAATGTGGGATAGCTTGGGTAAACCAAGAAATATATGGAAATGTATTGATGTAATTTAATTAGGGAAATCAAGACATTCTTGGAGGAATTTGGTTTCGGTTTCATGATTTCCCAAAAGACAATTTTGAAAACAAAGGGCAATTCTGAAAATCGAGCAGACTTTCTGCCTTCTATTAAAGGAGCCAAAAAAAAGAAACGCATACCTGGAACACAAGCAGAGGAACACCATGTCTGATGATTTTTTCGGTGCCTCCCATCATTACACACAAATGAGACCAAATGATCGGAAAAAATCATTGAATCGATTTGAAAAATCTTCAATCCCTGCAGGAAAGGAAAAATTACAGCCACCATAGCCACCCTCCACCCATCTCCACCCTGCCGCGTGGCGTGTGGCTTTGGACGCCAGAAGACGCAAACGCTCGTCCCCTTTCACCTGGCCGCAGTAATCCCATCCCAGAAACCATCCATTTTTTGGGGATGACATGTTATGAAATATGAGTGGGACCATGGAATGGGGATGTTTAATATGAACCCGCGATTGGATTACAAGGGTTCCAGGATTCCGTTCCAGTATTGATTCTCTTTTGGCCATTGAAACTCAAATGCTACAGATTCAATCCACACTGGCAGCCAGCACCTCATAGTGATTATTTGCTTTGGCAATTCGGTGCAATGCAGCTGACCTCAGCCGGTGGTTCAACAACCAGTTCAACCATGGACGACCAAGTCGCACGCAAAGGTGAAAACACTCATGGCCGCCCAAAGCCTACACCACCATGGACTAACAGAATCGGACAGCTGTGTACTTCACACCCTAAACATGACTCCATATGACTCCCAGAATATCCCAGAATTATTTGTCTGTTCTCGAGTCTGTGGTTTCCGATGGGATTTCCCTTCTCTCACCCCCTTCAACTACCCTCTGATAAACTAACATAACTATGGAAATCACCATTCTTCATGGGTAAATCAACTATAAATGGCAATTTTCAATAGCTATGTTAAATTATCAGAGGGTAAACCCGTGAAGATCCGTGAAGTCTGCGAATGCAATGCACTTCTTTTCCGCAGCCGCAGCCGACAGTCCCGGTGGCCGCTGCCTCGATTTCTCACACCCGGAGACCTGGAAAATCCCAGTGGTGGAATCATAGTAAAAGGTTTAGAAGGGCTCCTTGGACATGTCTTCATGTGACGAGATTCAGCAACAAAGCGGCAAGAATGGGGACTCAACCAGAACGACAGATCTGTCTTGTTGGTTGGGATAGGTTTGTCCCGGATGGCTGCCTCGAGGACTAAATGAAAATGGTGTGAATGATGGGCAGGACAAAAGCATGGCGAGGCTTAGATCATGCTTTCACAAGTGTCCAATGCACCTAAAATTCCTGCATTGCAGCCAAAAAAAAGCCGAGGTTTTCACGGCAAGTGTGTGATCTGATGGAGCCCCCACCTGCATGGGCACTGCATGGCATGGTGAAGATTGGAAGCCATGGGCGCCGATCCGATGAGTGGCACAATGACCAACTGGGAGATATCCAAAAGTTCAGGGAACTCAGGAACTCCCGATGCCAAAGGTTGGGAGATGTTGGGAGGATGGAAAATCGGAGGTTTTTAATGATTTTTGTGTGCATGCCCCCTCTGTGCCCAGTTGTTGTCGGTGGTTTAGCCAGCTACCAGAAAGGGCTGATGCTTCCGTTGAGCCCACGAGCATTGGGCCAGGTGGCAATCTGCTTTCCACAGCCACGCCATGTTGCTTCACTCATCTTCACTCGACTGCATGCAACTGACAACAAATGGAACGTTCCTGTGAATTGAAGTGTCCACCCGTCGTGGATGAGGTAGTGATGTAACTTATGTAACGTTATCAGTACGTTATCTCACCATAGTTGGCTTAGGCAGAGGACGCGTGAAAGACTGCAAACTCGTTCACGAACTCCCCCGCAATGTCCAGCAAATCGTGCGCACCTCGTCGCAGAGGCAGTGGGCGGGAGTTCACTGGTGAGGGCTGGGATATGCTGGGATAAATAATCGCCTTTCACAAGGTTTAAGGCAAGTCTCTTTCCAACTCCATGATCTTGCCATGCACCTGGCTTGGCCCGGAATGGGCTCAGCTGCCATACCCTTGGCTCAGCTACTTTCGGCTGGATCACCCAGCCGCTTCACAGTGAGAGAATCAATTTCGGTCTGGACGGTCTGGTGGGAAAACACATCAAAGGACAAACAACACACATCATATCACATCATCACATCCGTCACATCCCTTTTGATGTTTTCCAGCTAACACCACCATGTGCCACCTATCTGCCAAAAGCATCTCCCAGAAACCAGCCCAGGTAGGCAACGTGGCGCTGGCAGCAGCCTTTTTTTTATGTCGCAGAAGCTCAACGGCTCAGTGGCTCAACCCATGGATGACAGTGCATCTTGCAACGCAGCCTTGACTGCAGCCTGGCCATACGGATGCTGGCGGTTTTGGGGAGCCAAATTTGAAAGGTGGAAAAAACTCATCATCATCATCATCATCATCCATGGCTAAAATGTCCAACCCACCAAGGTCCAACAGCTTTGCCATGGCTGAACACTGCGCCATCGAACCTCATCGGCCGCAGTATCCTTCACCTTCTCAAAGGCTTTGGCGCCCATCTGCAGGGCGGCCTGGCTGGCCGAAGCCATGCGATGGCTATGGGAACACGGGAGATTTGACCAAGAAATTTACATGAAATCAGGATATAATACTGCATATATATATATACATGCATATATCATAAATATCTATACCTAAGGTATAGAACAGAAAACATCCAATATATTATATATATATACATATATAGTATATATATATATAATATATATATACATACATGGAAGATCATAGATGATCATGGATGTGAATATTGAATCTTTGCCAATTATGGGTGAGGTTCATCTTACCGATCACCACTCTGTGGCGAGGCCGTGCCGGGGTACGCACCCACCACATTCCCCCAGGGTTTCTGGGGGCTGGTCATTCTGATAGTCAAACATGGCATTGGGAGATAGCCGCATCTTGTTATAAGAATTTCATCTACAAATTAGGGATGTTACATTCACCAAAGTAAAGTGCCAAAGGGAATCCAAAGGGTATGCAACATGAAAACAAAACACGTAAAACAGGCTGAATAGAAGAGGCAACATGGTTTCAACATGTTTTGACCTGCAAATGCGCCGTGCATTCATGGAAGGGGAGACTTAGATTCCTGGACAGTCATCTTCCCTGCAGTTGTTTTATCCAGGCATTCTATTTCAGTCTCCCATGATTCACGTTCAAACCAGATCAACTGCCTGTGTCTACATTCTAAATGTACAAACATATATATATACACATCCGTGTATCTTATGTAAATGTGTGTGTGTGTCTATCTCATCCCTCTTGTCCCTGCCATCTTTTCAGCCCCCAAGCTCGACCTGTCGCATGCCGATAATCACAGGATCATCCAGGACGAGCTCAAAACGGTTGGGCGTTCGAATGTGGTTCAAGGTCTGCTCACGACCCTCCAGAAGCCTTGGAGAGTCGACCTAATTTCAGAAAATTAGAGGGCCTTGACCCATCCCCACACGTGTCTCTATCTGTCTCTGTCTTTGTCTCTGTGTCTGCCTGTGTCTGTCTGTGTCTGTCTGTGTCTGACTCTGTCTCTCTGTCTCTCTGTCTCTCTATCTATCTCTCCATCTATCTATCTATCTATCTATCCATCTATCTATCCATCTATCTATCCATCTATCTATCCATCTATCTATCCATCTATCTATATCTATCTATCCATCTATCTATCCATCTATCTATATCTATCTATATCTATCTATATCTATCTATATCTATATCTATCTATATCTAACTCTAAATCTAAATCTAAATTTATCTATCTATCTACATATGTATATATATATATATGTATGTATCTATCTATCTATCTATCTATCTATCCATCCATCCATCTATCCATCCATCCATCCATCCACCTATCTCTCTCTCTATTGCCATCTGTCAAGACTGTAGTAGTGTGAGCAGTGGCGAGAAACTACCCACATCATATCCTCAGCTTTGTATTGCCCAAAAAAAAACGTTTTTAACCGATCATATCCCAAAATTGTTCATCCAAATGTCATCATCCCTTGCCCCGCAGGTACGTTGGTTTATGAACCGCATCACCTATAAATCTCCACCAACTTCGCGAATGGGGGCACCACCTTGCAAACGGTTTACTATTACATATGTATATCATAAATATAAATGTGTATACCCCACGTATATATATATAATCCCATCATACGTATATATGGAGACCCATATATATATATATATGTGTGTAGCTATACATCAAGAATCATAAAGATGCCATATATCCAACTCCTTCCGCCAGGCAGCACGTTGGTGCCCCCTGCCGCCATCTGCGCCAGTGCGCCCTGGACGAAGTTCACCACCTCGCCCTGGGTCACTTCGGCCACCGTGGGGATGTTCTTGGCCACCTTGGAGTCCTTGAGAACCTGCGCTTCGGCGAAGTCATATGGTAGACCTGGTAGACCCAACAAAAACATGGGATGGTTTAAAACGGGTCATGAGACATCATGAGAAGATCTGGTAAAAGCCCAAACAAAATAAAAACTGTGGAAGAAATGTGGTAAACCCACGAAACACCACAATTTAAGGGATTGTTGATTCTTGGGTTTACCATGGTTTACCGGTTTACCATATAAAAGGGGATATATATAATTATATATATATAATTCATGGAAACACGTGAAAAGACAAATGATATATAATTTGGGTTGACGGGTGGTTCCCCCTTTGATCTATGGTTACAAACACATTTACCAGACGAGAATCTCAGGCTCAATTCACCTCATGCTGAATCAGTTAATATATCTACAGTATGGTGTTGTTCTTTTTTTTGGCCAGTGTTCCTGGCAAAAACGCAGATTTTCCATTGCCACGTTTGGTTGCCAGAAGTGGGGAAGGAAGACCCAGCTGGTTGTCACGAAGTGTCTGCTGAGGGAGAAAAGTGAAGCTGCTTAACCTGTTGCTACCCATACCATAGTGGTTTAATGATGGTTTATAGTTCTAAACCACAATTATCAGTTAACTATCTAAAATAATGTGGTATAAATCACTATTTGGGATAGTAAGAGTAGTAATGAACCGAATCCCATACTTATCAAATAAATGCCCTCTGGTAATGCCTAACACTTTGCGAACTGTAAAATTACCGTGTTCCACTGGGATGTATCATCGAACTAAATGGGCAATTTTCCATAGCTATCTTAAAATTACTGGAGGATACATACCTGTAACTGAGATACACCGGATTAGAATACTACTAGAGTGACGAATCATTTGCAACCTAGGAGGGTCCTTTACTTGGAAAACGTTGCTGGGAAACGGGAGAAAATGGCCCATGTGTAGATCATTTCAGGCCCCGGTCTCACTAAGCATCAGTCAGGCTGCAGTTTTCTCCACTTCGGAGACATAGTATGTGCAGCCTAAGCCGTCAATCTTCACATCCCACTTGCCGTTGAACTTGCCAAACTCCAACATTTTGCAGAAGGAATCCAGGTCCTGTAGCTTTGGGACGGTTATCATCATCCCCCCGCAATGATTCCTGGGATGCTGCCTACAAAAAAAAGTCTCTCTTGTGTGTGTGAAAGCATGTGCTGTCAACTTCCATATTAGTGCCATGGTCAAAACATGGTATGAGTTAGGTCATCCCCAAATATTGGAAAGCTGTCGTTTCAGAAGCGCCAGTGACCAATGACACGGACGTTGGGATCTTTGGGACTTTGACAGCGATAATACAACTCACAATGTGGGAATAATCATGTTTAGTGTCATGAAAACACCTCAACAACACTCATTTTAGCAAAAAAATACGTGGTTATAAATGTATAATGAATATATATATATATATATAAACAACACATAAGAACGTGCAAATAAACTCTGAAAGAAACACTTCTATCATGTTTTTCATGAAACCGGATGACCATTGTCATCCAGTTGGCATCTGGAAACCGGATGGCCTCCGCTGTCAGCACATCTTTCAACTCACAGCCCCTCTGTTCCGCGCACGTCACGGCCAACAGCGTCAGCGAACGAAAGAGGTTGCCATTGCCTCGGTGATGGCGCAACGAAGCAACCAAGCACTGAAGATATTGCAACACCAAAAGATATTTGGATTTACTTCAGGGACCCCCACAAATAAACATATATATATATATATAAACATATATATTTTCTTATATTCCTTATGGATTCCCCCAGTAGTAGCTCCCCCATTGGGAAAATAAATCTTCAGCAAATCCCGGGATACAAAAGTATTGAAAAGTTTGAAACATACACCTTGACTTGGAAGCATTTCCCTAATGATCTACTTTCAGCTTTCTGCAACCACTAAGCATGGAAGGATTGGAAGAAACAGCAGTCCATCGGAACTCCCAGCCCAGTCATCGATGGCCAAGGGGCTCCAAGTTTGAGCATTGGGCAACTTCTCCTTGAGTTTGTCCACGGTGGTTCCCTTCCCAGTGCCAGACAGCCCTTGCAACGTCATGACACATCCTCAAGGGGACCCATTGAGGTCCAGGGCCGGCATGGGCCAAGCTGGAAGTCGCGAATAGGTCTGATGATTAGGTTGTTATGGTAATTGTAAATAAACCTTATAGTGATATAGCAATATAATGATATAGTAATATAGTGATATAGTAATATAGTGATATAGCAATATAATGATATAGTAATATAGTGATACATGATTGATTGGATAATTATAGATAGTAATTACTCATCAAACCGACGCCCTTGGAGCCCTTGGATTTATATTTGATGGAAAGGGTTTCCTGCAGACCCACGTCAAACTGGCCAGTTGGGGATTGCATTTTTTGCATCTGTTCGACCACTGCCAAGCGACCCTTGGAAGGGCCATCCCCCAATGCAGCAATGATTTCGTCGGCCACCGTATCAGCCTCAAAAACAAGGGGGGGAAGGTTCACATGGCCATGGGACCCAGAAAGGTTGAACACATTTTGACCAACGCTAGATGTCCCCCAGTTTTGGGGGCATCCACTTTTTTACCTTTTTACAACTAAGATCAAATAAGATGGTTGACCTTATCTCTCCTTCGCCATCCAGCTCAGTCAATCTTACCTTTGTCCCAAGGGTCACTCTTTCCAGAGACGCTGATCTTCTTGGTCGGTTCCACTTTCACATCTGCAGGCAACACCTGGCAGCGGCACTTGATGGCACTTGGAGGGCGGAGCCCAGTTGTGTAAGTCCGCGCAACCTCGCCAAGCTAAGATAGATATCAGAAAATCATAGAAAATCCAGCATTTGCAGATACTTGAAATGGGGAAATCGATGGAAATCGTTGGTTTTCATGGGTTGTCCATATCTCTCCTAGTTTACCCCAAGGTCTTTCCAAGAAAACTTTGGACACCTTCCATTCAACCCCAGCCAGGTGCCCAGCCCATCCTACCTTTTTGTCGATGGCCAGCTGGATGCCCTTCGCCAATTTGTCGCCGTCTTCTTGATCTCTCTTCATGATCTCCGTCATCAGCCTCTCGGCCACCTTCTTGAAGCCCGCATCATCCTTGAACCTGCAAGATCCGCCCAGAACATGGAGATGGCTTAAAAGGGGGGGAATCCGGGTGAAGGAAGTGGCATATCAGCTGCCAACTTTGGGCATATCATTTATCGAAATTGCATGAAATTGGCTTCATACCATGTACCTTTTCCTCGCCTCTGCAGGGAGAACTGGAGGGCCCCTGGTCTTTACACGTCTTACATTGTCTCATCTCGCGGTTATCTTGGTTAGCCTCTACCCGACTCTAACCTTAGACAGCCTTCAAACACTAGTCGCGGAATATCCTACTGATTCCTGGTCCTAGTCTGTCTCCATTTTGCGGCCAAAATCGCTGCCATTCACCGCCCAGTGACGCATCGATGATGGCTGCGGAGGTGACGCTGTTTTGCAGTGCCAAGGTCTCTGGGCTGATGGCCATGGCGCGCAGCAGCACCCACGGGCTTCGTGCTGGTGAAGCCGAAAGGAGCTGCCACGGTGGAGAGGATGGAAGCACCGGGGTCACCGGGGTGCGGTTGACCATGACAACCTTGGCTATGGCTAGGTACCCAATGGTACGCACGCTTGCCAGTTGAATGGTTGGTTTGATACTATATAATACTAATTAATACTATATAATCATTAGCCAGAAATTGATAGAAATTGTAGGGCCCAGGTGGCCACAGGGTCTTTAAAATTGACCCAGACCCAAACAATTTAATGAGATTTTAATGAGCTAGTGAGAAAAAAAACCTGGGCCAACAGTGGCCCCAAAACTCACAAAAGATTTCAATCAAAATCAGCATTCTTGAAAGAGAAAAACAAGACTGCCATCAATGCATGAATTTAGGGAATCTCATGATGCAGGCTGAGATTTCAAGCCAACCAGAACTTCAGGGCTGATATTATGCCCAAAAAAGTCACGGGCCACCTGCAAAGTCCTGATTTCCTGCAAACCGTTCATGGCAACCTCCAGTAAACAAATCTGGCAGAAAGAACACCTCTCAAGTTTCACCTGAACCCAATAATTACCATGTCCAAGAGATGATTCATGTCTCAAAGCTAGTTTTGCTTGTAGTTCATGCGGAGTTTTGAGTACTCTAGAACATTTTGGAACTAGTTTTTAGGGTTTCGGATGACAATGAACCTCCCCAAAACTTCCTCCTGCGAACTGCAAACTGGAGCAACTTGGAAGCGCACTTGGGGGCGCAGTTCCAGTTCGAAGTGATACGCATAGTTATACAGTAGCACTTATATCCAAGCTTTCGGAGGTTTACCCCAACCGCACCCCCAAGCATCTGATAGCTGGGTGCCTTTTTGCTCGAAGGGGGGACCACTATCCAAGGAACTTTCGTCAGCCGCAGGACATTGGCAAAGGCAGAAAAGTGAATAACGTCTCTCACCTCTGGCTGTTTGGCATAGATTGGCATAGGCTTTAGTGACGTTTAGTGACGTTTAGTGTAATCCTCTGGCCGTCAACATCCGGGGGGTTCAACGTGTTCACCACGGCTCACATCCAAGGCTCCGGGGCTCCGGGCCACCATCCAAGAAATCCAGCATGCTGCACAAAAGGCGCCCCATCTACGCCTTCCAACAGTAAACCGCAGTACAGCAAATCTGCATGCATTATGTTATGATATTGTTACATATAATTATATATATATATATATAACAAAAATATAATGAATTGTACATTGTATGCACATTCTCGTCCGCGTGTTTGTGAGTATGCAATACGTCCACATGTGAGCAAAGGGATGTGCTATAGCGACTATAAATGTATATATTATATCTATAAATGCAATCTACCTAGCGGATCCTAGAGGCATTGGCTTCCACAGGTGTCCCTGGTCTTCTCCGAACCTCGTCCTGTGTGGCAATACTCGCATGAAGGCGGTCTGCATGCGCTCTCTACTCATGACGAGATAGGTGTATGGTGAAATCATGTGCTATGTTGATGTTATCATATGCTATCACTGCCTGCGAAACTGCGCAATGGGACGTGCCAGATATCCTGCTCAACATAGCTGTTACTGCAGTGAAGAACCGTGGTAGCATCGGAATAGAGCAGTCACCCTCTAACGTTCATTTCTTGCAGCAGCAATCACCCATCTTTCATGCTGATGCTTTTTTAATGTTCCAAATCAATTGCGATGATCATGCCGATGTTGAAGTCATGACAAGTCAAGTCGGGAAAAAAAGCGTGTATAAATGGATATAAATGGAGGGGGTGCAAACATGCCCAAACAAATTGTAAATCTTGCTTTTTCGAAGCTGCAAGCTGCTGCGGCATGCGTGCCACTCCACATCCCGACAGAGATACAGTACCACTGTGTAATGTACTGCGCTGATCTACACTGCAGGTTCATGGTTTCACACACCTTTCTAAAGGAAGAATTGATCCACGACTCCTCTCGCCACTGACAACCAGCAGAAGTCCATTGGTTGATTAAGGCTCATCATGCCTCTTATGAGGGCTCATCATACTTGTTATGAGGGCTGGCGGCTAGCACAAGTACCAGCAAGACCACCAATGAATAGCAATCTCCACCCATAGCAGCAGCACCATCAACATCAACATCACCAACACCAATCACTACCATCACTATTATCATCATCACCACAACTGCATGGTCGAATACAAGTACCAATTAATTCTGTTCGCGCGTGCTTGTGTCGAAGAGCCAGCGCGTGCATCTTACGTCCCAGAATCAACATCTTCAGCAAACAAGCCAGAAACACATCAACTTCCGTCCCATCGCTTCTGATCCACTTCTTCTCAGAATATGGCACCGACTCAGAAGGCCTTCCGGCTCCAAGAGCGCCAGTCAAATTCATACCCCAAAAATGGGATGAGGATGTTGATGATAATGAAGAAGATGATGATGATGATGAGCCAAACCATGCCAAACCCATCATGGGAGATCTACGTTTTGATCTACATCCATGAAAGATGATGTCTCCCTTGGCCCTCAGCAGTGCCTTTCTCTCTGCTCGCTTGGTTCGCGTCGCCCTGGCACGGTATGAGTCAAAATCGGTGTGGGATTCATGTAAAAAAAAGGATCCAGAAACACACACTGATTAAAAAAGAAGATCATCAGGACATGAAATGATACAAGTGTGGATCCAAAAAAAACATTTACAAAAATGTAACATAGATTTGATGAGATCTAGGATGATTTGAGTTGCTCTTATTGGAAGGGATTACTGGTATCACCGGAGGGTTGCAAACCCTCAGGCCTCTGCCGTCACCAACTGGGGCCTTTCCCTGGCCTGACGGGAGCTCCGGCCCCCTTTGACATTTCTTTGATACACTTTTTGAGTCAATATGATGAAATAATTTGTAAATATGTGTAAGATATTGTAAGTAAATCATAATATGTCTAAAAGAAAATGATATCATATCATATACATTATATATGTATAATTATGTATATAATTGTATATATACATGCACTCATTGTCTTTCCACACATGATTCAACAATGATCAGCATCTCTTGGGAAACGACCCAGGGCCTTTCGAGCCCTTTGAGCCCTTTGAGCCGGCGGTGGGAGTCCAACTGCTGGGCGCCTGGGGCATACCATGGCAGCTCGGGGGTGCTCATGGCTCCATCAAAGAAAAATCATGACACATCAAATCCAGGCCTCATCATGCATGATTCATGATTATTATTATTATTATCATTATCATTATTATTATTATAATATATATATATATATTTAAAAAATAAAAAACATACGTGTGATTATCGTAGCTCTTAATTGGCAAGTTTGGTAAGAGGAACCATGGCCGAAAACTGCTCTAAGGCAGGGGCCAACTTTTCATGGCCACCTTGTCCTGCGCTGGCTACAGGCAGCCCATGGCAGCCCGTCAAACGCAGAATCAGCGCGGACATGGCAAAGTTCACAGTTTTTTGGTCAACGTTGAGATGCCAAATGTGTTGAATGGACATAGAATGACATAGAAACAGCATGAAACAGCTTCAATTTTGTTGGGACTCATTTTGGTAGACCATGATATCCCGGCAGTAGGAATTTCACCTGAGATGTGTTAGCCAAATCATGCCAAATCACTGGAACCCAGGTCACAAATGGTCACAACGACCGCAACTAAGAAATAGTCAAGTGGATTTTTGGATTCAATTCAATATATTCAATGGGGATTCATCATCCCAGCTCAGAATTGAAAACACATTAGCATACATTAGCAACATTTTGCAACATTTAGCAACCATCAACTTCCCCCTACCAAACAACATTTTGTTCACCCGTGCCCCATCCCCAGTCCACTACTGACCTGACTGCCCTCCACCACTTCGTAGGGCTGTTTGGCTTCTACGATGAGAGCCTGCGTTGACTTCATGTGGCTTGCAACGGCCCGACTGTTGTTCACTATGTTCAGGTATTGGGGGTGATTGGTTGTTGCTTGTTGGCGGTTGCTGGTTGGTTGCGGGTGATTGGTTGGTATTTCTTGGTTGTTGGTGGTTGGTTGTTGTGTCTCACTTTCTTGAAATCAGCAAGCCGTAGCTGTTGCATGTTGTTGCGACATCGCCTCGGCCATTGAGGATGTTGTTGGCGATGCCGGGAGCATCTGCAGGTGGCATTCAACTTTTCCAAGACTGCCGAAACTAGACTAGCCATCTTGGCACGGCATGTCATAGACATCTGATCTTCATTCCCTTTACATCTCTTTACCACTCTTTACCCTAATTCCGGAGAGAAACTCTCGGGGGGCTTTGGGGATCTAACCAACAGGCTGGGACCGGCACTCACAGAAAGGCGGCTTGTCGAGGCCACTGGCACCGAACCTACAAAATCTTCAAGGATCCCCGAAGCCAGAGATTCGGGCCGTGCTTGGTGTCATCCAAAGTGTCTTAGCATACCCTATGGGACAAGAATGGGAAGCCAAATAAAATAATGTGGGCAGATAGTCTCCCATAGTTCCAGCATGTTCCAGCCAATCAGATCAGTGACTACAGGCAATATCCAAGCACCAGGCCGCTCAGTGTCTGAACATCTGGCCGCACCTGTTCGCACACAGCGGCTGTCCGTGGAGCTGCCTCTTCGTAGCTCACATCGCTCGGTCAGCGGCTGGGATTCCAAAGGGCTCTCGCCCCGCCGACCTGCGAACCAAAATATCTCACCGCATCAACCTTTGCGACAAGATCACACACAAGAACAGTAACCGATGTTCTCACCTCATCATGAACTTGCTGCTTGATCCCCAGCATTGAACTATAACCGGCCTGCACGAAGAAAAAGGCTGGTGGAACCACCTGCGGGAGCCGATGAAAATCAGGATTCAAATCACGCGCAGCTCCCATCCGGATCCGAGGATTCCAGGCCCCTTGGAACACCCCTTGGAACACCAAAATAGATTGAACATCTTTGAACAGTTGAAACATGTTGAAACATGTTGAAACATGTTGAAACGTGTTGAAAAGGTCAAAATCCTCGGTCCGCCGGGACCTGTTTGGAATCGCAAAGCTGGGCTTTCGCTCTGGCCTCAAAGCGTTGAAGCACAGCATTGGCTCAGGGGATCCTTTTTGAGAAGAGGACAAGCACCTGGAAATGCTGGAAGTTGACCATTGATGACCATTGTATTTCGGCCTGGTGGCCATAGATCCTCTCCTTGAAACAACCTTCGCAACCTATTTTCCACAAGCCATTGAAATCCAGCAGGGTCACACTTGGTCCATTCTCCAGGCCTGCATGTATGCTGGTGGTTTCCAGCCGTCGCGGAGCCGGTTCACCACCTGGCTCCGTCATGCGATGCCTAGCACTAGCCGCAACCCGAGCGATATCCCTAGCCTTGCAGAGAAAAAACATCTCGAGTGGAATGTCAAAGCACTCAGGAATCCATGAATTCATCAACAAAGACCAACAAAGATCAACAGAGTAATTCATGAGTACATAAACCAATAGTAAACCAACCATTCATCCATTATGCCTTATTCACTCCTAGGCTGTTTTCTATTGGGGGGTATCAGTGAAGTATCAGATGTATCAGTGAAGTAGCAGCAGATACCCTCCCGGACACGGCCTCGCTGGCGCAGGACGGGGACGGAGACCTCCGGGATCTCTGGGACCTCTGGGCTGTCGCGGCTGTCGCCGGGCCAACCCCTGCTCCAACCTGGCACCGTTGCAGCTTAGGAAATGGTTGGGTAATGGTTATGTATATGGCAATGACAGCTGTCTGTCTCCAGAACCATAACTGGTTGGTGGTGTCAACCCCTCTGAAAAACACTATATAGTCAGTTGGGGTTACTACTCCCAATATATGGGAAAATAAAAATGTTCCAAACCACCAACCAGATAAAGCTATGGCAATGGCTGTAGTAGCAATCGATTTTATTGAATATCGTAATTTTAAAAATACAGTACAGAAGAAGAAGGAGGATAAGAAGAAGGGACATAAGTACCTATACCGTCCATACAGAAATCACAGAAAGCATCATCAATGAATGTATTGTATGATTGATCGGGGGGCGATCGTTGATACGATGAGCGAATATGCTTGAGTGCCATTCGGACCTGGATATTCACTCAAAATCCAGAAAGGACAGGAAGGTTTTGAGGGACCCTAAGATCAAGACTGTTCGATTCTGATTTTGATCTGCCTCTCGCTGACTTCCCCCTTGCCAAAACATGGCATGTTCACCTGCGGATGAATACCTCAGCCACGGGTCGAGAACACCGCCCCGGCTGGGGCAAAGAGTCAGGCTGTTCACATCCGTGGATCATCACTGCAGCACGGAAGATCTGCAACAGCCTACCATTTTTCCTCCCTCCGGGGTCAGCAGTGACTAGTGCAAGTGAAGCCTCCTAGCACGGATGCCTGAGCTATGTAAGTAGGATGGGATTGACTCGATTCAATCAACAGTGCAGTTTGACCTTCAATTCTATTATAAACATCTCTCTCTCTCTTTTTCTCCCTAGTCCACATGATTCGCATGCCACGCACTCTGGGTTGCAAGACGTTTCCCATCGGAATATCCTCCAGTTGTACATCAAATTCCTTATAGGGAAAAGAGAAACTCTTCTGCTTGGCAGTTTCAATCCTGTCCGCCAAAAAACAGTCAAACACCGTCAATCATGATAGCAAGGGATCATCATTCTTACCTGATGGAACATCCACAACAATATCAACAATACCTCAAAAGGGCCTAATTTCAAAAACATCAACCTGCAACAGCAACATGATTGAAACATGATTGAAACCACCAGTTCCACTTTTATCTTGGCATCTCTTCGATTATCTTCGACTCCAAGGGCTTCGCCTTTCTCGGGCGGTCCACCGAGCCGGGCTCAGAGCTGTTCCGTTTTGGCCCGCTGCAGCCCGGGACGGGCCACCTCTGCGTCAGCGTCCACCGAGCCTGCGAAAGGATCGCTTTTTCGTGCTGAATTCACGTAAATCAAACGTAATGCGTGTAATTGGTGAAATATGTTCCGATCTTTTCTGATGTTTTTTCGGTACTATGAGATTGTTTGGACGAGATTTTGTAAACAGTGGATTGTTGTTCTATCTGTTTCTACGCCTGTTGTGAATTATTATGACACTCTAGATAATATAGAGTTCCTGTCCAAAAACGGACCCTGAAAAGGCGAAGGTTGGAGTTCAAAAATAATTTGGCTGTTGTGATCAAATGTGTTTGGTTTCCTCGGCCTAAATCACCACCAAAATCCGATGGCATACTGAAAATCACAAACATCTGTGGCTTGTTGTGGTGGATCTTATGTGTCCATATGTGTCCCCAATTTGGGACAAGATGAACGAGTCTGGACTTCTCACGCATTCGTGAACATCGCCTTCGGTGGTGGCGGCTCGACGGATGCCTCCAGCTTCTCGCGGACTTGTCCAACCTGGCAATCACAGCGGCATGCCAGCTGACACATGCTGACATGCCATTGCCAACTGCCAGACAAAGTGATGATTCACAGAGGCCTGTTTTTGCCCGAAGGATTTCCGGCCAATGTTTCTATAGAATTCATTAGAAGTCTATAGGCTCAAGAGTCTCTGGAAACCTTGAGTCACAATGTTGTGCCTTTCCGTGTATCAAAGGGTTCAGGGGCCAGATGACCTAGAGACCTAGCTGTGAACAGTCACCAGACCAGCACCTTGTCGTGGACTGTCTCGTGGCGATCTTGCGACCTGATTGCCCATGGCCATCTCCAATCCTACTCATCAGCCCATATCAGCCCCTCCCAGATCGGGAAGATGCACAGCCTTGGTTCCTTAAAAAATCATGGAACGTGGAGACCTTGACGCCCTGAAGCAACTTCGGAACTGCTTGGACATGTCATTGAAACTCAGCAACAGTGCTTTACACACCATCTTTTTCATTGTTTTCACCCAGCTCCTACGGAAAAAATCCAACAACTGCCCGTGGGTAAGAAACCATGTACCTCCAAATTACCTCCAAATATGCCAAATCTCTCCAAATTCACCAAGATATCCAAGATCCATCCCCCACGCCCATGGGCCCATCCCCCATCCAAGCCACATCCAGCGCCTCCAACATCTTCGACTCGCGCCTCGCCCCGGCCGCAGCCGGCAGCACCGTCACTGGGCCCTTCGAGGCCTTCGGGCTCTTCGAGGCCGCGGCCGCGGCACCGCTGAAGTCCTTGGGTTTGAAGCAGGGCGCCTCCCAGCCCGGGGGCGCGACGGCCATGTGGTTGGCGTGCTTCACGTCCTCCAACCAGCCTGACCATGGAAGAGCTGTTCTGTATTCTGTCCGAGGTTGGACATGGTGGAACATGGTGGAACATTGTGGAACGGCAAAAAGAAGTTTAGTCTTGGAAGATGATCTTTGCAGTTATCAATTTTGCGAAACAGATCGAACAATCCATGTTTGCATTCAGGATGTAGCATGAAAATCCATTTCGCATCTGTTGGCGGTCTTCACCCCCAGCCTGAAATCAACTCATCGATTGGCAACTTGGCCGATTCTGCACCCGCCCCAAAAGGCGTGGACACACAGAAGCCTGCTGTCACCGGCAGATCTGGACCCTCTGGACCAGACCGTGGTTTCGGCGTGTATTTCACAATGTCCGCACCAGCCTGTTTCACCGTTTCACTTCCCCAGCAGGTGGTGTTTTTGGATGCAGCAATTGCATTGTTATAATTTTGACGCAACCCCTTCAGCCTTCTAGCCCACCCAGACCCAATTTCTGTCCTATCTCCAGAAATGCTTGGTAGAGAACAGGAGCAAAGAAGCATTTCCTGGGCCCGCGGCATGGTGAACCGTGGTTCCACAGCAGCAAGGCAAGCATGTTCAAAAAGAGCAACTCTATATGATCTCTGTGTCACATGTTCGTACTGTATATAGCGCATTATAGCGCCATGGATCCCCAAAAACCATCACCTCAAAATTGTTCAAGCTTCGCGAGTTCCAGAACAGTCTCCAATTCAACAGGACTGACACAGAACATCCGGCCCAAGCGTCAACCCTTGGATGATCAACACCTGCACATCGGTGTCTGCGGAGTGATTGGGCTGCGGCTCGACCTTGCTAGGCACCCCTTACCGCTGGTTGAACGGTTGAACGGTTGAACCTTTGCGTCAAAATCGTCAAAATGTAGAATCTGCATGATTCTGCTGCACCAAGATCCAAGGGGCCCCATAGAGTGTCAGCCGCGGGTCAATGTGTACGAGGATGGAGCCCAAACAGCTTCCTGCCACAATGGCAAAGGCATTAGTACAATGGCAATGGCATGGTTCATTGGAACTGCGCAAGAATGAGGTGTTTTCATGACCGCATCAATATCATGAACATCCCGGAAATGAATGGACAATATGGAAATGAGATGAACGATGAAGAATGAAGAGTTCGTTCGGACATTCGTCTGCCGAAAAGTTTGGAAGCATGTGGTTTTGATCGGAAGATGGGCTCGACAAATGGATGCGGCAACTCCACCGGGCCCAAGGCCATTGCGCCGCGGCCACGCCTACAGTAAGGCCCATGCTGGTAGCGCAGAGTATGTTACCTTGGCAGTTGAACAAAAGCAGATGTGCTAAATCAATCTAAATCATCCAATCATGTCAAATCGGACAACGAGTGACCGTGCGTAAAATAACATTGATGTATCGATAAATAGGTAGGATATGGAAATTCAGCCTTGTACCTGGGACTTCACTGTGCAATCCATGCACCCCATGTGTTTTCTGACAAACCCATCAGCTACCATGGCTAGAAATTGATGTGATTGAAGCTGTTGATGGCTTAACCGCAAAAGTACTGCTTGAATACCCCAAGAAGATCCAAGAAGGTGATCAAGTATGTCGACATGGAATGCCCTCACAACATTTGTCAACCGTCCCTGCTAATGCCGACCGGCTACTCACGTGGACCACAGCCGCCAGCGTATGTGTGTAGACATAGGGTACTTGAACCTCTCCTTGGCAGATCGGTACCGGTGCCTCCAACTTTCTGCCCTCCCACAAAAATCTCCAAAAAAAACGATCAAAACCCAATGGTATCAAAACAAAGGGGTATCAAAACATATTAAGCCAAATAGTTCACGACCAAAAATGAGCTACCGGGGCCTTAAAATCCTTTAAACGTTCGCATCGCGAGATTAAAATGATTGAAATTTATAAAATATTATAAAATATCCTCAGCTGAAATGCGACCCAAGGATCTCACTGCGCGGATTTGCTTCATGGAATCTTGGGCGGACCTAAGCTGCACACTGCACAATGTGCACATCATACATCCCGCATTTGAGACTGTGGCTTCCCCATGCTTCCCCCATCTTTCCCCCAACCCCTGCTGGGAGGCAAAAAAACGCAACCCCAGTGGCTTCACGATCTGCAACAGCCGGCCGTAGATCGGACTCGCCATGGGCGGAATCCTTGGCTTTGACATAACGAGCTGCTGGGATGGCAAGGAGGGGTCATGCAGCGAAGTGACCAGGAAATTAAATGTTGGGGGATAAACGTCGGAAATGTTGGAGAAAAACCAGGAAATGTACTATGTAAACTGGGGAAGTCATAAGTGACAGTTTCATGAGAATGGGTCAAATCATGTCAAATCCCAGTCTTCTGTCACTAGCTGGGAGTTATGGAGATTCACCTGCCAGGTTGCTCTCCCTCTTGCGCCAGCGATCCCAAGAAGGAGGCCACCCAAACCCAGATCTGAATCGCAGGGTCCGCCATCTTTTTCAGGTCCTACATCTGGACCCGGTTGGAGGATCCAAGGTTTCTCCTCCTTGGATTGTTAGATCATCTCCATGACGATATTCGACAGTGGCGATGTATATCATGGATATCATGGGTTTCGATGGCGATATCACCCACATTTTGTGGGATATAACCGGAATTGTGCGGAATAAGCCCCATCAAACGCTATAGCAAAACATGGGTCATAGATGGTCCTTGCAATGGAAAGTCTGAGAAGCTCCGATCATGGGAACCAACCGGGGACCAACCTTCCTTCATCGGGTGATAGTTCAGCAGGGTGTGTACTGTAAGTATACTATGCCATGCCATGACCTGGTAATGAGACTGTCGCTGAAGTCTCAATCCTCCTACAATCATCAACCCGCTTGCTGTCAGCTCATAAAGCTGATGATGTCATTGCGGCGGTACAACATGGTACATCCGTAGATCTCACATACTGTGAAAGCCCCGGGGGCCTTTTGGGCAGGAATGCCCCCTTGAGACCAATTTACCCCTCCAGAGTCCGGTCCTCGAGCTCGCTTTCCTCAGCTGAAGGTCATCACTGCGTCAGGATAAGACAGGATTGGTGAGCTTGGCTAACGTAAGTTTCAGATGCTGCTCTTCTGTTTCAGGAGCATACTCCAAAAATCTCCCAGTCCTGGGGGCACAGTTCCAGTTACTAAGCGGGTATACAGCCACAAATTTCGGGGTGATGTCCCAAGCTGTGGTAAAATCACCCTAGTTATACAATGTTATACCTTTGTTCTACCCATCAAAATCAGCCCAACTGCAGCCCCCTGAGTTGGAAATATCTCCATCAGAAATGTCAAGGCTCGGTCACATGCAACAAAGGGTCCTTCAACTCCTGGATCCTGGGTTCGGCGTTGTGTTAGGACATAGGACATTTTTGGGGGGGAACCTCGGGTAGTCTAACATAGCTATATATTGAAATTGCCCATTTATGCATTCAAAGGTGATTTTCCAAATTGCCAAACAAATGCCATTGTTTTTCTGTTAGCATGTTTTTGTATGACAAATTGTCGTAAAATGCTCATATGTCTATTTAATTCTATTTAATCCTATTTAATCCATTTATTGATCAAATCGACTCAAAAATTGCGGATACTTTGTATTCAGCTACATTCGCATTAGTTTTTAGGATGTTGGCGGGTCCATTGCAACCCCTGGGCGGAAAGGCCCATTGGATCCATTGGTTCACCGAGAAGCCGATCCCAAATTTCGGGCCGAAGACCTGCCTTTCGATCTTCACCTGAGCTGAACCCTCAGACTCAAGCACCATCTGCTATGTGGCTATGTGGTTCATAGCAATCATGACAATCATACTCTCATCTCATAGTAGTCGTAATAAGCAGAAAAAGAAGAGAAAGAAGAAGAAGCAGAAGCAGTAGAGGTGGAAGAAGAAAAGAAGAAGGAGGCTAAAAGAAGAACAAATAATACTGATCATCCTCGGCAGCATGGGATAGCATCGGCGTCAACTTGCGGCCAGGAACGCATGGTGTGATCCAGCAGCCATGCCTTGGATCGGAAGGTATTTTGCCAGCGGGATCCACCCCAGATCCACCCCAAAAGAACATCAAAGAACTATAGATGGAATCGTCTATAGAAAAAACACATCATTCTATCGTCCAATTTTTGGAGGAGCTATATTTTTTATATAGGTATTTTGAGTTGTTATTTTTTTTCTAACTGTCCGTGCAGCATGCAGGGCCAAGGAGCCTCCCTGCAGGCCGAATGGGCATCGGCTACCAAAAATTACGAAGGACAAAATAAAGCCACCGGCACTCATATTCGCCCATGTTCCCAGCCATGAAAAAAAAAGGTCCACGGTGCCGAGAGTAAGCCATACCTCACCGGGCGGTCGATCTTGGCGATGCTCACCCCCAAGGCGTGCAGCCTGCGCTGGATCCGGCCAACCCAAGATTTTACGCGTTCAGCCAATAAATCGAAATTTAACCCAAGAACTGGAGATTTCAGCATCAAAAATGGAGATGTCATTTTCAAACATGGAGAGTTTGCCAGCACAAATTTGGATGATATTGGGTTTAAGTAGCAAATTCGTTGGATCTTAGCAGCGAGGATTGGATTTGCCCTCCGGTGATCAAACATCAATTGAAAATCGAGATTTCCCATATACCCATTCTGGAGTAATTGTGACGTGAAATCGGACAAACACAATGATCAATTGGTAAAAGTGATCCAAGATGATCCAAGCTGAAAGTGAAAAATATTCCATGATATTGCATCTGCCCTGGAATGATGATAGAAATAGAAAAGTTGAATGGTAGGAATGCACATTTGAAACGCAGGAAGTTCTACATCAACAAACAGAGCCAGCATCTAATGCCACCCCCCCACGGCTTGCAACCCAGCGGCTGCATCTGCAGGGCACGAATTGCCTGCGAGTTTGAAGGGGTGGACAAAATTACACCAATGTACCACATACAAGCAACAGTAGCTATGGAACAATAACAGATGAAATTTGATATGATCGCAAGTGCAGCAGCAGGACCTTCTATATAGATCGATATACAGGACCTCACAAGATCTTCATACAAGAACTTCCTATGAACATCCCAAAAGAACTTTCATACAAGCACCAGCACATGGCATCTTCAAGAACTGAACACAAGGACCTCAAAAAGAAAATTTCCACAGGATCTCCCAAAGATCTTCTCACAAGGACTTGCACGAGATCGCGTAGGGACTCCTTCAAAGGATTTCACCAGGATCTTTAAAGCTTCTCCCAAGGAATCGTAAAAAGATCGCAGGGACTCAAAGGATCTCTTCGCCAGGATCTCCAAGAATCAGCTAAAATGAGCACTGCGCCAGAACCAGGGCAATCCCACACGCGCAAAGCACCGAGAGGGTCGTGCGAGTGATATCAAAATGCACACCGCGCCACAACAAGAGTGATCTGACACGCACGAAGTGCCGAAAGGGTTGCGCGAGCGATATCAAAATTCGCACCGGGCGATTCAACAAGCACAAGGCACAAAGTCACGAGAGGGTTGTGCGAGCACATGTTGAAGTTTTTCACAAAACATTGCGCACCACGGAAAATGACGAAAAATGAACATTGAAAAAGTCAAAAGCTATGTTTACATGTTTAATTATGTTTACCATTATTTACCTAGGTCTCAACCATACATATTTTGTCGAGGTCTACAAAGTATTGCACCCCGCCACGTCAAATGAGCCAGACTCATCCGAAGTGCTCCACCTGCCACACGGACGGAATCATGACGACAGCTTCACAAAGCGAGACTTTCAACCCTTGGAAAACGTATGAAAACGTCATCCAAGTTCACCAAATACTGCGCCTGCCACCCAACATGACCTCAAAAGCACCTCTCGTTTTGACCCGCGCCTGCCTACGTTTTAGCAACGTGCACAAGTGTCACGCGTGCCACGCGGATGAAAAAGTGTCCGATGTCCTGCACCCGTCACGCCAAACGATGTTTTAGACCTCAAAATGTCCCGGATGTCCCACGCCTGCCACACAAAATGGACGCAGCTCAAAAAACGAGCACGGCGCGCTAGTAAAACGATACGTTCGAAAGAGGCAAAACTTAGCCGCACACTTTGTGTGAGGCTGCGCAGTCGAAATGCACGTGGACATCTTACAAGGGAACTTTTATGCGAGAAATTAAATTTACAACCAGCAAAAAAAACGCGCCCCAGACAGCGTACCCTGATCTAAGAATCTAACCCCGGCCCACCGTAAGAACCCCTCAGGGTGGACACAGTGTTTGGGGAAAAACGCTGTTGTTTGAACGATGGCAGCTGGAAAAATCCAGCTGCCAAGCTGGACGCGGATATAAAACCTCAAGAAATGATGTCAAAAAACGTGGAATCAGGTAAACCATGGTAAACCCATCACGGCATCAAAAATAAGAAGGATTTGTTTGACAAAACTCTCCAGATCTCTCCAGTATCCATCAGGTGGGTCCCACATGTCCCACCTTGATCCCTCGCCGTCCCTCTCCGTCCGCCTCAAATAAACCCAGAAAGGATTCGACGCAAGAAGTCCAGCGTGCCACAGAGTGGGTGATGAAAAAACCCAAGAGCAACGAAACAAAGACCTGAGATCCATCAGGTTGGTGCTGTTTGGATCGTCATCATAATAGACATGATAATTATAGATTATGGTATTGAATAATCACCATCGTCATTCTCAATGTTTCTTCAGAGGTCACTGGTAAGGCCGGGAGAAAAAAACCGGTTGAGGTCGTTTCACTTTGCCAACTCTCTGCACCATGTTCGAATTGGTTGTATGGCCTGATCATGGCATACCCCCAATTCCAATGGATTATTGATTATTGGAGCGTTTTTCCTCTTACTGTAGAATGGGGTTCCTCTCTCCCCATTTTTATTGCACCCCTTTACACAAATCAAAAGACTCCAAGTCCAATAATATCAGAGAATATTATATATATATATGCGTGTGTGTCTGTTAACTAATCATCTACCACCACTCTCAACCAAGATATAAACCAAACATATTTAACCATTCTAAACCCACCATTCCTCACACGAAGTGAATTCACACCATCCGTATCATTCGTCACATTATTTTAAAATAAGTTTCCATGAAATCCTAAATCCAAAAAACAATCATGATCATCCCATTAAATCCCATTCAAATCCCAATAGATTAACACTAAGTCACAGTCACACCCCACATGCCCGGTGCTCCCCCGGTGCTCCCCCGGTGCTCCCCCGGTGCTCCCCCGGGTGCTTCCTCGGTGCCCAGGGACGGTCATCACCGTGGTGATCTCCGAGAAGCGCAGCGGATCCACGGAGCTCGGATCCGAGACCAGGAGGAACTCCAAGGAAGCCACGAAGAGCGTCCAGGCCAGAAATCCTGAGGGTTATTCCATATATGTTCTATATATATATATATGTGTGTGTGTGTGTTATATGAATATGTTATGTAATGTAGATAGGTAGATAGATAGATAGCTAGATAGATAGCTAGATAGAGAGAGAGAGAGAGATAGATAAATAGATCGATAGATCGATAGATCGATAGATCGATCGATAGATCGATAGATCGATCGATAGATCGATAGATGGATAGATCGATAGATCGATCGATAGATCGATAGATAGATCGGTAGATCGATCGATAGATCGATAGATCGATCGATAGATGCATAGATAGATCGATCGATCGATAGATCGACAGATCGATAGATCGATAGATAGATCGATAGATGTATAGATAGATAGATCGATCGATAGATCGATAGATAGATCGATAGATCGATAGATCGATAGATAGATAGATCGATAGATCGATAGATGGATAGATAGATCGATCGATAGATGCATAGATAGATCGATCGATCGATAGATCGACAGATCGATAGATCGATAGATAGATCGATAGATGGATAGATAGATAGATAGATCGATAGATAGATAGATCGATAGATCGATAGATCGATAGATTGATAGATGGATAGATCGATAGATGGATAGATAGATCGATCGATAGATGCATAGATAGATCGATCGATCGATAGATCGACAGATCGATAGATCGATAGATAGATCGATAGATGGATAGATAGATAGATCGATCGATCGATAGATAGATCGATAGATCGATAGATCGATAGATATATTAGATTAGATCAGATTCGATTGGATTCGATTAGATTAGATTTGATAATATCATATTATATTATACTATATTTTAATGTTATTTGTATATATGTGTGTGTGATATATGTTATATAAGTATATACCATTACAGTATATACCATCAACTACCTGCGGGGGGCTGACACAGTCCTCTAGACCCTCAAGGATGGGTCTGTTCAAGTCCTCAAAACCCATATGTTATATACATATACATTATATAAATATGCTAGATAGATATACTTGATATACTGATGGATGGATAGATGGATGGATTCCAGGACGGATGGATAGGTGGATAGATATATGAAAACGATAAGTTATATTATATATATGTGACATTATGTGTGTGTGTGTTTTGTCATGTTATCTATACAAATGTTATACATATAATAATCTGATAAACGAATGATAGTTAAAGTCAAAGTTTAAAAAATATCAAATATAACTATACAGTAACCGATAACTACATTTAAATAACTATACGGACTTTGAATATACGAACAGGTATTTTAGACTACCTCCAGGAAGGTTTTCCTTGGCCCGTCCGGCCATGACATACGGAATCCAAGTCATTTAAACATACGGTAACTACATTTACAGTAGATATACGAACTGGATCGAACTGGTATTTAAACATCATTAAACATCCAGTATTCATACTACCTCCGGGGCCTCGCGGCCTGGCCCGCCCTCCTATTTAAATGTCGAATGTCGATATAATCGATGGGGATGGATATAAATAAAACAACCTTTAACACATTTTAACACCATCAATTAGGGAGGATGAATCGGATGAACATAGAATAAACCACCGATTTTGATATTCACCAGGACACTAAGGTTCTAGCCACAAACGTTGATCCTTGACAGTGATAATTGATGGTTCTTATAACCGATCATGATAATACTCCAGTTGTGATACTGATAACGGCCATGACCTAAAATGAAATACACTTCTGAAATCAAAACAACAATTGTGTGATAATGAATAGGTAATTAATTATTTGTTAATGAATTAATAATGAATTGATAAGTGGAAACGTGATGAAACAGATGAACACACCAAAAACTAAAGGATCAAACATGATCAAACCACTTTTGGGGGGCCTCAAAATGAGCAAATCCACAAAAAAACTACCAATGTTTCTTCGGAGGATGCTGAAGAAGGAAACATATGGGTGTTAGCTCGTTTAGCTCATTTTTATTCATTTTGCACGTCCAGAATTTCAAGGATATCAAATAATATCAAATATGGATATGATGCCCATGCAAGGTGGGCCCAGGTGCTCGGTGCCCTTTAGTGCCTAAAGTGTGGGCCCCTGAGTCTCCAATCTTCAAGTGATTGACCAATATTGACCAATTGACCAACTGGAGACCCATCGGCCAGGGAGCTGTACACCATGGTCATGAGCGCCGTACTGCGCCAGACGGTCGCATCCAAGGAGAGCAGACTCATCCAGGAGATCAATCCCTGGCTTCGATAGCCTCAGTTCCACTGGCACTGTCACTGGCCGGAAATTTGACCGTCGTCCATCCCAATGAAAAAACAAGGGCCTTAAAAAATGGGACTTTGAAAAATGAATGGAATTCAACAGATCCAAACCTGGTGTTTTTTTAAATGATGATGTTCATAATCCATCCCGTGGGTAGCTCATGGGAAGTTGCATGTCAGATGGTGGGAACATGTGGGAACCATGGCCACCAAGACACTCATCTGGTTCGTGAGGTCGATGTCCTTGAAGAATTCCGACCCGTAGACACCAAAGTAAAGGAAGAAGGCCTCAAAATGACAAGGATACCAACCACAGAGCCAAAATTAAATACATCCAAATACAAGTCAGCAATGGTCAGCAAGCGTCATGGGTTCATTGTCCCAGTGACTCACTTAGAACTTCCGATAGCGGGTAGCACCAGTTACCAGCGAAAGTCGATGAAAATTTATCCTGTGCAGCAAGCACGTTGAGTCTCGGACGCAGGAGCCAACGAGACCCAGAAAAATGCAACCCATCACCTTGGACGGCTACTTGATCGCCCTGGTGGATGATGGGTTCCATGTGCAGCAACGGCACCGTCTGGCGATATTTTGAGATATTGCAAGGTAAGAACAGTGAGACAGCACCCAAACATAAATTGGGTTTCTTCATAGCCATGCAAAAAGCCATTCAATTATAGGAAAGAACAAGAAAGTGGAAGTAAACAATGGCACAGTCCGTGATACGTGCTGAGCTAAACAGAAAATCCCAGGATCATCTAGATGCTGGTTCAGAACGCATAGACAAATCGACCATTCGACTCATCAGCTGCTCGCCAAGCAGCCAATCTAACTTGTCGTCGATCAAGCGCCTCCAAACCATCCCAAATAGCTGTCGTTCCACAGGTGCAGTCTACACCAACTCCTGTCCCAGCCCCAAATGCTCAGTTGCGGACCCGGATGAAGGTCTCGGACTCTTCATCTGCAGGTCCGGAAGATGTCGATGTCTCTTCCATCACCTGGAAACGAGAAAATAAAAACACTGGGAATGCCAGCTGCTCACGCGAACGCGAAACACGCATGGAATCGCACTTACGAGTATAACATACAAGCAGCATGCATATACAGTACACACACCTGTGTATATCATATGTGCCCTTGCGGTGTTGTATCTGTCACATCCCCAGCAACGACACGACTTTCGCCCTCGCCTGCTCCAAACTGTCCAGGTTCCATCCTGGTAGCTGTAGGAGTGCAGCTCCACTCCGCGCCTCGAGGTGGGGCGACGTTTCCCAATGGGGCAATGGGCTTCAGAGACTTTGCGAAACATCTGAAGAAGTGCCGTAAATACACCAGCTGGAAAAAAAATGAAAAAAAAACATTCATCACTGTTGCCACCAGCAGCAATGTAACGTAATGTTAACGTTTAATGTCTTGTCAACAAATGCAGAGGGTTTTCAAACCGATAGCAAATGAAAAAATGCAAGTGAAGCCTAATTTAAAATATCTGTTTTTTTTCGTGAAATTGAAGCCCAAGATTCAACAGCTGTTTCAGTGACCGCAGCCTCCCGGGCATCAACTGCCCAAAGCAGTAGGAATCTCAGTCAGCTGGGAAAATCCCCTAGTTCAATGGAGGTTGAAGATGGTTTAATGAGAAAATCATCTATACATGATTGAAAAAGAATAAAAACCCAGCCTCTAGTACTCAAAGATGGCTTGCTGAAAAATCCACCGTTGATAGTTGAATATAGTTGATTTCTATTTGATGTTCCTATTGAAACCTGCAATGCGTATCAATACATTGGGGGATTTTCAATTGCCGTGTTTGATAACCAGAGGGAAACTGATGTGTCAATAACATAAGCAACTAACCCGATGGGCTTAGATAAACATATTATCCCAAAGTGCAATGTTAAATATCCAACGGGGGTCTTATAAACTATGAATATCATATAGATGAGGAGGAATGGGGATAACATAGACTCTTAAAAGTGAATGTACGGTATGAGCGGAAGATATGGTCTGTGTATCAGTATATTTGTCAATACAGTATATATATATATGTGTGTGTGCGATATATATATATATATATATGTATATATTTGTTTGTTTATTTATTTATTTATATATATATATATGTGTGTGCGTGAAGCTGGTCCAAAAACACAAGGGGCGCTTCCCCTGCAACAATACAAATTCATGTGTGTGTGAAGTTTTACTAGCATATGGTAGTATACAACATAAACATCAAGGGGCAAAAAAAAAACATCAAAGTGTAAGTTGCAGATCCTCAACGTCAATGAATCAAGGGACAAATGTCGCAGCCACATGGGTCACCTCGGTACTGGGAATTCTCCGAATCCCAGAATAATCCCCTATTGAACAGGATCATCCTCCAACATCCCCCCATCATTCAGGACTTTTTGTGATAAACATGGAAGGTTGCCAATTCACTCAGGCTGTTCTCAAAGCGACAGCCTGCACTGCAGGCTGTGCCACCACTGCATGGACACCGGATTTACTAGGCTACACATTTCTTCACGCGCACGAGAAGGTTTGACACCAAAGTCCTCTTGTCATCTTCAAATCTCATAGAAATGTCCCTACTAAGTCTCACCTTGCTCAAAGGTAGCCACCAGACTTCTGGTAAAACAAGGATCACAGGATCACATGGATACTTCAGCGACTTCCGTGGCAAGCTGCAACCATCTGCGATAAGAAGATCCATTCATGGGTAAAGTGGGAGCCGAAAAACTGCGGGTGCGACATCAATTGGTTGATCCATTTATGGCACCAGAATTTGGCTGCAAACTTGTCCAAATGTAGTGCCACTCTTGTGGAATTAATTATGGTGGTTGGTTATTTTGAAGCACACCCATTTGGCTCATTGTATGCTTCAGGTCTTCTGGGGCGTTCCTCTCTTGTCCCCATCGTCCTGAGTCTTCAACCAATCTTGGCCCGACCTTGGAAGGCGTGAATCTTCTATCCCCAAAAGCTGCTTGAGCCGATGCTGAGCCCCCCACCACCAGCCATTGGAGCCCCAACCACTACCAGACCTCAGTACTGTGGAGAGGGTACTGGCCTCAACCCCGTGCAAACAAGGAACTCCTCATACTCAGCTCTGCGGGTATCAGTCTGAGAAGCCCAAACAAAGATTGGAGTCTGCAACTCTCAGTCTCTAAGCCTACGCACAAGTGATTTAAAAAATGAAAGTGATCCACCAAACAAGAGGTTCAAATGTATCCTGCCCATGACGTATGTGTTTCTGCTCCCTTCAGGCCCAACGAGGCCCGACGGGTCCGAAATGTTGCCCTGTTTTGGTCGACTTTGCTTCTCTTCGGGTCGCACACAGTGCTCACTTTGCAGGTTCCTGGTGTTGAACTTGCCCAGCTGTCAAGCAAATTCCTGAAAACTTTCCCAAGGTGGACCCAGCTGTCGCCCGCCTTTTGGATTCCAAGACTGACATCTTTCACGATCTCTTCAGGCAACAGTACTGAAGTCCAACCAAGTCAACAAAAGGTCCCTTGCAATGGGTATTCTCCAGGCTCAGGCGTGTTAGGCGTGTTTAGCTGAAGGATTCATATCCAAAAACATCCCAAACATTCCCAAACCCTTCTTGAAGCCAATCAGTTCCCACCTGAGCCTAGCGAAGCCTTCCCCGGTTGGGATGTTTCAGCCACGGGGCTTCAGGGATGTCACCGAGTCTGTGCAGGTTTGTGGCAGCGGGCAGCAACTGCTGCCCTGGACCCGCGTCGACACCGGGTGACGAACAGATGGGCAGCCCATCGAATTTTTCAGCTTCGGTCCCCTGTCGATGTTTCGACAGTTTCAGGGACCAAGCCGGACGCGTGCGGGATTGGTTTGCCATGGGGTGTCGGGCAGTCTGATGGCATCAATTGATGAAAATTCTGTCTGTCAGGTGAGGCACCCCATGAAACTTTACAAAGTGCAAAATTGCAGGACTATGCTGAGTCTCTGCAGCAGTTGAAGCAAGGTTTCGACAACTGCCGCTGAATCAAGTGGGTGCCCGAGTGGGGCACTTCTCAGACACCGACTGCTCTCAGCAATGAATTCCAAGGGTTTCCATGCCCCAAAATTTCTGAATTTTGTGTTCCTCTGATCTTTCACAGCTGACATTTTCAAACTAGGAGACGTGTGTAAAGGACTCTCGACCTGGTAAGCAAACATCAAGAAGAGATGAGAAACTGGAGAGCTATCATAGGATTCATGAGCTCTTTTGTATCAGCTGCTGGAAGTTCAGAGGGAACACTTCAAAATACCCATCCCCCAAGAAATTCAAGAACAGCCATGCCTTAGAGTGTCATTATGAATTGAATTGGTGTCTTTATCTTCTTTCTTTGCTCCAGGGGGCATCAGTGCCTTTTTACAAACCAGGTCTGGGGTCAGAAGCACCCAGGCAGCTTGGTGCTTCATCTCAAGTCCTGGAGACAACTACTATCAACTGGGGCTGAGTGCTTCCTTGGTCCTGGTACTAGGCAGAGCCGAATGCTTCGGTATCAGCCCATATTTCATGCTCTCAACGTCAAGCCTGCAGGCCCGCTGCACTTGGACCATAGATCGGGTGATTCTCAAAGTCTCGCAATGGACCCTCCATTTAACGTACATTAATTACGAGATTCAAATGGTTTTCCCATCAAGTATAGGGTTTTCGAATTTTCCCCTTCCCACGTTTGATTCCCAAAAGTTTTGCCATGGACGTTTCCGTCGCACTAAGTATCCTTTCACGTCGCGTGTCCGTATGCTTCTCAAAGATCGCGATGGAAAATCATGGTTATGGGAAGATCCTCTATCAATGCACGCTCATGGAGTTGCAAGCGGAGAAGCATTAATAATATTTAATCACTATCATTAAAAATCATTCAATAATAAAATATACCTATACATTTTGACTCCTCACATCATCATCGAGAAATCCGTGATTTTCCAGCAGCTTCCATTGCCAAACGGCATAAGTCTCCACCTTGAGACCGCACCTCGTGCCTCGTGCCGCAAGCGACCGTCCAGTGGCTGCGGCATGGTATCGCGCTGGTCCTTGAAAGCCTGTGTAATGGTCAGCCTGCCGATGAGACAAAAAAACTGGCGGCCAAGTGCTCAAAAAAGAGTTGCTGCCTACATCTATCCATTCAATCCATCTACATTATCTACATTTCTTTCTTAATCTAATCTGATGTGATCATATCAAAAATAATCTTATCCTATCCATCTAAATCTATCCATCTATATCGTGAGTGCTTGGGTACGTGAATGTATGTGCGTGTATGTGCCCTTTATAGCCGATAGGAGTGTATGGGGAGACGGGTGTGTTACCACGTTATAAACGTCAATTTCTCAACCATGTTTTGATACATCCCCGTCATCGCCATTCTCCATAATCAAACGGTGGATGTGCCTGATTGAGGCCAATAGCAGCCTGGAAGGCCAATCAATGACCAGCAAATCTAGGCCTCAGATGGACAATGGCTCAAAATGAACAAAATTCGGAGACCTGCAACTCCTTCGACCCACAGAAATATTCTATCATGTCTGACGACTTGAATCACTTGTAGTATCACCATATTTTTGGAACGGCTCCAGTCACCGACAAATCAGCCCTCAGGTGGCGTTCAGGAGTCACAACTACACCAGCATAGACCCCAGAGACTGCAGCAATGACATTTTTGGCATCAACCTTCGAGTTCGCATTTTTTGTCCCTCGCGATCATGCGGGGAGACAAGGCTGGGAGACAAGGCAGCAGCAGCACCACCACCACCACCAGCAGCACGAAGGCAGGAATCATTACAAGGCTGGGAGATAAGGCAGCAGGGGCAGCGAAGGCAGCGATCATGGATCCCCTACATTGAGAAGTAAGAACCTCTAGATAGATAGATAGATAGATAGATAGATAGATAGATAGATAGATAGATAGATAGATAGATAGATAGATAGATAGATAGATAGATAGATAGATAGATAGTCTATAGTTGATTGGGGAAATCTAACTCCTCTCAGTTCATCATGACCTTCAGGAGCCCGCTAAGTTTTCTGTCCTGTTTTCCCCTCGAACATGCCATCAAACATGGAAAAATGCTGATGCAAGGTGCAATTTCCAGACTGCAATCCGATGTGTTGCAGGCCCAACTTGACCAGCCAGTTGCCATAGAGATTCACACCTGAGGGCTGCCGTATCTCTCAGCTGATGTACTGAGAACATGTCAACTGTGTATGTTGTGCTCTCCTGACGCAAGTCTCAATCTTGCATCATCCAAAGCATGAGATTAAGCCATGTGGTTTTCCCATTGGAAACAGCGACTTTGAGGATGCCATCCTCAATGAAAGAGTGTTTGCCCAAAATGGATTCTTGCGCCCATTGCGCCCATCTGGCAAGGATCGAAGGCCATAGATTTGTGACCCTGACTGGCTTAGCATCGCCTCATCCTTAGATTCAGCTGCACAATCTCGACATAATCTCAACCTGCTCAAGGAACTCTGCAACCATGTCTCTTCGTCAGATTACGCATGGCTGTGATTCCTGAATTACTTCTGTATCACTTCCTGGATTGCAGGTCAGAGTCCATCGTTGCCCCATCGCCAAAGTATGGACCAACAAACTCCGCATCTTTGGGCGGACTGCTGGGAAACGGCAACCGCACCTCCCACGTCCAGGTGCATAAGTCACATAAGGATACATAACTGGTTGGTGGTTTTAACCATCTTGAAAAAAATTAGTCAATGGGGAAAATTATCCCATATATTATGGAGAATAAAAACCATGTTCCAAACCACCAACCAGATAAGGATACATAAGGCACCAAAGTTCAAAGGGGCCCACGACTTTGATGGCACATGAGTGCACCCAACAAATGGATCAGCGCCTTGACGGGGCGAAGAATCAACTTGACCCTCTGCTTCAGGGCAGCGCCTTCGGCCGGGTTTCATGCCAGTGTTTCAATATTTCTGTGTACGAATCCGTACAGTAGATAGTACCTTCTGACATCCTTCTGGCCGTACTCGTATGTACTTGTACTTTCTCTTTCCTGACGTGCCCATGTCCAATCAATATCTATATCCATCGAATCCATTTCCTACTTCTGAAGATCCATTTCCTGGTTTTTATCTCTCTATTTTTCCACCTATTTCACTAAATGACTGCTTACATCCCTCGCTTGTCAAGAACGGAGAATCACCGTTGCGGGCGGCATGTCCAAACTCCTGTTTCAAGTGAGTAGTGTGTTTTATAACCTTCGCCGAGCCTACGCCATTGCGTGATGTAGCCTACGCGGGGTATGGTTTTAAAGGGGTGCCTACGCGAGCCTGCGCAGTGTAGGTTTTGCCTACACGGCCACGGTTTTTTTGTTTTCAATTGTGGCATGAGGCTTTGGAACCACAAGCCACAAATATCACAACTAACCAAGGCAAAAAATGAATGAGTTCTAACTGTTGCTAACGGGTGTCTACACAAAGCCTATGCGGTCTAGGCTAAAACGAGCCTACGCCAACGCCTACGCAACCCAAAAACAGCAGGGACCGATTATAATAGCATAATAGCATAGCTCCGGGCAGATTGCACTAATTATATCTATAATTATCTTATATTTTTAGGTGAATTGTAACTTATTGTAACCTACTTTTGGGGTTGTTTTAGCTCACGCCCAAGGTACGGCCCCGTGGAATATGTTTGTTTTTAGCAAAAACGGGTTGGGGTGGGGCGGGGTGGGATGTTAACGTTCATGTTACGCTGATGATGTTACGCTGCTCGTGGGGGTTGGGTTGGGGTGGGGGGGGGTTGACGCTCTTCATGTTGTTCATTACGCTGATGATGTTACGCTGCTCGTGGGGGTTGGGGTTGGGGTGGGGTGGGATGTTAACGTTCATGTTACGATGATGATGTTACGCTGCTTGTGGGGGTTGGGGGGTGGGGTGGGATGTTAACGTTCATGTTACGCTGATGATGTTACGCTGCTCGTGGGGGTTGGGTGGGGTGGGGTGGGATGTTAACGTTCATGTTACGCTGATGATGTTACGCTGCTCGTGGGGGTTGTGGTGGGGTGGGGTGGGATGTTAACGTTCATGTTACGCTGATGATGTTACGCTGCTCGTGGGGTTTGGGGTGGGGCGGGGTGGGATGTTAACGTTCATGTTAAGCTGATGATGTTACGCTGCTCGTGGGGGTAGGTGTGGGGTGTGGGATGTTTACGTTCATGTTACGCTGATGATGGTTACGTGACTCGTGGGTTTTGGGGTGGGGTGGGATGTTCACGTTCATGTTACGCTGATGATGTTGCGCTGCTCGTGGGGGTTGGGGCGGGGTGGGATGTTCACGTTCATGTTACGCTGATGATGTTACGCTGCTCGTGGAGGTTGGGGTTGGGGTGGGGTGGAATGTCAACGTTCATGTTACGCTGATGATGTTACACACATAGATGTCCTGTTCCCGTGGGTTGGTTGATTAAATTTAAAATTTGTTTTTTTTCCTTGGTCCCTAGGTAAATGATGGTAGATGGTACGCCCAAGGAGCTGTGTAACAAGCATAAGCTCACTCGAGATGTGAATGGATCCATCCGAGACTACGTGTTTGCGTTGGTTTGTCGCACATACTGGGGCAACGCAAACACGTTGAAGAAGCTGGCTGACTTGGCCTCCACGTGCTGAGACAAAAAAGTCCGTTTTTTTTCAAACACGTGTGTTGCACATGGATGCTAAACATGGGTAGAACTGCGAATTCATAGCCTCAAAGTCATGCAAATACCTTCAAAAATGGATGATGGTTTTTCAAAGAGAATGCAAAAACCCTGTACGGGCTGTCGGTAGTCGATTATATGCATGGTCCATGTTGGGAACTCGCAAAAACAGCGGGACCGTAACTATGACGTGACCTTGTTTTACCAGTAGTGCCGCACAAGGCGGTGGCGGAAGTTCTATAGGAGAGGTTGGTTGTTGTGAATCACGGATGGCAGAGCGAAGCCACTGATGGACCGACCACCAGGTTGTTGAGGTCTCCTCTCTTTCTCTCTCTTTCTTTCTCTTTCTCTGACTGTCTACCTACCTACCTACCTACCTATCTAACTATCTATCTATCTAACTATCTATCTATCTATCTATCTAACTATCTATCTATCGATCGATCGATCTATCTATCTATGTATCTATCTATCTCATTATCTCGTCTGTCTATCTAACTATGTATCTATCTATCTACCCGTCTACCTATCTATCTATCTATCTACCTACCTACCTACCTAGCTATCTATCTATCTATCTATCGATCTATCTATCTATCTATCTATCTACAATGAGGTGCCTTGACATATAAATCATTTTATATATTGTATATTTAATGTTATAACATGGGCTAAGTATATTTATACATGGGGCTATCTTGTATAAGTCATGTTGAATTTATATCAATAGATAGGGAAATATAACATGAGATAGCACATACGTCGAAAAAAGATACAAAAAAGTTAGCAAAGATAGCGGTTTTTGGTTGTCTAGAACGATGTTTTTAATGGTAGCCATTTTTTTTGCCCAAGTGAAGCGCTAAATCCTTGAAAGCATGGCAGAACCAGGAGCCGCTGTCGCGCAGAGAGCGACATTGCAGGATTTCAAATCTTGCAGTTCTTTTTTATCGCAAGAAGTTTGGAACGCTTTGACAGCTGGAACAGAGTCTCGTGGCCTATAGGCCTTTTTTTCCCTAGTGTGGAGGGATGAGACAAGCTGCATCTGGAAACGCGTGAGTATATCCAATAGAATAGACCAGAAAACAAAGGAACGCGCATGTGTCGCCTCTTCATTAGCCAATAAAAGCATAGATACGCGCGTGTGTTTCCCGAATGTATGTAGATAATACATAAATACGTATGTGTTTCCCGACATATAAACCAAACAGAGATTGCAAACGCGAATGTATTAAAAATGTGTTTCCACCTACAATCACATGACGGTGAAATATGTAAATGTCTGGGATGTGTTTCCACAAAAAGAAGAGAACGCACTTGTGTATCCTCATGAAAAGATTAAAAATTAGAAGGGAACGCGATGGTGTAACCACGTCTCAGACCAATTGCATTTGTAAACGCGTATGTGTTAAAAATGTGTTTTTTTGTGTTTCCTAAAAACTGTGAAGGACTCTTTTAAAACCTTCCAAAACAAAAAATCAAAAACATGTTGTTGAATACACGTGCATGACAAACATGCATGTGCCTGCACGGACCACTGCCAAAGGCACCGTGGTCATGTTTTTACCCTAATTTGTTCGCATTTCGCGATCACAAACCAAAGAACAGACACGCAATGGGAAAACAACACAACTGGCCAGGCACACACGCAGGATTGAAAAACATAGTACAGATTAGACAAAAAAAGATACAAAAGATTTAACTTAACCTATAAAGCCTATAACATAACTTAACATAACTTCAAGTTAACTTCCTTAAGCCCTTTTATAAAGCCCATAAGTCCAACTTAACTCAGGGCACCATCCTGTATCTATCTATCTATCTATCTAAGCCCTTTTATAAAGCCCATAAGTCCAACTTAACTATCTATCTATCTATCTATCTATCTATCTATCTATCTATCTATCTATCTATCTATCTATCTATCTCTCTCTCTGTCTGTCTGTCTGTCTGTCTGTCTATCTACCTGTCTATCTGCAAGCTTGAAAACGAAGCTATTCTGCGAGACGTCCTGAGGTTTTGAACTTGACAACATCAAAAACGCAGCAATTCTGCGAGACCCCCTCAATTTTTGAACTTGACAACGTCAAAAACGAAGCAAGTCTGCGAGACTTCGTCATTTTTCAAAGTTGACGACATCAAAAAACGAAGCAATTCTGCGAACTTCCTCAATATTTCAACTTGACAACGTCAAAAACAAAGCAATTCTGCGAGACTTCCTCATTTTTCGAAGTTGACAACATCAAAAACGAAAGAATTCTGCGAGACTTCCTTCAAAAATGGAAAGTTGCGTGCAGAGCTGACGGCCTCGTACCAATGCGTTTTGCGATTTTCCAGTCCATCTGTCTAAACTACTGCGCTTGCCACGAAAAAGTGATGCCAGGTCATACGAAGTGCTGCACCTGTCACGCAAAATCATCTCAGCAAGCCCTGAAGATCTGATGCTCCAAAATGCAACCCCTCTCAGGAAATCACCGCTCGGACCTCCTAACAGCTCTGATGAAGATGTCTCTTGTACTGCGCCTGCCACGGAAAATGCATCTTTGCAGATCCTCTTCAAATTGTCAAATGTCCCACGCCTGCCATCGTTTCTGGAAATGCATCCCTTGCGCCTGCCACGCGGAACGAGATCTGAACGCCCAAAAGTGGTCCGAACCCCTGGTGCTTTTAACATGTTGACTGTGAAATGTGCTTCGCGCCACAACCGCGTGCACTTTTTCGACATCCCAACTTCCAAAAGTGGTCCGAACGTGAAGTGATTTTAGCTTTTTCACTTGCAAATGTGCTTCGTGCCACAACGGCGTGCACATTTTCGACATCGCAACTTCCAAAAGTGGTCCGAGAATGGTGTGTTTTGTACATTTTGACTTCGACATGTGCTTCGCGCCACAACGGCGTGCAATTTTTCAGCACCCGCCGCTTTAGCGTGCCTACTTTTCGACCCTCCGGAGCCACGAATCATTAAAAAAAACACAGTGTTTCGCGACTTTCCTACCTTTTCGCGCATCTGCATCTTCTTTCTTCTGACTCTTTCTCTTCTCTGATCTTCTCTCTTCTACTCTTCTCTTCTCTCTGACTCTTCCCATCTCTGCTTTTCATCTGTCCATATTGTCGGAAGTTTGACTTCTAAACTTCCTTCGATTATATTTGGTTCTGCCATGTTATGCCCAATTCTCTCCCCCTCATTGTCTCGCCTGACTCCAATGAGTCCCGCAGCGCATCTCCCGTGGCTTCACATAAGTAGACCAACCATCGTGGGCCCATGCCCAGCCAAACTGCCACATAGTCAGTCCTGGCACTCGGTCTCTATCCAAAGATGGCCACCCTTTCGGCTTTGGTATATTATATCAAAACGGGTATCAAAACTCCACCCAATGAAACATCATGGAACATCATGGAACCACAAAAAAAAATGCAAAAACAATGTGCTGGGGGGAAGTCATCTTTATCGTCATTCCCTGGCGCTTGTCCCAAGGGCTCCTCTTCCAAGTCCTCGGCTCTAACATCTCTTCGTAAAGCCTGAGAGTGATGTGCGAAGGCCACTTTAAATCTCGTAGGGACGCTATCATCCAATGGCGCGGGGGGGCCATGGTCATACCAAGAGGATACAATAAATATAGAAAGTTATGATAAATGGCCTTTGGGATACTTTTGGACACACCTAAATCAGCTTTGGATCAAGGCCATGCGTACCCCAACCGTCAGCCCAGAAGACACGGAAAAGTAGAAGACCCGGGTGAATAGAGATGCTTTATGTTGCTTTTCTATCTCTCGGATCCCAACAGCTGCTTGTAGGGGTAGTGGCAGTGATGAAGCATGTTCGAACAGTCGAATTGGGGGGAATGGGCTAGGTATCGAGGTAAAATATAATATCATATAATAGTAACATACCATAACATACCCATGTCCCGCCCTTATGGTAGTCATACCCGCCCTGATGGTTGTTCTTTCACGGCACCAAGTATTGTCTGCACGACAAACAGCCAAAATAGCCAAGTCGCTGGAGCGTCGCCAAAGGATCTGAGAGAACTTTTGGGTCCTCCTCATGAATCACACGGGCTGCAACCAAGTTGCTGGCCGTGGTCAGCCTTAGTCGCAACCATGCAATTCAATGATATCCAATGCAAGCAGGAGCTCCATCCCACCTAAGGACCTTGGGCACCTGGGATCAGATTAGCCGCGTAATGCCATATAAATATTGACCGTTATTAACCTTTCATTAAAATCCCCCGCATTTACATGCATTTACCACATATTTTCTCAGGAGTCAACTGGGATTGTGGCCCCAAAGGTAGCTACACTCTGCCCAGCCGGGCCCAGCCACCCGGCATCGGTGGCCGCTTTGGCATCCACATCGCACCACCAGTCGTGAGTCACCAGTGCTGCGCCGCCGCTCTCACCCGACGTTACAGTCACCTCGCCCGATCCCGGCTGAGCAGCTTCAAGCCGCTCAGCTCTTCATGGAGGTTATGAACCCAAAAAAAAAACTCATGAACTTCCAAAAATCGAGGGGTGGAGGAAATGCCAAGTCCATCTTCATCTCTAAAACCGCATTGTCTGAACATGACGCCTATAACTTGAAGCATCGTATCCCAACAGCCTCGGAAGGCTGCAGCTCCAACGAGGGGCGGTGACTTGAGGGCGACCTTGGTGGTGGAACCATGTGGAACCCAGAACATAGACATTGGATGACATTGGTAGGGCTACAATACTTGTGCATTTGGTCAATTTTGGTAATGGCAAAACAGAAGCAGCGCGTTGATGCGCGCCCACCCGTTGAAGACATGGGGTGACCTCCATCTGGAACCGAACTCGTTCATCGGCAGTCCATGTGCAGGTGGACATAAGTGGGCAAACCCCTTGCTGTACAAATGCGGCAAAGTCGTGTAGTATCTTGTATTATATTAATATAATTATCTAGTGCACTTGCAAACTAGAGAACGGTACTTGAGACATGTCGTGATGAATGTTTTTGGGCATCAAAATCCCCATCCAATTCCATCCAATTCCATCCAATTCCATCCAGTCATAGAGATGCTTGCCGGAGCACTGAGAACCTGCCGACATCACTGCATTCCCGTCAGCCTCCGACACTTCGTTCGGCCTTGGGGCTGGAAGTCTTGGCCATGGCCAAATTGGTTTAAACATTGCAAAAACATCGTGAAAACCCTCCAATGATTCTTAGAGATTAGGGACATGCAGAAGAAATAATGGCATTTTGCCCCAACTTTGGGTCAGGTTGTTTGATCTTTCTTCTCTATTGTACCAAACTGGCTGAAAGTCCAAAATCCGCAAGCCACCGGTCATCCGAACGCACCTCAAAAACTGGTAGTTTCAAGCCCCCGAGAAATATGCTCGTCGTTTGCAGAAGCATCATCCCAAATGTCACTCAAAATAGCCAAATACTTGAATCATCAACTATCATTCAAATCCATCGCCCAGAGACGTGCTGGCAGCTGTACTGACATCATCTAAGGACTCCTGGTGGCACGTTCAACCCCGAATGGTGAATATGGGGCTAACATCACTAGGTGGGGTGGGCAAAAAGTGATAAACTAATGTAAGATGAAGATAGTGTAAGAAGTCTACATTTATAATATATATATACATATAGATCATATATATATGATCATATAGTATCATATAGTCCCGCGCCCCCCACCCATGAAAATAAGTAATTGTGAATATCTACTGGAATCTATTGTAATGTATATGTTGTGGTCTTTATATGTCTTTATCATGTGCAAAGACCATGGCTTCCGCCGCTCCTCCTGATCCGACGTGCTGGCATCATCCTGCCGATATGCCTTGCGGGCCGAGGCATATGCTGACAAGACATGTTGGGTGAGGGAAGCCTCCAACAGCCTTCCGAACCCGAAAATGTCAGCCCACTGGAAAGATATAGAGAATTATTTTAGCCACTGGAGAGATCATGAGAGATCATCTTACCACATCCATCTTTAGGCCAGCCTGGGCTCGTTAGGGTTTTTGAGCTGTTGGGTTCATGAAGTTTCTTTCATGAAACGAAGTTCCACAGCTTCCAGTCCGGCACAGTTTGTGCCTTTCCAAAAGCGAAGCAGCAGCGAAGGGCTTGCAGCTTGGCTGGACACCTACTACCTGAGGGAAAAAGGATAACCGGGTCTGGGTCAAAACAAGGCACTGCGCTCCGTGCCCTTTATCTTGGCCCGTACGGATCACTCAAGAGATCGTCAATGCCTTTAGAGCAACGGCTTTGTGTTTCATCATGCGAAATGAGGGGAGGAAACAAAATATTAACAGGCGTTCAAATCCCAACTGACACCCACAAAGTCTCAAGTGCAGTACATTCTACATCGCACGAAAGACAGAGGAGCCATTTACCAGCTGCTTGGGGGGTAAGTCATAGCTGTTCAGCTCTCAACCCCAACCATTTGCCCATCGAGAGCGCCTGTAGCCATCATCTTAGATGGGTGCGGGCGGAGCGATCCGCCACACGGGGAACTGTCGGGGGCCAGATGTCACTGGTTTTCACAAAAGCAGCGGAAAATCGTCAGGGCAACGGCGACCCGGGTGCTTCGGTAGATTGTAGTGACTTCCTTGCTGGCCACATCAGGTCAAATGTTCAATACCAAAATGCTGGAAAAAATGTGACGTCAGGACATATCAGGATATGTCAGGACACCTTTCCTCAACTGGACAGAATGCGGCTATCTTGACCTCCTGTGAAGTGATGACTTCCTGATGCCTCTGTTGCTGGCCGTGCCCTGGACATTCCCATTGAGCCGCAAACAAAATGCTGCGTTGCACAAACAGCACTGATGTCACCAACCTTTCACCAGCCTTTTTGAGGTTCCCCTGCATCACCATATCATATTGATCTTTATGCGTGATCTGCATGATCTGCCACAGCGATAGATCTACCTGCACACATGTGTAGTAGATATCAGTAGATATCAGCAGCTATCAGCAAATATCAGTATGTAATTTCAGTAGGTAGTATCAGTAGATAGCATATGAATGTATATGATAGTATCTTAGTAAGTCTTAGTATCAGTGGGAAGTATCAGTGGGTAGTGTCTTAAAATGCCAACATGAAATTGGCCAAGATCTGATGAGGTTCCCAACCAGCTTGACCTCGACACGGCCAGGGGTGCGGCCAGGTGCTGGAAGGGGTTCGGTGCCTATTTAGACGTCAACGCTTATAACACCATGATGGATAAGGATTGGTAGGTAGGGTTCACAAACTAGTTGAGGAAGTTCAATTCGTCTTAATACCTACAGTCTGTACATATAAATATGAATATTGAGATATATATATATATGTGTGTGTGTGTGTAAATCTATTATGTTGTGTATCTATCTGTGTATGTATGTTGTATGTCCTGATCCAAGAGTAATTGCAGTCATGGTCTGCAACGGTGCATTTCCACTGTGTAGATCCAGAGTTTGTCACAAGTCGGGGCCTAATCATCCACCCATCACCCATAGCTACAAAGCATCTGTGCATCCACGCCAGCTCCAGTTGGACCAAGCCTGAAAGGCGTTCCAGCCAGTGAATTTGGTGAGATGTGCCCGGAGCCCAAAGTTCGTTGTGTTGTCATGTGCATCCGATGTACGGCTCCAAATGAGCAACACTGGTTTTATTGTGCTTCAGGGTGCCAACTTGAACCGCCAAGCGGAGAATGGACTTCTGTCCCCCCACTGGAAGATCAAGCAAATCAAGCTGCGAAATGGTCAGTTCAACACTGCAATGTACACATGGATATCCACAACTGATGGGCTATATGGGTTCGCAACTACAGCATGAAGAATTGATCAGGCAACTTTCCCCCCTGCCGACTTGGCACCTGTCCATTTCTGTCCATGGGTTCAGCGCCAAAAACCAAGTTGCTTTCCTTGTATGTTTTCGCGACGTATCTCAGCATTGCCTGTTCCAATTAGCCTAAAATTACAGGCTTAAAATAGATTGTGCAAGGATTGCTGCAGTTTCCAGATTTAGAGATTGAAGGCTGACAATGTGGTTCAATGTAGTGGCGTCTGCCTTCATCCAACATCAACTCAATGAAAATGACACACTTGATAGGGAATGGAATATCCTGCCTACACATGTCTGTTGTTTCTTCGGACTCTTCTTCACCTAGCTCCCTTCCATCTAAGGGTTTGGCCATGATGGCGTCCAGTGGTGCCTTCTATAATTTTGCCCATTGGTCCTGCTGATTTCCTTCCCCGCCATATCCAAAAAGCTGCGAAAATGGGATCCAAATCTGGAACTGGGAAAGATGATGGAAATCTTCTTCAAGCTCCTTGGCGCCGCCCTAAAATGCACGCCATGTTCATCCGTTTTTCACACCGCCATCCTGTTTCAACCCTCGGAAGGGAAGAATATTTGGAACCGCCTCCTGTCTTCTGTAGTCTTTCAAGCTCTTTTTGGTCTGTGGCTGATCCTCTTGCTCTGCAGCAAGTTGCTGATGGCATCCCTAGGTCCCTCTCTCCATGATTGGAGTTGCAGCTTCGTTCTTCTTTTCCTGCAGAACCCGCACTTCTGAAACCTGCTGTCAACCAGCATTCCCATACATAGTGCACCTTCTGAATCTCTGAGGCATCTTGTCCCTGTTACTCTTGCTGATCCTGATCAGCACTATGAGAATGCACTACGCAACCCGTTGGACATAAGGGCAGCAGTACAAAATATATAAGATTATATGAGTCATATTTCAGCGAAGCTCGGTAGTTTGCCAATTGCGGGCAAGCCTGAGGCCGTCTCAAACACGTGCACCATTCGCTCATCGCAAAAAGCTGTGGATAGCGATGATCGTGTTCTCGGGTCTCCCCTAACAATGCCCACTGCATCCCACCGCACACCAAGTTTAATGGCTTGTCCAAACCTCTAGCTGTCTGGCGACGTCTTGCCTTTGGCTTGAAAGCAATGTCTTTCTTGCACGCACCCACATTAGAATGCTGAGATGAGCACCTGGTTGAGAGGCCCCACTGGCACCAGAGACTCTTCAGCATCTAGCCAAATCTGGCCCAATAGAACTCGGCTGCACATCTTTACCAGGCCAATACTGCCCCTGCACAGGCATAGCAGGGCGTGATCAGTGGGGGCAAGGTCTCCCATTTTGGGTTGGAAATGCCATCGCTATCCAGCTGGAGCCGCTCAGCCACATCCATGGCTCCCTGGCCATCATGACCACCAAAGATGTAGATATGCACTTTGCATCCCACCATCTGGGAAGGTTGCCAACACAAGCTGACAGCCCCCAGTCTGGCTGACGGCATTTCTGTCAATAGCTCCCAGGTGTATTCTGCCACATCAAAGCGTTCGATAATCGCCAACGCACGTCCTCCACCAGCATGACCCCCAGCAACGTAGACTGAGGACCCAGCAGCAGCCGCGAAACAACCGAGGCGAGCAGTTGGCATATGAGGCAGCCGCGACCAGCGACACTTGGCTGGACTTCCATGGCTAGGCCTCAACATGTCGGCGGAGGAGAGGAAATGGCCACTGCTGCGGCCACCCATTACGTAAATTCGACCTCCGAGGGACGTGGAACAACAAGCATCGCGACTGCAAGGCATGTCTTGCAAGGTTTCCCAGTGAAGATGTTCAACATCCAGCCGCTCAGCAGAAGACAAGGGTACATGATGTTGACAGCCACCCAGTACATAAACATACGAGCCGCAAGCAGCCACCGCACAAGCTTCGCGACAGGTGGGCATGTCTGGCAGGCTTTCCCAGCGGCCTGCGTCCACATCAAAGCGCTCCGCGGTGCACAGCACGTGTCCTTCTTGTTGCCCCCCGATGACATAGAGCTGCCCCCGCAAAGCGGCACCCGCACACCAGCGCCGTTCCGTGGGCATCGGAGGGAGAAGTTTCCAGGAACCTGTGCCCTGGTTGTAGTGCTGAGAGCTGGCCAGCCTGGGCTCTTATGACTCACTGACAATTTGACCATCTCCAGAAAGAGAAATCGATATTGTTTCGAAATTCGAGTTGGTATCCCTATGTATCCCTTCTTTTGCACTTCTCCACCGTTAGGCAGCTCCTACAATCTATCCATGGGCTACAGCTCCCAGGCAAAAGCCCCTATCACCTGATTCACACCTGGGTAAGGGCCATTCTCTTGCAAGAAGTGGCCAGCCCATGCCAGCCCGAGTCCATCTGCATTTGTTTCATGGTCTTTCATAATTCGTCCAGATCTATAGACACAAATTTCTACACCTGCTGGATCCTGCTGGCCTCATAATATCCCATTCTACCCTCTTGTCGGTGCCATCCCCGCGGTGGAACTTCTGTGATCCTTGGATGGTTTCAATCCAAAACACCGAAAAAATCACCCCAAAAATCTACAGATTCCATCAGTGTTCCATCAAATTCCCATCATTTTCCTTCAGATTCCATACATTTCCATCAGTTCCCTAGGCATTTCAAGCCATTTTTCCCCCTTCAGCACCCAAGCAGCTCCGTGGTTGCCAGGCATCCACCCAGCACGTGGAAGTCCGGCCGCGCGTCGCGGTGAAGCGAAGGGACCAGGCGACGCACTTCTTGGAGCGGCAGAAATGTGAAGTTCAGAATGGGATAGAAACATATAGAAACTATATATGTTTAAAACAGTTTAAAACAGTTTAAAACTATGGTTAGGTAACTTAGGTCTATCCCATTTTTTGTTGGTCCCATGAAATCTTAACCAACGATTTTCTCCAAACTCATGGGACATTTTTTACGGATTTCATGGGATAGAACTAAATTCATGGGAGTAGTATAGGATTTCACCAAAAAAAATGGGATATGAATGGGATATAACTACTATTGACATTTTACTTGAATGGAAAAATCCGCGCGAACCAATATTGGAGAATCTTCCAGCTAACCGCTGGCCATGTTTGATTATCAAATGGTAAATGGCAATAAATGGAATATTGGTATAGTGGCCAACCAGGCTCCCGCAAAAAAATCGAGGGTCGAAGCGGTGAAGCCTCCAAACCAAATTGAGGAATATCCACGGGATCTGTATAAAGCGCACATATATGAAGCATTATGAAGCAAGGGTCCTGATATTTCCGCATGTGGTTTGTGGTCTGTATAGCTTAACCACCCCAAAGCTTTATGCTTACAGAGAAATCATGAGGAACCCTGTGATGAAGATTCGTGAGTTTGGGTGGCCGGGCCCCACCTTCAACCCCAAGCGAACGTTTTAATGACGTGTGAATGTCTATTTAGCGAAAGTACAATACATATACCTGGCATTCAGAGCCAAAATCCAACGTCCCAGTGCTGGAAGAAGCCGGGAAAGCCTCTTCTAGACATTTCTGGTTTAAGTGCCTCCAGACGAGACAAAAAAAACATACTGGGGAGTCATGTGAAAGCTGTACCAACAACAAAATGGAAGCTTTCCCAATGATAGATCTGATAGAATCTATCAGATTCTTGAATTTCCAGCCAGGTGCGGCTTCCACTGCTCCGCGCCAGGGCCGCAAAGGCCCTGCTGGTTTTGAGGCCCCAGAAGAGGCACAGCTGCCGCGACAGCTCCGGCAGAGACAGCAGTTGATCAAAGGCCAAGGCCTGCCGAACCATTCACCCACCATAACCCACCAGCTTTTTGGGGTCAATATCTCTATAACAAAAAGATACCAAAAGTGGCCATGGTTTGGGGGACAAACCATGACTTTTTGTTAACTTAAAGCCGATATTTTTTGGATTGGTCTGGGATATGTCCATCTATTTCCTACTGGTTTCCTATAGATTTTCCAAGTTGCCTGCAGGCGCGCTCGTCGTGCGGCCTCCTGTGCCAGGCTTTCGCTCAAGTTGAGGCGGTCCAAACGATGACACCTCGGGTGGTAGGGAAGCCATGCCCCTCTTGGGTTAAAATAAGGAGGTCAAACCGACTAAAACCATCTAAAACCTACCAAAACAGTCTAAAGCAGGAGGAAAATTTGGTTACATGTTTGGTTCATATTCAACCCTTGGTGACTGTTGTTGATTTTGGATGCATTTGGTTTTGGAATGTCTTGGGGTGGTTCTGTGGTTCTGGATGGCTTCATGTAGTTTTCTCGGGGGCTTCATCTTGCGGCAGGAACAAACATGGCATGCCAAGGAATTCATGCACCTGAAGCGGCCTGAAACAGCATTGATTCACCGCATCAAATTGGTTAATTGATGTTTATTCAATTGGCCCTTGCACCTTCCAACTCGATATCTCTCTTCCACTGTGCCCTCAACAACTCAAACGCCTGCGGAACTGGGCCATGCTGGGTCCAGTTCCCAGCACCGATCAAGGGGCAATTCATCTTGTCTTTGCGCAATGGCCAGCGGCAGGCTTAAGGTTTCTGTTGCACAAGCCGCGCCCATGGCTGACTGAGGTGGACCTCCAAGAAGTGCAATGGTGGTGCGAATTCTTTCATCATCTTCATGGGATATCATGTCGCCATGTGGCTGGGCTACCACGGCTACCACTACTCTTTGACCATGCCCTCAGTGTATCTTCAATGATTCAAGTATGCCGTGTACAGTACAGCTGGATTTGCGCCTCTCCTGTCATTATACTTGCTCATTCTCCATGGTACGTTCCAAAAAATCATTTAAAAAATCCTTCAAAATATTATATATATATATACATGTGTGTGTATGTATATATTTAACAATCTGGATTTGGTATTCCCACACTTGTGGTTAAAAATGGCTCCCCGCTACCGTCAAATGCTGGCGGATGACCGTTCTCGCAGGATTGGCTGACAATTCTTTAAGTTTCGCTCTTACATTTAGCGGATCTCATCTTTCATGTTCAAGTCATTAACTCGACTCTATTCACTTCCAAAAAAATATGGCCAGTTTGTCAGCTTCACCATGGCCATTTGATTTGAAGAACCTGGTGTGCCAAAAGTCAACAGAATTCAACGATTGGGTCGGGCACCCTCCCATTGGCTAGGTTCCTGGCATCTGCTGAAAGAAAGATAAGGGAAAACCATGGAAAACCCATTTTGGTCCTTACGAGGAGTTCGGAGGAGAAAAATACCATCATGACAGCAGGAAAAAAGCCTCATCTGTCCCCCTTCAGAGGCAACTTTCATGGCATCAATCACTACATATTACATCATATTATATACATATACACGTAATTATACATATACCGTAAATCATATCATCATTGATATCATATGATATCATAACGTTGCTGCATGAAGTGCTTCACCAACCGCCGCTCTTTTCGGTTCAATCCCCAGCACCCGCAGCCGCATAGGCCCGGCCGGTAGCGCTGAGACGTCCAGTGGCGTCAAACAAACAGCTGCTGCTAGACTTGGAGTCGTGCCAGGCATAGCGCTCGATCTGGGGATGGCCTTCCATCCAAGCCACAACCTGAGACTGGTATCCTCTGGTAAACGTTTACAAAAACTATGGAAAATCACCATCTTTAATAGGTAATATAGGTGAATCATGGTGAATCAACGAACTCAATGGGACATTTTCAATAGCGAACTGTTAACTTACCAAAGGGTAGCTCCCAAAACGGCACGGCACGGCGAACGCAAAGAAGTCATTTTCGTCACATCATGTCATATCCCTGCACATATTGGGGATATTTAGCAGTCAATCCATGTCAATCCAAAGACTTGAATCCAAAGACTTGAAGGCCATGTGAGTCATACTTTCTTTAATAATGGATCGTCTTTGATGGATTTTGATGCTAGGCAGTTTGAGCTCGCTATGCCTTATCAAATTGCTCAATCCTTATCCAGGGTTCAGGGTACTTATGTCATCTTATGTCCCTCAATCTCAAAAACCGCGCCTGGTAGATGAAAGCGTCCACCTCCTCTTGACTCCATCTGTTCGGTTTTTCTTCGCTCTGCTTGATGGTCTGCGGGGCAAACTCTGTGATCCACAGGGGTTTCTGGTAGGTGTCAATGACCTCCTGGGAACCGGAGATGAACCGGAGATGAACCGGAGATAACCCCTGGAGTTCGTGGGTAGCTGTTCGTGGGCAAAGCTGAGATTCTGAGATGTAGATTCAAGATGATTCAAGGGCAAAAGCGGAGCTTCACCATCTTCACCCAAAGTTGTTATCTTCAGAATTCTTCGCCAACCAGAAAATGCCTTGGTGTCGCAAATACGCATCCCCGAAAACGCCCCCATCATCCCAAATCCTGAATATCGCTGATGAACTTCTCCGGTCTTGCCCCCTTGTACCAATGCACTGCAATGAAATCCATCTGGGGTGAAGCTGCCATGAACTCTGGGAACCAGGAGCCAGTGACCGGGTTTCCCGCCATGGCCGGGGATCCCAAGCGGCCTCCACTTGGAACCTTTGCCACGACTTGGGGCCAGAGGGCCAAAGCTTCGCTGACGCTCAGGTTGGCTTGGTTTGCATGATCAGGTTCATTAAAACCTGTCGTGATGTTGCGGGAATGGGAAGGTCTCCACCAAAATTTCCCTATCCAAACCGTCCAAACCTCAAGCCTAGCGGCCTAGCTTTTTCTGGTCAGGATCCCTGGTGGCCATTGGTGGCCCTGGTGAGACCATCCCTGGTGAATCCTTTACCTCACTTTAGAACTTCGTAAATCAGCACCAGCAAGTCCCAAATTCAATAAAGAACCCTCTAACATCCTCTAACTGGATTTTGGTGCAGTCATATCATATGATTCATATGCATGGTAACCAACGTACTAAATATCTTATCACTGAGTGGCACCCTACTGTTCAAGGAATAGCATCTCCTACCTAGAAGCTCATGGCATCCCGCAGCAGGACTCCACTGCAAGTGCTTCTCCCTGGCCACAATGGGCACGAACTCCACTCCTGAAGTCTGAAAATGCTAACGGCTAACCCAAACATATGGACGAAAGAGTTCTGCCTAACACAATCGAAAACAAAACAGCTTGGGAAATGAGATAATGAAGTTGCCTCTATACCCCTCAAGGCCTGCTTACCACGCTAGCGCCGTGCCTTCGGGTACAGTAATCTTCGGTTTCAAACTCCAGGAGTAGAACCAGGAGACGTTCAGGGCATGCAGCTGGGTGGCGTCATAACCCATGGACGGTGCCAAGCCCACGCCCTTCTTGGACGTCACTTTGCGGTCCACTGACGCCGTTGCGGCCATCGCGTCTGTCGCCTTGTGGGCGCTACCCTGCAACATGGCGCCCATGGCGGGACTCTCCTAGCACTGGCCTTTGCAGCGCGAAGGGCCAAAGCTGAACAAGGCAAAGAAGGTTTGGATAAGGTGGATAAGGCAAGAAGCCAAGAGAAGTGACCGGTCTCAAATTTCACAAGTCGTTAGGACAGTAGGAACTCGAGAGTCGGGCTAGCTGTTAAATGGAATCTTAGCCAACTTGGTGTCAAGTGTGAAGCCCCCTGACTCACTTTCATGATCTTTCATCAGCCTTTCAACCCTCCCGGCTTTTTCATTGGCCCAAAACCATCCAGATCGGCACCCTGGGATGCAAAAAAGGATAGGGAAGGAACGCAGCATCCCCAGCACTGACCCGCAACGGCGGGGCACATCCTTTAGATGTTCACTGGGATGTTCGCTGTTCACAACCCATCTGGCGGCCAGTAAAAAAAAACCTCCAAAGCAGCTCGTTCCGGCCACCCTGAGGCCCTGAAGCCCAGTTGGACTACGCAGGTAGATCTCAAACGAGAGTCCGCGGCTCAGTGGGCTCAAGCTGCAACACCTGCAGGGCCTGTGCGGACTGTCGCAAAAATTTCAACCTCACAACCGTTGTAGCCTTGACTCTTGACATCTCTTGACACTGTCAGTTGCTGACATATTGACGTATTGAAGGAACACCTCCAAGCACTGCATCGTCATGGGTCATCGTGGGTCTGGCCTTGCGACCCTTGGGGCCGATCTTGTTGTTCTTCAGATTGATCTGCTTGATGGTGCTGTTCTCTCGCAAAGCTTTTGCCAAGGCCTCCAGCACCACATGCAGAAGGACTTGAATGATTTTGGATGAATTTGGATGACTTTGGATTGGCCCCCCACAAATGATCTAAAACATCCTGAAACATCCTGAAACCATCAATCCCATCAATCAAATCCAGCAAAACAGCAGAAACAGCATCGAGCACCTGACCGACCTGACCGACCTGCCTTGGCACCGAGGTCCCCAATCTGATTTCCCGAGAGGTCAATGAAAACCACGGTTCTGTTCACCAACATGGCGCTGGCCAGCGCCTGCCGCATCCCCGAGAAAAACCTGAATTGGGAATTCCCCACACGTTGGGTCACATCTGCATGAATGGAACTAACAACATAAATATTGAATACATCTGACTTCAAGATATAGTCTGTTGATCTCATGACTTTCAGATATATTCAAACATATACATAATGTAGTGAGGCATCTTTGCCATCTTTGCGCCTGAAAGATATCTCGCACAAAAACCAGAGAAAAATCAAAGGATCAAACATGATCAAACACCACTCTATCATACCAGGAATACAGAACAGCTGCCACTGATCTCCGCCTGCGCTCCATCATCGCCGATCTTATTCCCACCCAAATCCACATGGGTCACTGTGCTGTTCACCGCCAGAGATGCGGCCAGCTCCTGATTGACGCAGCTTCGGCCACAACCGGCCACAACCCTCTAACTCCCTGAAGCCCCGCCTTGGCAGCTACATCGTCCATGGCCCATTTCAAGTGGAGGTGGGTGCTGGTGCTGTTCATCCTCAAGGACTCGGACATGGCCTCCACTACGCACTCTGTCACGATTTTCCCACCCAGGTGGAGTGGATTTCGGATGTTCTAGAAATTGGCAAAGCACCCTGCAAGCCCGCCCCCTGGGAACCCCACCCACCAGGACGCGGCCTGAATCTTTGGGCGCACTTGCACCATGTCCCGCACCTTTGAGGAAGTGCTCCGCTTCAGCGGTGCCTGCAACTCGAGTTGCAGACAAAATGCATCTGAGAAACTGCATTATGGACCACTGCAAGCGCCTGCCTTCAGGACGGCACCTGCCACCAAAGTCATAAGTGTTCAGCACAAAGCACCAAGATCACCAAATATCACCAAGTTCCAAGGTGCAGTGGGAACTGCGCACTTTACATAGAAAGTCATAGACTTGACACTACCCACCCACGGACCCACTGCCTGTGCTGCTCAGCCCATTACCGAGCCCAATATCACTCTGGCTGCCCAGCAGCGCCTCGGCTGTGATACCCTTCCAGCCAACTTGCGTTTCATGTGGCATGGGTGGGCGGGTGCAAAAGCAAGGCCATCCGTGGGAGCACCGATTTTGATCCGTGATAATAGACCCGGATTTCACAACAGTTGCTCCCGACACCCCAAAACAATGGGTGAAAATTGGCAGATAACTTAAGATAACGATGTAAAATTACCAATGGTCCCCCCTTTATGGCTAGAATTTACCTCAAATGGGCTAGAGCAACACTAATTTCTGTTGCTTGTCCCCAGGTCCGCACCCAAAATTTCACCTCCCGCCTTGCAGTCATGTGTGGTTCTCATGGCTCTGTTGCGCTCCAGGGCTTCCCTCAAAGCCTGTGGGCGGCGGCTCAGTTGGCATAGTTGGCTTCAGCGAAGCTGGGAACCATCCATCCATCCATCCATCGGTGGCGCCTCCATATGTTGGGCTTCGAGGCCATTGCCCGCGTAGCCAATGTGCACGCTGCGGTTCACCTCCAGGGCTTCGAGGAGGGCCTGTGAGAGGAAAAAACGCCGAGGGGATGGGTAACCAGTTGTGGATGTGTAGAATAGTTAAGAAACATATAGAAACATAGACAAAAAGAACCCGATGACTTGATTAGATGATTCCGGATATTCTTTTTGATGCTTGATGATTTTTGAATGATCTTTGCTGCTTTCGGATGACTGCTTGGTGGTGTTCAATGATGTTTGCTGATTGCTGATGATTCTTGAGTTGGGAATCTGTTGCAGTTGAAGCCAATACGCCTTGGAGGCAGCAGCCAATTCCAGCTGTAGTGTCGTTAGCATGCGCAGGCTTGTCATTGATCCCAAGAAATCGAGTTGAACATGTTGAACCCAACTCCAGGGCCTCAGGGGTGTTGAGTTTCCCGTCGCAGCCCAGTCGCCTCAGCCCCCTCCGGGCCCATGCAGTTCCCCTCCAGGTTGAGGTCGAGCACAGCGCAGCTGGGTGTCTTAAGGGCTGCAGCTATGGCCTCAGTGGGAAATGGAAATTCTACTCATCCTGTCCCCTTAAGGTTCAATATCCCCCCAACTAAGGGACCCAAAAATACAGAAATCCAATACTAAAGTTTAGTTACTAAAGTATTCAATAACTTTATCTTAGGATGACCGATTTATACAATTTGAACAACCCGGGGGGTGATTCATGCGATGCTATAAACCAGGCCTGGCCTTGATCATCCGTGAAAAATCTGGTGTGCTTAGCAATGAGCCCTCTTGAAGGGCTGTCTTTGGGTTTCGTTCTGCCTACATTTCCCCAATTTTTCAAGAGTCAAAAGCATGTCCTCAAAGAACGCTTTCAACCCCTCCTGCAATTCAACCGCTGCAGTCAACATCCCATCCCCGTTTTAGTTTTCACGCGTCCAATTCCCCTCAGCCCATCCATCCGCAGGGGCGCCTTGGTACCCTCCGGGCCAATATCATTGCCAGCCAAATTCAGCTCCACAATGGCCCCAAATTTCAATGCCTCCGCGAGCTCCTCCCAGGCCGAAACTCGGAAATCCATGGTGGATCCAATATCTAGTCCTCCCAAGTAACAAACCCTGCCACCAACCGGGTCGGAAGACTACCTTCCTCCAAAAAAGGCTGATTCTGAGCGTCGGACTGTTAGTTTTGGGGATAGCATGGCGATTTTCAAACAAATAGCCTCTGGTAGTCCAACATTACTATGAACCCTACCATTTTACCAAATGGGTCTTTTTGTTCACATCCATTTTCACCATGTCAATGGAGGGTCAGGGTATGTCAGGGTAGGTCAACCAGTCACCATCACCAGTGCCTTGGTATCAGCATCTCCCATCTTCTGCACCGTCCCCTGGGAGAAGCTCTGTGCCGAGAGGTCCAGGCAGGTCACGGCCCGATTGGATCGAAGAGCCTGGGACAAGGCCTGACACGCCGCTGCGACACTGGTGCCGTTAAGGATCGTTCAGGGGTATAACTCGGGTACAACGGTAGAAGCATCATGTGGGAACCTCAAGCAACCTCCATAAGTTGGGATAGAACTGCTGTAACATCTATAACTATGGGATACTATGGGTGTATATCCACTTGTAACATCTTGTAACTAGAACTGCACCCAAGTGTGCTTTAGTGTGCTATATCTTAGTTGATTCATGACCATACCCCAATTTGAGTGAGTTACTCAAGTTTTGACCCCATGGCACATTTGGGGATGGATCAAAACCTATCAAATACATTGAAATACATTGAAATACCACATTTGGGGGGATGAACATCCGTTCGCCGGCTCTCTTGATGTTCACCTGTGTACCACCGTTTTGGTTTTGACCGATACCTGCATTCGGGCCCGTATATATGTACTATAATATACTCCAGGGTTCACATCGAGATCCTATCAATCCACCCTGATGCGACCCTCGAATGAACAAATCCACCGGTGTTGAACGATTATGGCTAAAATTCTGGGGAAGGGGGTAATGTATCCCGTGTTTGCTTTTATACATGGAGGAACTTCTTTTTTCCCGGTGATTTTATCAATCCAGCCATGGTTGCACCAGGCTTGGCATTGTAGAATGGCAACGTTTTCGGCTTGTCTCAGGTGGTGAGACGGGCAGATGTGTTTTCAGCGCGAGCCGCAATGCAAAGAGACAGGACTGTCGAGACAGAACGGTGTTGCTCATGGCTCATATCCACTGCTCGTACGTCGTACTACAAATGACCAAAATTTCGACTGCATATGTAATCAGCGCCATGTGTGTGCGCGTGTGAAAACCACAAAAGTCCAAACATATTTACTTGGTGCTTCACCCCGTATGTCATCACCCCAGTTTTTTTAGGAGTTTTTTCGTTTTTTTCTATCATCCCAGAACCGCTGGCCTTGACGAGGAAACTGAGGCCATCGATGTCGCTGCAAATGATCTTGGCATTCTTGGCACTCAGGGTCTGCAGGCCCTGCCGGGGATGACCACTCAAAGCTGCAAGTGCTACCTGGGGAAACCAATGGAAATCAATGGAAATCCATAGCTAATCGTTGCTAATAATGCTAGGACCTAAAGAAATCTTAAGAAAATGGACATCAAATATACCAATGCTTGTACCGAAATCCGCCTTGGCCAGGGCATCAGACCCCCGCTCTCGGATCTGACACTTCCTGCAGCCAACGCGCCGGTGAGAAAAAGTAACTGCGAAGGAAGTTCCCATCCCAAAGCCCAACAACAAATCCACATAAACTCTCACTCCGCAAGTGTCTATATTATATATATATGTGTGTGTGTGTCTGTGTGTGTGTCATACTATATTTACATGTGTACATAATCATGTATGTTTTAATAATGTGTGTGTAGCCATATTGTGTATACATATATGTACATATGGTTTTTGCGCATGAACCCAATCCCAACTCTCCTCAAATGTAAGACCCGCAGCTTAGTGAAGCAGCGCAAGGCCACTGCCAAAGTCATGAACTCTTCATCTGGGAGGCCCTTCTGAAGCAATTCCTCGCAGCTTTTGGCCTGTCATTGGAACTGCAGAAAAAGTGACAGTTGGTGCAGTTTATATATGATTGGCAAACGCAGTAACTCCTCCCAACCGATAAACCAAAAGAAATGAACCTGGAGAACAGAGGTGTCATTGTGATATGCCACAGCTGAACATCCTCCATTTTCGGTCAGAAATTCATGAGCTTCAGGGTTTCCAGGCATGATACCATCCAAGATTGCCTGGAAAGCGACCCGAAGAGAAAGAATCTGTACACAGATCAGCTAATCCATAAATAGTTGTTTTTACAATATTATATATATATATGTTTATATGACATATGCATGTGTTCTATGGCCATTATATGTATATATATATATATGGTCACCCCCCCCTACGACCCCCCAATGTGTCATTTGTATTGTTATTTACAGCATAAAATGCGTATTTTTAGTATTCCATTTTTGTCTTCTTCGTATATAGTCATAACAATACAATATCTTAAGGCACTTTGGGGAAGACCCCATAGAAACACAATTGACCGCCGACCCAAAATCAAAAAAACATCGGGAAAACAAAAAAAAAAAAAAACAATATTTTCCGACTCCTCTGGGGTCACTCCATGAAAAAAACAAAAAAACCTTGAGAAAACCAAAAAAACAAAAAAAACAAAAAAAAACAATATTTTCAGACTCTTCTGGGGTCACTCCATGAAAAAACCAAAAAAACCTTGAGAAAACCAAAAAAAACAAAAAAAACAAAAAAAAACAATATGTTCAGACTCTTCTGGGGTCACTCCATGAAAAAACCAAAAAAACATTGAGAAAACCAAAAAAACTAAAAAAACAAAAAAAACAATATTTTCAGACTCTTCTGGGGTCACTCCATGAAAAAACCAAAAAAACCTTGAGAAAACAAAAAAAACAAAAAAAAACAATATTTAGAAACTATCTCGAGGGCCCCCCCCCCAAAGAATCGCTAAATATTGTTTTTTTTGTTTTTTTTGGTTTTTTTGGTTTTCTCAAGGTTTTTTTGGTTTTTTCATGGAGTGACCCCAGAAGAGTCTGAAAATATTGTTTTTTTTGATTTTTTTGTTTTTTTTGGATTTCTCAAGGTTTTTTTGGTTTTTTCACGGAGTGACCCCAGAAGATTATAAGAATATGAAAACTCATAATTTCTCCAATATTTCTTAAATGCAAACACTGTCTATCACTCATGCATCTGCCAATCCGTAACTGAACTGTTTCAAATCCAAACTACTGCCTTGACCTGTCTGTCATTCATGCATCTGTCCAGCTTCAACTCAGCCATTTCAATTCCAAACTGCTTCCTGGATCATCGCATTTGCTTCTTCGTTTTTTTTTATTTTTTTCATGGAGTGACCCCAGAAGATTATAAGAATATGAAAACTCATAATTTCTCCAATATTTCCTAAATGCAAACACTGTCTGTCACTCATGCATCTGCCAATCCGTAACTGAACTGTTTCAAATCCAAACTACTGCCTTGACCTGTCTGTCATTCATGCATCTGTCCAGCTTCAACTCAGCCATTTCAATTCCAAACTGCTTCCTGGATCATCGCATTTGCTTCTTCGTTTTTTTTATTTTTTTCATGGAGTGACCCCAGAAGATTATAAGAATATGAAAACTCATAATTTCTCCAATATTTCCTAAATGCAAACACTGTCTGTCACTCATGCATCTGCCAATCCGTAACTGAACTGTTTCAAATCCAAACTACTGCCTTGACCTGTCTGTCATTCATGCATCTGTCCAGCTTCAACTCAGCCATTTCAATTCCAAACTGCTTCCTGGATCATCGCATTTGCTTCTTCGTTTTTTTTTTAATTTTTTCATGGAGTGACCCCAGAAGATTATAAGAATATGAAAACTCATAATTTCTCCAATATTTCTTAAATGCAAACACTGTCTGTCACTCATGCATCTGCCAATCCGTAACTGAACTGTTTCAAATCCAAACTACTGCCTTGACCTGTCTGTCATTCATGCATCTGTCCAGCTTCAACTCAGCCATTTCAATTCCAAACTGCTTCCTGGATCATCGCATTTGCTTCTTCGTTTTTTTTTATTGTTTCATGGAGTGACCCCAGAAGATTATAAGAATATGAAAACTCATAATTTCTCCAATATTTCTTAAATGCAAACACTGTCTGTCACTCATGCATCTGCCAATCCGTAACTGAACTGTTTCAAATCCAAACTACTGCCTTGACCTGTCTGTCATTCATGCATCTGTCCAGCTTCAACTCAGCCATTTCAATTCCAAACTGCTTCCTGGATCATCGCATTTGCTTCTTCGACATGGCTTTCAAAATTTTTTAAAAAATGTTAGTAGGAAAGTCTCAAGCGCAAAAATTTTCCTATTAGCGATTGGTGCGTAGAGGCAGTTTTCACAGCAGCATAAGACCTCAGCTTGGCAAAAGTGATGCTGCTGCGGCAGGGTCGACTCGTTGGTGACTTCAACGTGGTTCTGTGCAGACACAAGTCAAGCATAGTGAAGCAGATGGCGGGTTGAGGGGGGTCGTTGGGGGGGGGGCTGAGCATATATATATATATATCCATATATACCTATACCTACCTGCATATCAGAGAGGAGAGGGGGAAATGAAAACCAACTGGAACAAAAACAACAAATAACTACCACTCCAAGTAGAAGTAGATGCATTACATATATCGATCCATAGCTCGCCGAACCTTCTCCCGGAAAACTTCCTCTTGTAGCGCCACCACCTGCAGGTGGAGCGAGCTCATTTCTGGGCTCTTTCATACACAGGACACACGCAGGTACTTGCGGATAAATATGTATATTATATATATATATATCATATACAGTTATACAGTATATAATTAGTATGAATGTAGCTGCGTAGCAATAGTGGCCCTTCTTTTGCTGGGCTTATACACGCATCAGCTTGTTTGCAAACATATGTTTGCAAGTTGAATCTTCTTTTTTGGGGGAAATATCTCTGCCTTTCGCATTGTGGCACCCATATGTGCACAAGTCAAAACTGGGTGTCCTCAAATGGTAGGCTTTCGAAACTCAGAGCGACCATGGTTCCCAGGATCTAACATGTTAACCCGCACATCAAAACATGTCAAACCACTGGTGACAATAATAAAAAATAATAATAATAACAACAACAATAATAATAAGAATAATAATAAATATGAAACCACATCAAACCATATAAAACCATCTTGAACCTTTGTTGATTCTCTTCGTTTCTTTTCGAACCATATTAACTTATCCCAAACCTATCTTAAACCTCCTGAATATATCCTAAACTTAGCCTTAATCTACCATAGACCCCTCTTCAAAATATCAAACCATCACCTTCGAATGGACTGAAACGCCTGCATCAAATCGCTGCGCCAGGTGAACTTTAGCCCCTCGCTGGAGAAGATCCGCTGGCGGAAGAGCTCGGGAGGCATAGGAGCTTTCACCTCCCATGGCTGCTGGATGCTGGAGATGTCATCCTTAAAAACGGGATAAGGGCAATGGATATGCCGGATATGCACTGTCGTCAACCATTCAAAGAAAGAACATAAATGGATATATTAATTAATTATAAATAATTAGGACAGTTCGGAGATATTAAAAATGAACTATATATTGGGAAACTTCAACAACAAAGGTATTGGACGACAATTGTGATTTCACTGTGATTGCCCCCCAAAAAAAACACCTGGTGGCCCCAACTGCCCCACACAGCTGGCGGCTTGGATGATGGCTTTCAAACACAAAAACATATGGGGTTGCGTCAAAATTCGGGTATGGATCGGCCCGCGGTGATCCAGACGTATGGAACGGTCTGGATCACCTGCGTTTTGGTATGGATCGGGGGTATGGATCGTCCTGTGGGTTCAGGGTATGGATCGGGGCTTTATATTTTGACTCACAGCCATATCTTGACATAGCCATCATAGCCATGGCCAAAGATCGGAATCCAATGGAATCCATGGATCATATGGATCATATGGATCATATTGGATCATATCCACATCAGCCATCACCGGCCATCACCGGCCATCACCATGGCTTCGCCTGATAGCTCCTACCGGTCCTACCCTCCATGTCCACATCGATCCGAACAGAGCTGTGGCTGCGGCCGCGCATGGCGGACCACTGAGCTTCAGCTTCACACCAGCCGCGCTGGCGGTAGGGAATGGCATAGCCATGGAGGTAAGGACACTCCGGGTTGAAACACGGCACGACATCCTGAGGTGATTTCAGGCCGCGTAAAGAAAAATGTCAAGCCTTGTTAAGCAATGTTAGGCATCCAATTTCCTGATGGAAAATGAACACAACACAAAACATCACAAAACCACAAAATCTTGAAACCCGCAACCAGCATCAGGATGATCATCTTCAAATCTCAGATCCTTCAGGGAGACCAGCTGCAGTTGCCCAGCCACAAAAGCCCAGATCTGCCGGCCTTCACTTCGGCAGCGTTGCAGCTGAGGCTCGGGCGTCAAAGTCTCAATCCGCAGCGTGGTGGTGCTGTTGTGGGCATACAACATGTGCATCTGCTGCATCGCCCGGCGGAAAGACTGTTCCTGCTGTTGATTTCGCTGGTACTGACCTGGAGGAATCAACGGCAGCACATGTGAAGACTCAATCAACGTAGACCTTTTTTTGCCCCTAAAACATCTCAAGCTGCGAACGATTGTGTATTCAAACACTGTCACACACGGTGTTTGGGGTCCTAGCTTAAGACATAGGCACAAACGATGCCAGCACAAGAGCTTGGCCAATTGCTGGCCCAGCCACACAAGGAGCAGTAATCATAGAAGACCCACATCTCACAATCAAAGGCGTGATCGTGTTTTCTGGTGTAGTCATGGATGAGGCCCAGCTGATATCCACAGGGGTCAGGATGTTCCCGGCTCTCCCAGCAGTGGGAAATGGCAAAAATCTGCGGCCGCTGAGGACTGTCATCTTCTGCCCAGTGCCTCAACTCATCTGAGCGCACCAGGCAATCGTGCTCGCGGTCCGCCAAGGGGAAGCGGACCCCATCCTTAGCGCTGCCAATTGGGAAGTATTGGCAAAATGAATCAATCTTTACCTATCTCAATCTATCTCATGTGTATTCATAAGTGATCATGGGATATCATAGGTGACTATAGCTGGTTAACTGTGACTAACGCAGAATCACGGGCATTATACCAACTAGAGAGCAAACAAAAATGGGGAATATTTCTGTAGGTCAGAGCCATGGCACCCTGCAGTTCAGATCTAAATAGATCCATCCAACTATTTGCACAAACCCGTGTTTAGTCGTGACTCCTTTCGTTTTTGTGCCATATGCTGAAGGGAATCACACCTATATCTATGTGTACGTGTACAGTACAGTACAGTACAGTTAGATAGATAGATAGATAGGTAGATAGATAAATATAGATAGATAAATAGATAGATAGATAGATAGACAGATAGACAGATAGACAGATAGACAGATAGACAGATAGATAGATAGACAGATAGATAGAGATAGAGATAGAGATAGAGATAGAGATAGAGATAGAGATAAATAGATAGATAAATAGATAAATAGATAGATAAATAGATAAATAGATAGATAAATAGATAAATAGATAGATAAATAGATAGATAAATAGATAGATAAATAGATAGATAAATAGATAAATAGATAGATAAATAGATAGATAGATGGATAGATATACGGTGCAAATGTATAGTTCTACTATTGGGTGGATGGGATGTGTGGAAAAAAATGAACCCACCCATGAACCAATCACCAGCATTTCCCCATTCATTTCACCCAGCTTCCAGCTCCTGCCTTCGTGGCAGGCTACCACCTTCCCGGTGCAGTTGCCACAAATACTGGGCGCGCACCAAGCCCACATCGGCTTCGATGAGGTATTTGGCCAACTGCCTGCAGCAGTTTCTTCACGTTGCTGGAGTTTTCAGAGACATGCTTTCTAAATGATTTGGTTGAAATATGTTGGCACCGTTGTCCATCTTTAAAAAATCGAGAGAGAAAAAAAACACGACAAGAAACATCCAAAGGTATGAGCTGCGAAAGCCGCGCCTGGGATCCACCAAGTCACTCACCTCCAAGAGATGCTCAGACTCTGAAGCCTGTGGGCTGCTGAACACTCTTCACCAACAAAAAATGGTTGGTTTTCCGAGTTTCCGAGATTTAATTTTGTGTTATGCCCCAGTCTTGAGCCTCAGTTTTGAACCCCAACATCCTCAAACGACTCAAATGATGCCAAATCCCATTCCCAACCTTCACCAGCTCCGGGCCCCTGCCCTCCATTGCCACATCCGTCGGGGCATTGTCAGGCGCGGGGGCCACGCGCGACAGAGAAGAGCTGCCTGGAGCAAAGCAAAATTCATCACATGCCCCGGGGGAAGAAATCACTGGGGTGATCATGGGTGTGTCTATTGTGAGCGGGGGACGAGACACCGGTGCAAACTAGAGTGACAACATGGGAGCGATCAGGGAAAGTTCATCTCTGTTCAACCCTGGGTCAACACTCGGGTTTAATGTTCCAATCGGGACGACAGCAATAGAGGTTGTGCAAGTGTTGCAATTGTACTTGAGGGCCGGGGGGTAAGGGACGAAAGCTAGCTTGCTTGGCAGGGAGCTCAGCATGAAAACACAATGATGCTGAGGATGCGAATGCCGCTGAATTTGTTGCCGGTGGCAACATGCCCCCGTTTTCCCTGGCGGAATTGAGCCACGGCCAAACTGCTTGAGAACCAGCCAGCCGGGGGGCGGGAGAGGGTAGTTAACTGTGAAGACGATTGGAGATTCCAGCCCCGATACCTAAAGCAAGAGGGACCTCAGCAGAAGTTTTCGTGATCGTGATAAATGGTTGAGGTGGTCACGCACATCAAGCTTTGGGATTGGCACATCCCCCAATGAATCCGTCGGACCCGGACTTGGTTGATACATGCTGAGGTAACTCCAATAAACCATCCTCAATAGTGGCATAAATGATTCATAAATGGGATAAGTTGGCGGTGTTTTCTTTAGAAAAATGGTTAGTTTATCGTTGGGTTTACCGCAGTTGGTATCGTCACTACTGCCATTGGGGGCCGCATGGACCAATGGCTGGTGCCTCTGCAAATCTCATGCCAGCAGTAAGATTTCGCTCCTGGGGCCAACTCATCGATGGATGGGAAGCCATGGTTTCCCCCAACTTCAAATGATCTGAAAGTGGCAGATGTGTTCATATCCACATACATTTAGTTTACTGGAGGGGAACCATGATATCCCAGGATACACGAGCTTCCAATCTGAAACTGAGATAAACTGAGAAGGGGTGTTTGAACATATGCAACACATCTTGAAACAAAGTCCATGGGTTGGTCTTCAAGCTTGCAAACTAAGAACGACCAAAAATGGGCCACCCCTACCAATCCACCACTTGAACTTTTAGGATTTTAGGACTCTTTGGACAAGCTCCAAAATTTTGTGGCGCTCGTCGCAATCTCAAAATTAGTTGTTTCAAACCCAATCTCTTGTTATCTCTTGTTGCTTGCATCCTGATCATCCCGAATGGCTCTTTCTTAAGGACCACCTACTGAGAGAACAAAACTTGCTGACAGATCGTACAGTACATTTTCATACATTTTCCGTAATACAAAATGCACCCCTAAATGCAGGAAAAAAAACAACAAAATCACAATCCCATTGGGATTCAACCACCTCCGACAGTTCGGTGAACCCCAGTTCGATTCGCCCTTGTTAAGATTTAACTTTGGACTGACCCTATTTGCACTACCGGATTCACGTAATGTAGTGTAATGTGATGTGATGTAATGTAATGTCTGCATTTATCATTTATGTATGTATCTGTGTGTGTGTGTTATTTTACTTATTTATTTATGTATTCATTTTCTTATTGGTTTATCTATTTTTTCATTTACTGATTGATTTATTTATTTGTTTATTTATTTATGTATTCATCATATTTAAATATATAATATATGTATTTATTTATATATTATTATATATTTATCTATGTAATTGTTTATATACAAACCTTATAACCCACTTACCACCAAGCACCCCTAGCTCCTGCATCCTCCAGCGCACCCCACGAGGCCTTTAGCCGAGGTGGGAGCGACCACCAGGGCGCCAGCGAAGCACGGCTGGGTCGCATGGCGGCTCGAGAGGAAAAGACAGCGGTCACCAGGGGATTTTCTGTGGGAAAACCTGGGCATACCTGGGAAATCTGTGGGATACCATGGAATTGCCGAATTCGTTTCATTGAAAATTTCGCAGGACGCCCAAACTTTGAATAATTTTGGCTGGTAGATGTCCAAATCCATGGTTTCTTGCTGAGTTTCCCTCAAACCAACGCAGTGATCATAGTGATTATCCCAATTTATCCTGGGATTCCACCCAAAGTTCAACGCAGCTTTGCAACCCAACAGCAGTATAGATAGGTCCCAAGTTCCAGGGTTCCAGAGCGGAGACTGTCGCATGGTGAGGAGATTTTTCATGACCGGGGTCCAGCACCAATCAAGAAGAGCGGGGATAGAACATGATAGAACCACCAATTCAGAAGAGGCCTCTGTTCTGCTAACACTTGGCATGCCAGCCAAAGGTTGATCTGAACAGGTCTCGGACATGAACTACATCACTCTATGTCTGTTATGTAAAGTTCAATCTGATTCAATCCCATTTGTTTTAGGCTACATTACGATCCCAGAGCGGACGCACCGTAATCCCTCCGGAGCCTCTTCAACGACGTTCTGCCGAGCACTATTGCTGAATGGCTGCCAACCCCTGAAGCTCATTGTGATTACAAGTGCGGTTTTCTAACAAGTTCACCTTCTTGGGTCTTTGATTTGGGTTCCACTTCAAGTTTGTCAGGTGTATCGCGGAATCTTACACACGAGTCACATTTGCAGCCCCGTATCCCACCACTCTTTTCACTTGCAACTGGAAGGTGCAAAATGCAACACTATCCGACTATTTCTAACTGCACAAATTAAGGCCCGGGATGCAGATTCTTACGCAGTCTCATCCACTTGGAGGCAAGCCTAGGCCTTTTTGACTCTTTGATGGGCACATTGGATTCCCTGGATTTCTATGGATTTATCATGGCCTTATCTCACTTGCCAGCTTCACCTGCTACAAATCCACATCCCTTCGAATTTTTTACATGTCCAGGGCGGCGCCCCAGCGTGGACGCCCCTTTGAATTGTGCAGATTAAGATAGCGACGTCACAGCGGCGTCAGTGAGTCAGCAAGGTCGCAAACAAATCCTGTAAAATCTCTCCTGGCGGAGCCGGCCGAGAAAACTCCAGAATCACCAGAAAGGGCCTCCTGCTTGGCAACGATGTACCCACATTGCCGACTGAGGACCACCCCAATGTAAGAGAACCCGCTTCCAAACTCCAAACACTTAAGTTTGGGGATCCTTGCCAGTCTTTGGTATGGCATCCCTGTTCCCCCCTGACTCATCACCCGGCCTGCAGATTCGTCCCCATCATCATAACCCGTTTGATCTGGCCACTCGTCAAGCTCAACCACTTGCGATGCTGGACATTGGAACTCCTGCAGGAAATGGCTGGGCATCATCGAGGTCTCTGTGGGGAATTTGAAACTTGGGAAGGGGAACACGAAAGGTAGGTACAGCAACAGTGCAGGTTCGGCCGAAGAGTGCGCTTTTCCAACCTGTGTGTAAAAGTTTCTCTGTGTACAAACCTCTCCGTGTAAGAGCATGTGCGCATAAAAGCTGCTCTGTGTAAAGGCTGCTGTGCGTAACGTCGTCTGTCTGAAGAAGCGGGCCGAGCATGGGCGTCATGCCATTTATAGAATGCTGAAAGGGAATCTAAAGGACAAACAAAGATATGTGGATATCCCAGTGTCATCCATTAGCATTCACTATCTGGGACAGGAAATTAAAACAAATTCAAAATCCCGGCAGCGGCGTGCGGGAAGTGAGGCACCTTTTTCTTTGGGCAAAAGAGCGCTCTGGGATGCGCATGGAATGTCTGCAAGACTGAATGCTGCAAAGGTGGAATGCTATGTCACTGCTGTTTCACATGCAGTTTCACACCCGTCCTCACCTGCAGCAGCGTTTTGCTTTTCAGCTTTTCTGCGTCTCCTTCCATCTCGGATCTTCTGTTTGGTTTCTTCGGCTTCGGCGCTTGGTTTCAGGCGCCATTTTCCAGTGGTCATCGCATCCAAAAGAGGTTCTCTTTCACATCCAGCTTTCGTCAAAACGTCGGCTAGCATCTGCGATGTGTCACACCAATGGCAGCGTACTGAACCATCATCTTCATAGCTGTCGCCGCCAAGAAACTCTTTCACCTGGCTGACAAGTATTTTCACTCGCTTATCAGCAGGCTGGCCAGCGTCCTTGTTCAAGGTGGCTTCCAAAGACTTCGCGTCCGTCAACGCGATCAGCAGGCCCTTCAGGTAAAACCTATCCAAGTCAACCATGGAAACGCCTGGATGCTTCACTTCCAGCAAGAGCATCCTCACATAGTCGGCGGCCTCGGTCGCGGTGAGGAACCCGTTTGTTTCTGCAGCCAAAGTGCTGCGACAAACACGCTTGATGCTTCCGCTGTAAGCCTCCAGTACCATCACCGGCGTGTCATAGCCGGAGGTGAAGTCAGCAGTGGTCAGACCAACCACATAGCCACATTGGCTTCGCAGCTTGGTCGTGTTTGCGAAACTGCTGTCAGCCATGCAAAACACCACGGCATTCTCCAGAGTGAGGTTGGAGCTTGGGACAAAGTTCCACTTGAAGTCATAGCTCTCCTTTAGAACCTTGACAACCTTGTTAAGCTCCACGACATCCTTGATCGTCGGATTTCCCATTGTTTGGGATGCCAGGGAAACGTTCACAAGCACGTCAGGTCTGGTCTGACGGGCAATCCATCCAAGTGAACCAATCAGCCCTCTGAAGGCTGACTTCTCATCCTCATTCAACGGCGCATTCGGCATGACGCGCCTGTTCTTCTGCAAAACCATATATTCCAAACTCTCAATTGCGTCGATCTGGTCCAAAGAAACAGATCCATCTTGGTTTTGTTTCACATTCTTTCCACAAAAACGAAAATCACCAACTTTCCTCTTCAAATAAATCTCTTTCTCCAAAACTTTCAGGGACTCTTCATACTTCTTTCCGGTGCCAGTGGAATAAAGGTCATCCACGTGGGCTACGAGCGCACCGACCAAAACTTCAGAGTCAAAAAGGTAAAACAGTGCAGCTTCCAATTTTGACATCACCCAGCCAAGTCGCTGGAGAGCTTTGAAAAGTTTCTTCCACCAGCTACGGCCAGCATCTCGCGTGCCGTAAATGCTGCCTTTCGCACGCAGCAAGTCATGTGGGGAAACTCCAGGAGGTGGTGGTCGAGGAGGACGGAGAAGCAGGAGACGTGCTATTCCTTGAGATTGGAGATATGCTGTGCTCGCATCACACGCTTCCAAAATCCACTGAAAAATAACTGACAAACAAGTCACAAAATTGAAGGCCAGGAGTGATGCAGTGGGAGAGTCAGATCTGATGCCAGTGTCCTTCTCCTGGCAGCCAATGACAACCATTCTGGATTTGGCTTCGAAGGGGTACTCCTTCTTGATCTGAGCTTCAGACTTCCCAGTGCGTCGCCGCATTGCACCAGCCATCAAGCGCGGCTTCTGGTTCTTGTCAGTGTGAACCCATCGCGTGTTCACAATCTCAGCGTCTTGAGGAAGAGCTGCGATCTGGCTTTCTGAGAGGATCTCCACAGCGCTAAACTTCTTGAAAGAGTTCCACTCCTTCTCCATGGACTGGTCAAACTTGGCACGGTCTTCTACTGAAAGGTAGTTGAGGTCGATCTCGGACCGAACTGCCTTGCCAGTCAGGAACGCTTCAAGCTTGGGATTCTCCTCGTAGCATGTGGAGTCATCAGACATGGAATCGTCAGTGTGCTCTGACGCATCAGCCAGACGTCGATGAGCAAGTCGGTCAGATAGATCTTCGCATCCAGCAGGCCAATCATTCTCTTGGACAGCTTCTCCAAGATAAGGCCCAGTGAAAACTCTGGCACCTCCACCTTGAGGATCATAGCTTGGTTCTGGTGCTGTTCGAGGTAGTCCATAGCTTCCGCCAGGATGCCCATCAAGTCGTTGTGGATTCCGCATCGCTTGGTGAAGCTGAGCAATGAAGGGAGCAACAGGAGCAGGTTGTTGAGGAAGTTGTTGATCCCTCGGGGTCTGCGGACCAGGATCAGGTTCTTGCTCGGTCACCTGTCTCATATGGCCAGCATGGCTTTGCTGCTGCTGCTGTTGTTGCAAAGGCACATCGCCCGTCCTTATCTCTTGCTCTGCATCTGGAGGCGGATCATCAAAAACTGTTGGTCGTTCTTCAGGAATCGCAGGCATTGCAGGTTGGGACACCAATTGTCCTGATGCAGGCCGGGCTGAGGAACTTGCCAAGGTCGTAGTTGGTGTTGTCCTGAAAATTGTTTCGCCAACCCATTTGGCCACAAGTTCGCGTCCAAGGTCTTGACGCCAGTTGTCGGTGATGATGTCCGTGAGGACGTGATCACGCATCTCAGCCTCATAAATGGCCTCAGTCACTCGTTCATCTTGGAGTTGGTCAAGTGGTACTGGGCAAGCATCAGGAACATAAAGTGCTTTTCTGGGAACGTTGTGGACCCGAACAACTCGTCCATCTGGAAAAGTTCGCCAAAAATCGGCGTTGACACCACCCCCCTGCAGCTGAAGCATTGGTTGCTGAAGCTGGTCGCGGATGTCAACATAGTTGCGGGCTCCACGGTCGCTTCCCTGCTCCACGGCATAGTGGGGCACATAGTGAGCTGCCAAAAGCTCATCTTCACTTGCAAACCTCAATTGTTCACCAGAGGCCACAATCACGCTGGGACCATAGCGGAGCCAATAGCTGCTTGGGGCTGAGCCATCAGTGGCTGGATCGCCGTCTTCAGTGCGGCGTGGGTTGCGAAGTTCGAGTCCAATGACTCTCGCAGGTCCATACCAATTGTAAGGTCGGCCATCTTGTTGCCGTTGCTGAGGCTGGCGCCTGTAAAAGTACACGTAGGATCCAATAGGAAAAGGTCCACGTGTTGGTGTACTCTTTCTCAACAGTGCTCGCCTCACACGGCTATCTGAATCCAAACGAATTTGAGCCACTCGAGCAGCTTCACGAACGGCCAAAGTCTTTGCCATTTCACTGTGGGGGTTTTCAGCTGCTTCGAGAACTTCAAGTTGTTGGCTCTCATCTGAACTGAGAAGGCTGCCTGGAAGGCGGGTCTCAGGATGGCCAAGTACCCACTGGTTGGGCGAGTACCCATTGGTGCGTGGAAAGGCATTTCTGGTTTGCGTCACAATTGACGCAGCAGTGATTGCATCTGCAAGTGTTGAAACATCAACATCAACAACAGTCTTGGCCCAGACTTCTTTCCAAAGGCCACCAGCACGTTCGCACTTTCCATTCTGCCAAGGTGATTCAAGAGGAATCACTTGCTGCTCGACACCATACTGCTTCAGGTAGTCTGAGAACTGAGCCATGTACTCCTTGCCACGGTCAACTTGGAGAGAATGGGGAAGTCCAGCCCAAGATGACCATGAAGTCAAAAAGTGACGGAGCACAATGCCAGATGATGGCGTCCCAGTCAGTTCTCCAAGGCAAGAAACCACTTGAAACCCAGTTGCATCGCAAAGGATGTTGAGGAAGGCTAAACTTTTGCCTTGGCTGTTCTTGGCATAGAAGGTGTCGGCAAGGATGTGCTGGTTGAACACATAGGCCGATGGCATTCTCACAGGCTTGGGACGTTTCTGCCGGATCGATTCACCACAAGCGTCACAGGCCATAAGTCCAGCGGCTCGGACGACTTCCGGCTTTGCCCCCTGACGTCGCAGGATTCTCTGCATTGTTGTTGAGGTTGGATGTCCAAAAATTGACATGCAAGGTCCTGAGCAACTTGCGAATCTCAGGATCCACTTGAAGCCATTGATGTCGGCGATCAGCTTCTGTCTGGTTGAGGATTGGGTCCAGTGCTGCAGCTTGTTGAGCTCGAAAAGATGAGTCATCATCTGGAGGTAGATCACCAAGTTCGCCAACTGGTTGAGGTGCTTCAGCTCCTTGTGGTCGCACATAAACTGGCGGAGCTGGGCTTGAGATCGTTGCCATTCGACCCTGTCTGCGGCGCTTGGGAGATCTCCCAGAGAGACCGCTCGCAGGACGGCGCTGAGCATCACCAGCATAGATCTCATCAGCGAGGTGCTCCTCAATGGCGGCTTGTTGTATGATGCAATCCAAAACCATCTGATTGAGCTCGGAAGGCCATGCTGCAGCTTGAGTGGTTCTGGGGCCAAACTCATTGTTGCCCTCAAGTGGTTGATGTTCATGGCTATGATCACATCGGCATGTTGCAAAAACGCTCTCAGCACACAACATTGATGTGATGTAAAAGGAAGGCTTCTTGTTGGGCAGTCCGGTGACGGAATCTTTGTAGCCAACCATGCAGCCGTCAACCACGATGAACAGCAAAGTGCCGTCCTCAACCAACTTTCTAACATCTGCCATTTCAGGTTCATCAAGGACT